CTTTTTTTCTGCCGGTATTGTGATTGTTCGCCTGGCGTACGGCTGGCCTGGCCTGGTCTTAATTCAATTGACCAGAAATACGAACTCAACAATAGCCAACAACAATAAGAACAGGGGGATAGATCTCGATCGAGGTCGCTCGGATCCCCTTATTCTCCTTTAGAGCCAATTAACCCCGTCCACTATCGACTCCGTCACAACGTGGCATCATTGACGAAACGGAACTTCCTCTGAAGTACTCCGTAGGGAAATATGATCGTTGGAGGAGCATCGCAATCGGAGACTTGCTGACAGGTTCCCTCCCCGTATGGCGTCGATCACAAGCCCTTCTTCAAACCCCGACCAGACGGTCCAGTCCTGAAATGGAGTCATGCTGGCCCAGTTCTATCTCGTTACACGACTCTGGTCTTGTTTTTCTTTCTCTCTTCCCTCGGATAATTCACCTGTTCTTGCTTGCATGACGCTTTCCGAATCCGAACCGTATCAGCCTTTGACCCCAACCCTTATCTGAGTCCGTCTTTTGTGATTTTTTGTCGCCTCTCGTTCGCACACCCATTCCTCTCCCCCCCCTCCTTTTTCTCCAGAATTTGCCTTTTTTTCGGGGTTTGCAGGCACAGTGATTGAATGGCCCGTCGCCTCCGGGCATCCGACCCAGATCGTGAAGGCCTGGGCATCGGCCTCTTTCACCCTTGCATAAGCCGTGTTAGTCTTCGGTCGCTTGCTTTTTCGCTAATTCAGTCTACGCGGTCAATCTTGCGATGAGGTTTCTGACTTTGTGCGCCATGCTGCGCCAAACCTTCGGCACGATGACGACAGGCCTTTCTTCCCACTGCTGGATAAGATGGATCCATCCTGTTCCTCTGGAAATCAACGGTTTTGTTGCCCTGGAAGCCCGTCCCTTCAAAGCTTGCAGGACATCCGGTCGCGGACTTCTGGGAGCCAGTAGCTCCGCAGTTGATGCGGCTAGATGCAGCTGCCACAGCCATTTATTATGTTCCAGGATCCGTATGCGTCTCGGAATGCAGTGCATCTGAGATGAGTGGCTAACGGACAGGGGAAGCAAAGAAGAGGCCAAGGGAAAAAAAGAAAAACAATAAACCGAACAGGCCCAGATGAACAAAAGGGGGGGGGGAAGCGAAACAGAAAAGATACGCTGTATGGACCGAGGGAGAAGAAGCGTAATTGTCAGCCGTGCTCTTACACAGCGTGAACCAAACAACCCTCAGATTATGCACGGAGAGAGCAAGCGTAGTCCAACCAGATGGTCAACAACTATTTAAGTAAGGTTAGCTCTTCAGGGCTGCTGAATCTCCTCTGGGTCAGAATGAAGGTACCGTCCTCGGTACAGTACTTGGGATGATCATGCTTACATTGTCGACATTGCTTCAGCAATTCTTTGGCCAGTGCAGAAGGTCTTCCGATATCCGATGACTTAATCATATTTCCAACCACATGGAATAGTCTTCTCGATGGGGTGAAGAGGGGGGGGAGGAGCGAAGGAGACGCGCCGTCTGCGAGCTGCGTGTCAAATCCAAGCAATGTGATGCATCCATCGAGCTAGAATCCTAGAGTGCAGCAAGCTAAGCAAGCTGACTTTCCAGCCTGATCTGTTGTTCCCCACGGCTGCACGTTGAAAAGAGGCCCACACCCACTGCTATTCTTTTCTTTTTTGTTTCCTCCTCTTATAGTTGCTGCGATCACTGGCCTTTGTCGTCCAAGCCTCCTCTCCCTGCCACCTTATCTTTCTCCGTTCGATCCTGGCCGCAGTGGTTGTTCCATCTCCTCAACCCCAGTCCGCATTTTGTGAGGGAAACTACTACCGTACTGAGGCAGAAGCAACGTCGCAGGCGATTGATACACCGGTCTCCGAAAAAGGTAGATCGCGCGGTGGTACAAAAAGTACGAGGGCTCGAGAAGTTGCGAAGAATATCCCCGAGGGGTGTGGATTTCGATTGGGAATTGGCTGCAGGCTTTGGCGAAGGGGAAGACCGAACGGCAGGGGATCGTACCTCGTGACACCGACTCGGGTTGTCGTCGCCCACCAGATCCAAAGCACCAGTTAGTTGCGACCGAATCAAGAACCACTCGCACCCTACGGTGAGTGCGCGCGCGCGCGTCGCAGGAACAAAGCCAGCAGAACGGAGAACGAACGAAATCAATCAATTCTTGCAAAGGCCGTTTCTCGCAGCAAAACAAAGACGTGTGTTCGCGCCAGGATAGCTCCGAGTGGGCCTGCAGGGCCCTGGACCCCTCGCGCTGCCCCGTCCTCTCGCCCTTGGATCCTTCTTTGTCAAGAACACGGATCCCGGTAGATGACATAAGAAGGAGTTCTTAACTCAAGGTTCGTGTCCTTGTGACGGGGATGAATGATTGTTGATACGAATTCCTTTGTGTGATGTACTCTGACCTCACTGATTTTTTGTGTCTGATTAGGATCCTTCGTGAGGGTGCAGCGCAATTGAGCCAGTATAGGCCGAGTCCTCAGTGCGCTCACGTGTGGGTGTGGGCGTGGCTCTGTGTGTATGCGTGTGGTTCTTTTGCTATCTACAGATGAGCTCCTTTCTCCGCTATCGATTACGGCGATAACGATCCAATCAATACATACAGTTACGGGGGACTGATCCGCGGACTGGAATGCTTAGACGCGCGCACCGACCAGCATCGAACAGTTCGTTGGCGCCAATTCTAGAAGTCGGAGACCCTGCGTGTGGCGCCTAGATACGGGTCCTCATCACCTGCATAAACCGGCTCCATCTCCGCGTGCACGAGGCCAAACCGTTGCGCCTGTGGGCTGGGGTTCGAGCTCGGGGAAGCGAATGGTCGTGTGCCGCAGACGCGGTGGATTTCAAGCTTAGCTCGATCAGTCCGTCGTCAGTCCGTCTGGCCCAGACGAGGTTGACTTTGGCGTCTGTTTGATCTGAGTTTGGGGCTGCGCCCCTCTTGCAGCACACTTGCGTCGGAACCTGCCAATGTGCGCATCATCCCTATGTCGCTGCGGTTCCTGTCGGATTGTCAAAACTGATACGCACCTTAGCCCGCTTTCCTAACCGTGGTCACCCATCTACGACTGGGAACGATCCCATTATTCGACGACCGAAGAGTGGCCGGTTGTTGCTCGACAAATCTGGGACTGCTCCACTGGGCCATTTGTCTGGCTCAGCTGGCGCCGAACGTTTCCTCTTTCTCTATTTTTTTCTTTGGTCCTCCCAGTAAATCTCTACCCTAGGCTCGCCTTTTTTTTTACCCATCTAATTTCCTGACACACCTACCCTCATTTTTATTATTTGATTTTTTTTTTTCTAGGAGGGAAGCAGTTTTTTGTGCGTCAGAAGACAATCGGAGGCGACTCGGCGTCGACCCATCGTTCAGCTACAGTCTGATCACTAGGCGGTGTTTCAATCCCGCCACACTTACTCCTTCCTCTTGTCAAGGTCGCTGTTCTCGCTTCCTATTGCTTCATTTCGATCTATTTTTGACTTTGGCCAAAAAATTTTCAGAAAGACGTGCGGGGGGGCCCCAGTGATTAGCGTTGTGTTCGTCTTTGACCGAGCGTGGGTTTGTCTGTGTGTCGGTTGTCTGTGTGTGGTGGTTTCTGAATCGGGTTGATCGGATTTTCTATTATTCACACCAACATATTTCCCTTATTATTATTTGACTTGGGAAATCATCTAGACCTGGCGTGGATTGGATGAACCAGATATTGCTCGGTCGCAAAGCTCCGATTTGATTTCGGGCAAAATTTCGTGACAGAGACACAGAAGAGATTGGGAGCAGTGTTTTAGGACGGAAATCGATAATCAGTGTTTCGTCATTGGCGAAGAGATTACTCTGTCGGTCCGGAATTGAAAATCGGATTAGAAAGAGAGAATAAGGAAAAAAGGCAAAAGGAAAAAGAAAAGAAGCAAGAGATCAAAAGGAAGGAGAAGGGAAGAAGGAAGAAACCCCAACGAAAAAGAAGAGTCCGGAAGTCAACTCCAGAACAATTGAACATCGACATCATCAACCGGAACAAGAAGAAGCAAGAGAAAGAAGAAGTTGAAGATCGATCGGTCAGACCAACAGTGCAAACAATCCATCCATCCAACCACTCAGCCATCCGTCCGTGTCTATCAGCGCTTGTTCACAAAGACCGAGAGTGAAAGAGAAAGATAGAGACACGAAGATCGCCAGGGCTTACTTAGCTGCTGCTTGGACTGCTTGGACTGCTGCTACTGCTTGCTACTGCCGCTACTGCTGGTTAAGGTACAGTACAACTACAGGTTCTGCTGCAGCTTTGGTGCATTCTTCTGCTGCTTCTTTTTCTTCTTGGGCAGTTAAGGTTTGTCTGGAACCGTGCTCGGCTGGCTCTTGCCGCTTGCATTCTGACGACACCATCCATCTTTTTCCTTCCCTCGGCGCCGTTTTCGTAACCACCAAAACCACCAAAACCCAAGTCAAAGTCATCCACTCTCCCACCTTTCCACCTTAACCAAAGGTCGAGCCCGCTCACTCAACCACTCACTCACTCGACAGCGAAAAAAAACCTGACCACTACGTACACTACGTACACTACTACTATTACTGCTACCGCTACCACCAAACCCCCGTCTGTTTTCAAACGGTCCCTACCATTCTTTACTACCTATCAATCCATTCATCACCACAATCACCCAAATCCATCGAAGCTCTAAGGTTTACTACGCTACCACTAACTCTTCCCTACCTAAAGAACGACCCTCCCCCCTCCCCGAAAGCTGTTACCAATCCCGCAACTGGCAGCTGAACTACCAGCAATTCCCACCCTGTCTCCACTCCGGTACTTGGGTCCAAGAGGTCAAGGACAGCTCTTGTTCAGCTGCAACGGGCTTAAACTCATCTGGCCTTACCCTTACTAACTACAATTCTCACTATCCCACCTCCCCCATTCTATCGGTCATACACTGTGCTGTCCCATCCTTTAACCAACTCCGATTCCCCTCCTCAGACCACTCTCTTACCCACCCCCCACCCACCACCCATCCATCACCTGCAAAAAGTGACGAGGGTAGGTATCATTCATTTCATTCTGGTGCTTTTCCGAACCACACCTTGTTCCGCAGCCAGGTTCCAGAGTGGAAGTCCCCGGCCTGTCCGTTTTTTCTTCCTTGTAAAACCACCGGTTCACCTTTTGTCTCTCTTCAACCATCATATCAAGCTGTTCCCCTGAGTATCCTGCTATTATTCAGACGTGGTTCACCTGCTCGTTTCCTGACGGATATCCGACTTGGATCCCTTGGCTCCCTTCAATTCGGTGCTATCTGTGCTATCTCCCCAATCTCTCGCCTTGATGAGTGCGTCGACGTTTTCGGACGCTTCCCTGGCCCGTGATTCTCAGAGGTTTGTGCTGTCGCTCCCCCAGCTCTTGGTCGTCTCAAAGCTGGCTGTTCAACTCTTACTCGGTCATCCAGGGCTTCTCGCTGACGATGCTCACCTCCAGCGCGGACTTCGACTTGATCGTTCGCCAGCAGCCCACCCGGGCGCGCGTGGCTGGTGGGAAGGAGAAAGGTAGGTCGCAGCCAGGAAACTTGGTCCCATGGACGAGCAGCAGTTGACTTGAGGATCGCGTTGCCTGGACAGAACGCAAGCCAGTTGATCCGCCTCCAATCGTGCAGATTCGAGTGAGAGAGGAGGGGACCTATCTCGCACAGTATGTGACCGCAAACTTCGAGCCCTCGTGCCCTCGGCTTTCACCTGGCTAATCGGCGCGAGTAGACATTATCTTCAGAGTCCCTATTATTTTATGTGCTGCAGCCTCTACGATGCTTCAGAAGACAATCCTGTTCCCGTGGCTCCATCCACCGCACTAACTGGTACACTGGTCTCCTCGCTTCACCGGTTGAAGGACGTGGACAACAGCGGTAAGGGAGGCTCGGGAGTGTTGGCAGACATGCGCCGCGTACTGACGCGCTTTTCTTAGATGGAGGGTTCTTCGTTTGGGGAGACCTGTCCGTGAAGATCGAGGGCGACTTTCGACTCAAATTCACTCTCTTCGAAATGCGCAAGTAAGCCTCTCCAGTTCCCCCCGCGGAGAATGAGAAAGGAAAGGATGTAAATCAAGAGCTCGTGTTGACATTGATCTATAGGGATGATGTAACTTACCTAAAATCCATCATTACGGACCGCTTCACTGGTGAGTACGCTTCATTATTGAACCCGTTGCACAGCCCGAGATCAAAGGCTTACCGGATGCAGTTTACCCTCCAAAGAGCTTCCCTGGAATGGGAGAGTCGACCTTTTTGTCTCGATCATTTGCAGACCAAGGAGTAAAATTGAGGATCAGAAAAGAACCGCGGACGCTGATGTAGGTAGACCATAGAATTTACAGTACGGCCCGGGATGGCGCTAGCGGCATGGCTGACTGGTGACACAGAAAACGACCACCCCCACGACCGGAGGATTATCCTCAGCCGCTTCCACGATCTCCAGATCGCTCGTCAATTCAGATGTCTAGTAACGCATTCAGCGGGTACCCTCAAACAGCAGGCAGAGACTACGCGTCGTACTACGGAGCGGCGCATCCAACAAAACGAGCACGGATGTCGTCGATTGACATGGGCACCAGAGGTGTCTATGATGCAGATGGCCGACTTCGCCAGATGGATGCTTACCCTCAGACTGCAATATACAATCAAGCTCAGGGCTATCCGGCTTCTATGATGCAGGGTTATCCGACGGGGCATGCGGGAGTTCCTGACTATACGGTATGTCGGCCTGTCTCTTCGTTTGGCGGTCACTTAGTCGGTCGCCCTCAACAAGGCTACCCCAGTGTCCTTTAGAAGACCGCAGCTAATGCTTGCTTAAGCTGACTCCGGAACAGATGAGTTACGGAATTCCGGCTTCGGCTCAGGTACCCCAGATGCAGGATCCAAGTGTTCACAGTCGATCGAGTCAACAGGCGACGATGCAGTCTCTTGGGATGGTAAATCAGCCTGGCACGCCGGTACGGACTTTTTTTCCCGTTGTTCCTCTATTCCCGATGATAGACTAAGAACAAACCATTTTTGGATAGACAGCGGATGCAACAGGGGCGATGATGTCTCAAGGCTATCCTCGATCCCAGCAATATCAGACCAGCTCAACGATACTCCCTCCTCTGCAACGGAACCGCAACTTTCCCCAGGGGACAAATGGGGCGACGGCTCGAGGTTACTTTGATCAATCGTCTCAAGCGGCTACACCAATTCTACCATCTCAGCCCATGGGTACGAACGAGGCGGAGCGATACGGTTCCGCGCCCGGTCAGCCCCCTTTCGACCATCCTGGTTCGGCGAATGGCACCCCCCGATAAGCGAATTGACGTCCAGATGTATGTGTTCTGATATTGACGATTTCTTTCTTCTCCTTTGCTTTTGGTTTCTTGCTGTTCATTGTTTGCTATGGGATACTTGGATAGACAGTTCGGTCGGTGTTACTTCATGGGAACTGAAATCGGCGGCTCTTGGGGATACATGGCGCCTGGGGAATTAAAATGGGTCACCAGGGGTTTTATTGCTACGTCTCTTGCTCTTGCTTCTCTTGTTTCCAGGATGACGGTTACGAGGGAGGGTACTACTGACTTCGCTGTATATATTATTATTTTTTGACCTGGAGCAGTATTATGACCTGAGGTGGGCAGCCGGTCTTCTTGCTTTGCTGCTCGCTCCTTGCTCATGAAATGGAAGTTAGGCAGTTTGGTACTGTCAGAAATCAGACCCCTTTCGTTGCGAAGTAGTTAGAAGTTTGTTGGAGGTGATCTTGGGTCTAGGTTTTGTGTCGGTGTTGCCGTTTCTGGCAGGATTGCAATTTATCCAAACAGTCAACCTCCTTAACTCATTCACCTCCGGGCACCACGCGTCGCCTCGACCATATGTGTTCCTTCCTCCGCTCCCCCTTCCCTTTCCTTCTTTTTATCACTCACTTGAGATCGTCTTCCTCCTTCGTCCTATACTATTGTGACTTTCCGCTCAACAGAGCCCTGCTGCTCACCAACGGCTTCCGGTTGGGACAGCATGGCGGAACATCTGGAAAAGGCACGAGTCGGATCAACTCCAAATCCGCCTGAGATTTCGAACCTGGAAATACGAAATACATGGTCGGGTAATTTCGAGGATCCAGTGGCCGTAAGAATCTCCCTGGAGGTAAGCAAATTCACCCACCTCATCCTCTGAGCGTGCTTGGAGGCTTGAAGGGTCTGCTGCTGATTCAAGCAACCGGGTCATATGAGCACACAGGTCCAGTGTCTTCCCAACACGCAGTTTCAGCTTCTGAACACAAAGCACTCGGCCATTTCCCTTATCAGCACTTCTGTAACCCGCGTCCATTCGGACCATTTCGGTCAGAGCGATCAGTCAAAATATGAATATCGTCCCCCCAGTCCCCTCTTTGCTTTCTCTTCATCATTGATTGAGGACGAAGACAATGGAGAGGAAACTAAGCTTGACTCGGGGAGATCGTCTGTTTTTAACGCGGGGCATGAGGCCAGCGACGTCGGATCCCCCAAGGACGTTGTTGGGTCACCCAGCAACGATCAGGTTGCGAAGGCCAGATCTCACTCTGGTGGAGCCAGCCCTCGGTCAGAAAGACCCCGAGTTACACGTCTGAGGACGACGAGCCTTCAGGAAACACGCCGCCGACATGCATCACGTAGCACTCCCCCAATGAAACCGCCGCCCATATGTCTAAACATTGCTCGATCTGAGGACCGCAACAACACCCAGAATCTAGGGAAGCGAAGCGCTGCAGATGCGTGTCTCCCGAGTTCCGCATCAGACACGGAAAGTGAAGATCTGAACGAGAAAGCAGTGGAACGCGGTGGTGCCTCGCACAATGCTGTCTCTACCGGCCTTGCTCACAGACACAAAAGCCTAGCGAAAAGTCCACTTGCTGAGAAGATGCAGAGGTTGAGAAGCAGGCTCTCCACTAGCTATCGCTCTAACCATTCGAGTCGAAGTTCTAGATCTACATCAAAGATTGACAAACCAGTCGAACCAGTGCTCTCAGATGCATCATCCGATGCTGGCCTGGGTGCTTCGAGCTACATCGAGGTTGGAGAAAATGACCTTTCAAACACCACGGCTACTCTTATCGATCTTGAAGAAGTAGCTGCCACTACCGTGTTGCCTACGGGTAAACAACCAGACTCTGGTAATGGCTCGATCTTGCTGGCAAAAGACATTAAAGGAGCAGCTGTCAGTAACGTTGCGCCTACGGATAAGCAACCGGACTCTGGTATTGACTCGATCTTCACGGCAAGAGACATCGAAGTCCTAGAAAAGTCCCTTTGGGAGCACGAGTCTTGGAGGCATCAGAAAACCCGTGTCGATAGCAACCTTCCACCCATGGAAACAGTTCCAGACCATATATGTAGTCAAGAAGCCCCAGCTACTCCCCTCAAATATAAGCAACGGTCACTGTTCGGTGGCACAGACGGAGCGGCGGACACTGAATCGATGCATGGATCTTTGCACAGTGACGAAACCCTCCGAGAATCTCGCCATCCACTCACAGATCCTGAGCACGATAGGATGACCACAGAAGCCCAAAGCCCCATCACAAACTCGACCTCGGCCAAGCCTGGATCCCCAGAGCCTACCATCTCGGAGCATCCAACCGATGACTCTGAGAAAAACCCCGATTCACCGCAGCCGGAGGTATTTGCTGAACCGGAACTGATTCTCATCAATGACATCTTGTTTGTCAAAAGCCCTCCCAACATAACACCAGTGCCATACAAGATGGTTCTCACCTTGACCATCAAGCTTCAGAAAGGAGCACCAAGTGGCTGGAGCTATCTGGTCATCCCGGGGTTGCCTAGGCTGGGAAAGGATGAAATCGGGGTCTTGCTCTTTCAGATTCCGGCAAATCACGGGCTTGAGTTTCGAATCACGAACCTGGGAAGGTACAAGATGGTGGAGAATTGCTTTCTGGCGGAGTTAGTCTATCGTGGAGACATTATGATACCTCTTCGACGGTGCGACCAGAATTTCTACGGCATTATCAAAGGTTTCACTGTGGACCAAGAGATCAAAGCGGAGATCATGCCTTGCTCTGGCGCCGCGGAAGGCACTCGCGACCGCCAGAAAGCTATTTGCATTCAGTACCAGGCATTCTGCTCGGTGAAGCTTCACAATCGTTGCTTCTGCGCTGAGAAATGCTGTGTGTTACTATCAATAGATGGTGGGCCCGAAGGCTTCTTTCGAACCGAACTTGACACTCGAAAGACAGGGCTACAGGTGGTTCAGATCGCGCCGGAACATGACACGCCTCTGGGTACCTCGATCCTACAAATCATCTGCCACCCGAAGAACTATGAGATGTTCTGCATAAGCTGGACGGTCAAACTCTCTCACAACAACAAGAAGAAAGCAAGCAGCTGGCTTCCTAGAGTCTACCCTGGACCATCCGGTTCGAATGATCGTGCTAAGCATTATCTCAGATACACTCACTTGGAACGAGGCGATGAATCTCCTTCTAAAAATGCAGCAAATCACCATCCTGGAGAGTCTTCCATGAAGGTAACGCCTGACGATTCTGAGGCTGGCTTGCAGACACAGGAGCAGCCGCTGGAGCATTCATCGCATTCCCAAGAGTCTGGCGCTGCAGATGCTTCTCCAGTAGGGAGAATAGACGATGTAGTGAACATTGGCGAAGCGACCTCCCTAATGACGACAGGAGAAGTCACGGACGTCAGCGAAGAAGCTCATGGAGCAGTTAGTGATGTAGATGGTGAGGAGGAGATTATAAAACGTGGCGAAGATGCGATAGCTGGTCAGAATGAAAGGTACGCGAGTCTTCGAACGAAGGGCCTTGTTGTGATATTTTGCCTAGGGTTTGCTGTGGGTGGCATGTTTACTTCTGTTTGGCTTGACGACATATACATCAACGCTCTCAGTCGTTCAATTCGAGGCTCTTCGGAATCGTCTGTCATGCATGAAGGGGGCATTAATTTGACTAGCGAGGTGAGCTCTGTGATGGCGGATAAGAATCACTTTCAGCCGATGTTCCAGCTGAAGAAGACTGAGTCAGTTGGAGGGGATGTCAATTTGCCGGAGGAACCGACTGAGCAGGAGTCTGTTGATGCAGAGGTCGAATTGGAGGGCTTGGGAAGAGGAGCAGAAGAAGTCGAAGGAGAGAAGCAGCAGCCACTCCATCCACACCAAACCCGTTCATTCCGAGACCAGGTGGATTACTGGCTGGGATGGCGCGGGCCAATTGTTCCAAACAGTGACACAGTGTGAGGGATTTGTGTTGAGATTGGGAAGCAGAACCCGTATCAAGCAGATACCAATTATGTGTCTAGTCTAGGTAGAATATTTACAATGGTCATCATGGGCTTTGCAGGCTGTCTATACCGTTTTCTCTAGGTGCTTCAACACTTCCTCCACTGCCCAAGTCAAGAGCTCCGTGATGGGTTTATCCCCGCGCCCCGGAGCAACCGTGACCCCGGCATTGTCTCGCAAGCGAGTCCCCTGGCCCACGAGCCTGACCAGCACCTGGGGATCCGACTCCCTCAGCAAGCGGTCCTCGTCCTCCGTTTCCCCCTCTGGGAGCAACAACCACGCATGATCCTTGACATAATTGGGCCAGACGATATCATCGACATAGCCGGGGGGATCGGTCCAGAAATTCTGCGGCGGCCGATCATCTTCCGCCTCCAAGTCGATACTTTCCCTGTCGGCTTTCACCGCGTCACCACTAACGTTACCCTGCTGTTCCCCCTCCCCTGCTGCTGCTGCTGCTGCTGCTGCTGCTACCTCCGGCACCGGCGCCGCCCCAATAGTCACATACCCAGACCTCCTCTCCCGCCGCTCCTTGACCTTCTCATACGCCGCCGGCAAGAACAACCGCCCATCCATCCGCTCATGGACCTCCCTCAGCGGGTGCTGCGCTGCCGCCGCGGTGTCGCATGGAGGCGCGAAGAGCAAAAACCCTTCCATGAACGCGACTGTCTTCGTCCCAGCATCCGCCCCCGCCCCAAGCCGCTGCTGCACCCGCCTCCGCAACTCCTCCACGACCTGCTCCTCCCCCACTGCCCCTGTGCTGGTATCATCCACAGGCTGCGTGTCATTCTGATCCTCCTTCGACCGCAGCCGCGGCGGCAGCCGTCCGTGCGTCCGGATGTAATCCAGCGAGGCCGCCAGGAAGCCCAGGTCGAGGGCCCCCGCTGTGTCCCAGTTTTGGAGGACCGTGCCGGTTGGGAGGGTTGTGAGGGGGATTCTTTTTGCGGTGGATTTGCATTAGTCTGGAGGGTAGAGTGGGGTTGGGGGGGGGAGTGGGGGGGGTGAGGTTGCTTTTCCTGGGGTTGGGGGCGAACAGGCAACGTACTTATCGTCCGAGTGGTAGAAGTCATCTTCGTGGATGAGGAGGGATCGGAATTTTGGGGTTGGGGTGGTTTCACCTGGAGGGAGGGTGAAGATGCGGTGCAGCAGGCGCGCGAGGGTGGTTTTGCCGCTGCTGGAGGGGCCGGAGAGGCCGATTATTATGGTGGGTGGGGTAGGGGGTGTTGGAGGGGGCATTTTGGATGTTGGTTGATGATGCTGAGGCGCAGGTAGGTGGCTCAGAAGAAGAGCTTGGGGTTAGAGGAAAGGGAAGAGGGGTAGGACCGTAGGGTACGTGCTTGATCGGCGGGGTTATCGCGATAGCAAGCTGAGGTGGGGCGCGCTGCGTACGAGCGTTGTCTTATCGTTATCGCACGCGCGTGATATTGCACTGTAGGTTTTTTTTTTTTTTTGCAACAGTACTACAATGTAATTCATGATTGGGTGATTTACCTACTGTACTGTACATCTTTGGTAGAAGGTGTTATACATAGTGAGTAAATCTCCATATATGGTACACAATATCACCGAACGTTTTGCCCTCTCTTTACCCCGTCATGTAGCTCCAATATCAAGCCGATCAATACACTGTGTTATCTTCGTACAGCCGGACTTGCACGACCACTCGACGACTCCCCCGAACGTACCGTGGGCCGCGGGGACTTGGAACTCCGTGGAGGCGTCATGAGAATTCCCTGCGAAGACACGAAGCCCAATCTCGCCGCCGAGGTCCGTCGCCGTTTCGGGGTTACGATGTCCGGGCCGGAGGAATTGCTTTCGCCGAGGTGTACCGGCACGAGACGCGCGCGTTTCCTCCGGAGCGCGGCCGGCGGTGTCTTCGGAGAAGAAGTCGCGGCTGCCGCCGTCCCCGCCATCTCGACACTCGAGACATCCTCGTCGTCGGCGATCGCGAGCTTGTGTCGACTGAAGAATCCGGCAGGGTGCTTCAGATATGCTAGTCGCGTGGCGGAGGAGGGGGGCTCGTTCTCCGACATGGGGATGAAGCGCTCGTTCTGGATGATCGAGCTCATTGTGCTATCGTCCAGCAGGTCGCGCTCGGCATGTTGGATCTCGCTGTCGGTCATGGCCTTCCGGCGCCGCAGCATCTTGTCCTCGAGGGTGTCCCTCAACACGAGCGTCTCGACGAAGACGGGGCGGGTCTGGCCGATGCGGTGCGCTCGCTTGATCGCCTGGCTTTCGACATTCGGCTGCCAGATGGGGTTGACGATGTAGACGCGCGAGGCGTTGGCGATGTGCAGTCCGTGCGAGGCCTGCCGGAGGTCCATGAGCAAGACACGCACCTCCTCGGACTCGCGGAACAGGGTCAGGTATTCCGCTCGGGTGTCGGGTTTGAGGGTCTGCGCGTAGATCCGGAAATCGATTCCGAGAAGCTCGATTCCTTCCGCAATCCAGTATGCGGTGTTGGGGTTTTCGTAGAACACAATGATCTTCTCGCTCTTGTGGTACTCGGAGATCTGGTCCAGGAGGTACGTCAGTTTGGCCGAGGCGGTGGCGACAAGTTTGGTTCTGGCGAGTGGGGAGTCAGGCGACAAGGTCTTCACCAGACCCTTGCTGTAGGTCTTCTTGGGCGATTTACTCTTGATCGGCTTGTCCGGCGTGGTCTTCTTCGTCTCGAAGTTGTCGCCCTCGCTGCTGCTAGCGAGTCGAAGCTCGCGACGCACCTTGATGCCTGCACCAGCGAGCCCGTCGGCCGGGTCGGGTGTGTTCAGTTGTTTGGTAACGAATCGCTGCGCGTGATGCGCTTGCGTGATTCCAAGTAGTAGAGGCTCATCCTCGACGCTTGTGTTATCGAGGGCCCACATGCTTCGAGCATGAGAAGGAAAATCCTCGACGAAAACACCGAGTTCGTGCATCTGCTTGAAGGCATGCCAGCTGCTACACGCCTGAGCCTGTTCCGCAACCTGGATGCCCTTTTGTAGCATTTCAATATCGTTGTCGGTCATCGTATCGCGGTTCTTCTCTAAGTACTTCAAAGCATTTTCAATCGTACTTGAGAGGCCTTCATCTGAGCCGGCCCACCAGAATCCCGCCTGGCGAAGATTGCTGATAACCTGGCCCAAGTGCTTCCGGTTGCGAGGGTGGAACATGTAATCTTGATCCTTTCTTTCCGAGGTAATTGCGTTGACCGCCAAGATGAAGATGAAGTAATTCAGACTCATTTTATCGTAGAAAGTCGGCTCCAGCTGCACGACTCGGTTGTAAAGTCTAGGAAGCGTGATCTCATTGTGGATGACATCCAGCTGATGCCGAACGACGAGGCTCTGCAAAGTAGCCCGGAGTGATGAGGCCTTTCGCCGTTTCAAGCCAGGCCCTACAGGCGTCATATATGTGACCCAATTGGCCTGGTCATCTGTCCGGTTCCGGGAGTTCGACCAGGGTTTCACCTCAAGGAAATCAATCACAATCCGCCGCAACTTTTCCAAATCCTTGAGCTCGCTATCCTTAGCCTTGCCGGTCTTCTTCCGCCCCTTCAACACAGCCATCGTCGCTTCGGTCAAGTCCGTATCGCTGGTGTGGGTCTCCTGTGAGGCTAAACTAACCTCCACCCCGTAAAGCCCGCTGGACGGGGTACCAGACACGACCCACCTCCGCTCAATGCGCAGCTGTTTGAGTAGATGAGCCATGTTCGACCGATGTCCGCTGCCGGCGGCATTGTGGCCCTCATCGACGATGATACGCAACCAATGGATCTTGGTCAAGGGGGAAGTTGGAGGTTCAGAGAGGTGCCGAGTGAGATGAGCCGGTTCACCAGCTTCCTTCTCGAAGCGTGCCTTTGAGAAGAGGATAATATCATAATGCAACAGCTCATCAGGTGAGGGGATTTGGTCGCTGTTGTATCGTAGAGTAAGTACCTTGAGACCTTGCGTGTGCATTTCGATTTCCTTTTCCCAATGGCTAACCAGATTCGGTGGAGCAACGATCAACGTGCCCGAAGAGAGATAAAGCTTCTGGGGAGGCGGCCTCGGATACGGCACGCCGCTGCGACCTCCGTGCCTAGCTGGGGGCGGAGGTATAGTATATGAGCCGCGATTCCTCTCACATGCTTGGACACATCTGTTATACAAGGCGCCGTAGTGGCCTAGTTCGTCAAAGTGGGATTTCCATGGCAGCGAGAACCGACCGGCGGTCGCCGCGGCCATCTCGACCAGACTTCCAGTCGTGTCCCGGACTCGGGGTTTCAATTCCTGATGCTCCAGAGGAATTTCCGGGAAATGTCCCCGTGTTGCCAAGATCACAGCCAGACTGATCAGTGTTTTACCGCAGCCCATCGTTTCCGCCAAAATCCCTAGCAAATAGAGCGTCAGCAGTTTAGCTTCCCTTGGATACGCACAATAAACATAGCTAAGAACAAACCTCCACAAGCCTCCGAATACATCCTCTTCTCCCGCAAAATCCGCCCCTCCTCCTTGTCATAGTAATACTCCTGCCCCGTTGGACCTATGCGAGCCTCGAGTCGAGGATCCAACATCTGCGCCGGCTGAGCCTCCCGCTGCACCATCGTCGCAGCCGAGCGACGTTGATAGGGATACAACGGCGTCTTGAGCCCCAATACCCCTAAATAATCCTGGCCGGACTCCTCCTCGTCGTCCTTCCCATCCCCTCCGCCCAACGCCGGCGCTGGCGTCGTCACGGTAAGCAACTGCTCCATCGCCCTCCTCGCATACGGGTTATCTTTGATCATATCTGCCCGAGGCGCCGGATCCTGCAGGGTGTTGAAAATGTACCAGAGAGACTCCTCTTCTTCCTCCTTCCCATCCTCCTCTGGATCCCGCTTAGTGGAGCCCCAGGTGTTCCAATCCGCGACAAAGTCGCCCGACCACGCTCCCACCGAGCGATCGATCCTCTCCATGACGACCTTGAGCGCCCGGCGCAACGCCGGATTCGACCGCGGCAGGTACTTGCGCCCCACATCATCCGGCAGCACGTAGACCTGCACCCCGCACCACGACGAGTGTTCTTCCGAGTATGTGAAACTGATCGTCCGGATCCACTGGTGACTTTCCAAGTTGGCGACTTGGGAGGCCGGGTATCCGTCCGCCGCCTCCGCTGCCGGGGCCTCCTCCACACTCCCGTACACCGGGTTGCGCTTGCGCAGCACCCCCACGGCGATGTACGAGACGAGCGAGATGTCCGATCCTTCCCCGTCCCTGCCTGCTGTAGCAACAGCAACAGCAGCAGTCGTGGCAGTAGGCGTATCAATCGCCACGATGCTTCGGGAAGCGGGGCATTCGGACTGAGGCGTGGCAGGGGTCGGCGTCGAGGCCGGGGAGTCGACCGATGATTCTAGCCCCGGGTAGAAGTCGGTGGCGGATAGGGCTTCCCGGTCGGAGTCGAGAGCCATGGTGTCATACTTGATTCCTGAGATGTGTGGTAGTGATGCCTGTATGCCAGTAACTCCCTTCTCCCCGGGGAGAACGGGGGCAGAAGCAACCGGTCAGCGACCATCCTCTTTTTCCAACGTTGGCACTTCCGGCAGGGAGAAAACAACCTTGTCTCCATGTCAATAGGGTGTTTCGAACATACCTGACAATCAGGGGTATCGACAGCAGGTGCAGATGTCACATTAGCAATTTCATTTGCGGTCAACATGGCAATGATAAAAGCACTTGTTCATGCGCGACCCAAGGTGTTTGTTGTTGCGTGTTGATCCGCAACTAAGGACCAAGCCGAAATCTTGTCGGCGGCAATCTCACTGGCCTGGGTCTAGTCCTTCACAGGTGGGCTGTAGTTGCCGCCATCTGGGCATAACACACAAAGAGAATTTCTGCAGTACCAAACAGAGAATAAGAGTAGTGAGGGAGAAAGACCACAGAGCCGCATTAGCCCCTGCAGATAGGTGGATATACTGTACTTCGTACAGTACCTGAAGGTGGTAGTGGTGAGTGACCCCGGGTTTTCAGCTCGATGCATCGATCGAGGGTCGGGTGGAGGATCTGCCGATAAGCGCCACAATCGCTTCAAGGTGATTGGGTAGCACGCGTCACCGCCCTCTTCGGTGCCGGATAAGGTTATATTGGCTTTGTACTAGGTAGTTTAAGTACCTGGGTAGGTAGGTCTCTGCCTGAGGCAACGTCTTCGACCTACTCCGCTCCACTGTGGACTGCATCCCCACCAACAGTCCTGACACGTTCATAATATCATATGTACTGTACATCCAAAAGATCGCCCTTTTTGTTTGACAGATGATGCTTCAGGCTATATGGCTTGCCAAGAGCCCCTCATGAGGCTTGATTGAAGATGTCATTTTTGTTGTGAATCTTGTATACTTTATATATCTTCAACATAAGTATATCATAAATATTATCAAATGTCCTCCGCCATTGACAACGCCTCATTTTGTGGAAGACTAACCAGAGAAAACAAACCTCCCGGACCCACAACGCCGCATAACCCTTGAAAGATACAGTGAAGGTGAACAACAAACCGATATAAGATGGGCATCGAGCGCTGAAAGTGAGAGCCTGGAAATACTACATCCAGGGAGGGCAAGTTATCAGAAATTCAGTAATGGCTAGAAAAAGGTACCCAATCGATCATTGCGTCAGGAAGTCCTCAATCTCAAAGCTTACTCTTTTCAAGATTTTCTCCTCCATTTCCTTGGAGGACGACGCCGCCCGTCGCACAACGATCGTTCGCGCATCCTGCAGGCGGACCTCCACGGTATTGCCTCCGTAACGGTCCAGTTCCTCCTTTTCGCACTCCCGGATATAGACTGTGATGTCCGGCCCCACGCAGGCACGCCAGAGGGAGGCCATCCATTGCCAATGATCCAGTGGTGCATACGAGTCGCCTATCTGCACGGAGCATGCGAATGCGTCCGCAGTGGTCAGTTGATACCGAGGAACAAGGGCAACTGGTACCCGGTTGGTGTTGATTTCTGTCGGAGCCACCGACGGCGACCGGCTTTCCGCCGACGGTTCAGGTGAATTGATCTGCATTTCGGCAGTCTTCGGGACTATCGTTCGGGGTGACACGCCCGTGGGTTCCTTATTTTCGGATTTGGGCTCGGATGAGGCCCGCGCCGGCTTGACAAAGTTTGTGATCTTGTCGGAGATGCGGTGCCATTCGGAGATGATGTTGAGGTAGTCGACTGTCGCGTCTCCCATCTGGTCCGAGTCGGAGTAGCTCTTTCGGGGGTTGATATCAGGTCCGGTGAAAGTGTGGGTCTGATATCTACCTTCCTTCTGCAGGGTGTTGTTGAGATGGTCAACCATTGTCTTGACCAAAGCTGGATCCTGCCCATCCACCGCAATCACGGCTCCCCGCCGGGGTGCCGCGTTGCCGTGGTATGGGGGGGCGAGAGGAGGCGATATCTTAGCAAGGACCTTGATCTTATTGAGGAAGGGGATCGTCATGACCGTGGCTTCGAGGGTAGAACCGTCCCGTGCAAAAGGAGTCATCGGGGTCATAGCTCCCGGCTGAGAAGAAACAGTAGTGGTCTGCAGGGGAGGGAGTTTGAGGCTAGGGTCCGGGGGGGTAAAATCCTTAACATTTCGAACGGGTCTCTGAGGTGGCGTCAACTGCAGAAACCCTCTTGTATCAGAGACAGTCGAGTGAGGTGTGTAAGGAGAGACGGGATATGCAGAATCAGGGCTCCGGTCACGTTGAATGTTGTTTTTGAAAGAAACCTGGGGATTAAATCGGCGGCGCTTGCTATCCGGAGACCGGCTGCCACTCTCCTCAAAATGACGCTGACGAGGTGACTGTGACTCCCCGGTGGGAGCGATCCGGACCACACTTGGGGCTCGATCCATGTCTTTGGACCGAGCCTGGCTGCTGCGCACGGCGACAGTCTCGACCTGTGGAGAGACGCTATTGAACCCCGAGGTGCTGGGGGTAAAAGGCGGCGCGTCCGGTGATACGGGCGGGTTCATAACTCGGCCACCGCACCGGCTGCAGACTGTGGAGCCGGGCGGGTTATGGCTAATGCCAGAGCTGGCGTTACGGGAGTTCCCATCGCGGCCGTAGCGACGAGGCTGATATCTGTACTCCGGATACTGCTGCTGATGGCGGGCTTTCTCTTCCTAAACAATCAATCATGTTAACAAGGAATGTTCGGCCGACCCAAGATGGTAAATTCCACTGACCTCTGCTAGAGCCTTCCATGTGTCTTTGGTGTCCTGGGGCAGTTTTCTCCACTGCTCCCCGATGATCTTAGAGATTTCAGGATTGGCTAGCCCCGGATGTTGGGCCACGACTGATGCTTGCCAATGTTGACGATACAAGATAAATGCTACATTCACTTTGATCAGCTGGTCTGCACATGGAGGTACGATAGCGATAGCTATTCGTGCGCCTGAAGCTACATACCGTTCCTGGGTCTGGGGATCTTCGGATCTGGCTGACATAGGCAAAAGTTGGCCGCTGATTCTCTCGTGGTCGGAGCCACGGCTTTGACTGGGCTGGACGAGGATGAGCGCTCTGATACGGAAGACCGTTCGCGTAGAGGAGTCGACTTGGTGCCCAAAAAAGTCGGTGGTTTCGAGGCCTCTAGGGAAGGTACAGTTTTGTTCATGGCTATCTTGTGCCGATTGTGGGCCCTATGCGTATAGGTGAAGCTGTCAGCCCACCGGCGAGGCGCTACGAACGAAGCGACATCGCCATGGTGATGGCCCATCACAGGCATTTTCGAGTAACCGTCGTTCATGATCTTATGGTCAAGGAGACTACCGGTTGATGGAGGTAGCGTGGCCAAAGAAGGATCATATCGTAAAGCAGGGGGCTTGGGAAGAACTCGATCAAAAGCCATTTAAGAAAACGCCGTAGAAGCGGTGGCCGACGAGTATCTTTAGGTGAGCAAAGGAAGGGCGCGTGTAGTTGGTGATTGTGGTTCAGATGGACTGAAAGGACGGAACGACCGGTGAAAGAGAGCAGAAGGGGGGTGGGAAAGAATTATAGAGAATAGAATTCGGTATTCGCGACGAAAGAAAGGAATAGAGGCGAAGGGAAGTTTAAGCTGATGAAAGAAAGACATGCACATATCAATCAATCAAGAAAAAGGGCTGAGTAGGCTAGAAACGAATGACTTTGCCTCGTGGTTGGGGAAGTTGCTGCTGGGCTGGCGACACACTCAGTATTCACAAATTCACAAATTGTAGTGGAAATAATAATAATCAGGAGGATAATAATAATGACAAGCCTGACCGAAAGAATAATAATAAAGACGATAGTAAATAATAATGAAAATAATGAGGACGATGAGAATAATACCAATAACGGTGGGCAAGGGACTTGTGTTTCTTCTTTTGTTTTCCCTGAGCGTCAAGGATAGGGTTGGTTTGCCTTTGCGTTTCTTTATTGTGGAAGCCTCTTCGACTTATTTTCTTTCTCTTTCTTTCTCTCGTCCGAATTTCAATCATGGAGGGAGAGAACTTTAGACAATGAATGATAGGACGTTCCTATTCAAACCAAACTTACCAAAAGGGAGGGCGCCGGGGAAGAAAGCCGGAGGGGATTTGGCTTTCTGAAGTGCTTTGTTATAAGAGCCGACTATCTTTGGACCCGGTGCCTTAACTTTTCTTCCCTCCCCTACTACGTACGTCTTAGGTCTTAGTCTACATGAAATCACCTAATTCTGGAACCGGGGTTCCTTTGTCTGTCTTTGCCAGGATACGCCGAATAGCCCGGCCTTAGTTGGAAATCTCCACCACACAAGATAGTTTGTTTCTTCGCGAGATCCAAATGGAACCCCAAACCTCATCAAGTGGGATGCAGGTTGCCATGATACAATAGAATAGAAAGAGCACCGCAATGGGTAGTCCGTGGGCTGCCGGAAGATTGACATCATAAACAGATTATATTGGATTATTGAGAAGGTAAGAGAAGAATTGTTACTAGGTGGAGTGGTAACAAAGGAGATCGATGGGATGGGATAATGACGGTATTGACTATCAACAGGGGGAGGGAGGGACGAGGATGATTGAGTCATCCAAGTCACCTACAAGCAAACAGAACCATGTCAGACTAACTCGAACCAGAAAGGTCCAGTGATGACCTACTTACCAACTTCCTAATCATCTATGATGAAGGTGATATTTAGAGAAGAGGCCGATAGTTACAGGACGGGATGGGATGGATGGAAGGGTATTGTTCGCAATGTTTCCTTTGTTCTCGGGGAGTCCGCATGCGGTAGGCGGCTGCCATCCGAGGCCAATCACATCCATATCCACGCCCTCCCTCCCCACCGCCAATGTGACACCCGAACTTTAGTGCTAATCAGGTCTACTGAGCGTCGAACTACGGTAAGTTACTCTTGGGGTTTGATTGCCCCCTTCAAACAAGTGTACAGTACCTTTCCTTCCAGTCTCACTGGACCTTGTCGGGGTCAACTACTCCGTACTGACCCGTACTCCTGACAATGGAGTAGCAATCAGAACATAATCCCTGAGGTATAGTGTGGTTAGTAGGTATGCACTAGATACAGTACTTTCGAAACAAGATATCATCAGAGTCCTGTCTCCATTTACACATGGACCTAGCGTCATACATATGAGTAGTCTTGTACTGTACTTCCATTCCAGGTTACAACTACTGTATCTACGGAGTACGCGCAAAAGCCAGATCTAGACCGTTCGTAAAGCCCCCCCTCCTAGATCGCTTTTCCCCAGGTACCGGTACCTGGGCCTCGGGGCTAAGCAGCTATAGAAAGCTACCCAGTGACAGGCCAAGCGGAACTAGCGGTCTCTCATCCGGGCTCAGCTCTCTGCCTATTTTACCCCCATAGGAAACAGACCACGACAGGTAGTTCATTTGCTTGAGCTACGAAGTTCATCAGCTAGTGACTGATCGTCCCGAGACTGTCTGACAGCCGCTCGCACCCCCTCTTTTTGATTCAAACAAAGGAGCAGAGCCAGCAAAGATCATAAGTAACTTTGAACTCTCAAATGTATTGCCCGTACGTACTGTACCTCTTAAACGAGACGAACCACACCAATGATAGTTCACTTCCCCCTGTGCTTTCCAAACCCACTCCTCTGCTCCTCCTCCTCCTCCTCCTCCTCCTCCTCCTCCTCCTCCTCCTCCTCCTCCTCCCCCTACCCAACCACATTCCCCTGCGGTTCCCCTCCAGAACCATGTTCAGCTTATCTTCTTTCCACAAAGAATACTACCTACATAGTACTCGCTGAAGTCACTTTTCATCTTGCATCATTCTTGATCAGCTTGGATCCAGACTCCTTCCAGGCCTTCGGGGAGGATATTGGTTCATTGATACGTTGAGGTTGCAGGACCCAGTCAGTTCCTTTCTCCGAGTCGGTGCTGATTCAGGTTATCGCATGCCGCACCCACCACCCCTGGCACACCTCCCCATTATTTTCCAAGTCACGTTAACAATCACGTTACAACAATCCTCCACCCGACTAAAGCGGACGTCATGGAGACTCTCTGCTGCTTTTCTTCCCGGTCTCTCAATGAGACATACCACCTTGCCAATCCCTGATTCAGATCTAAAGCCGTGCCTGAGACCTCTGAACCCTGTCAGAACTCGGTTCAGCTGCTATCTCAACCCAGATGCTAGTGATGTTATCCGGTATCTTCCACTGGTGACGCCACAAGACTCAAGTGGTCTCACTCCAGCATCGCCTGAACTGCGATCGTGTGCAGGCCCGACGATAGAGCTGAGCCCAAGACCTCTTGGTCGCCTGTTCCGTCAGCGTTTGATAGTTTCGGGAACAGGCCAGTGTTTACCAGTCATCCTCTACAGGTCATCGCTCCCTGCAGGGCGAATTACGATTAAGTGGCATTGGCCAGGATCCCATCAAAGGAAAGTTGAAACATTTCTTTGTGTGTCTTGCTCTTTTTTTTTTCTCTTCTCTGTCTGTCTTTTTTTTTCATTTGTGTCTGGTGGGTTTCTTTCCTTTTTGTTCGTGTAAAGAACCTTACCGGAGCCACATCTCCTGGATTCCGTGAAAGACTTCCATGCCCAAAAGTCGGTGCGCGGACGGTCCCAAATGCATCTCGTTCCTGAAGGGAAATTGGTCAGCCTTTCCAGTCGAGTCATGAGTGCCAAGGATGATGCCTTGTTCTTACCAAAACAAAAACTTCTCCGGACGGTCACACTTCTTCGTCTCTGATGTCACCACCCATTGCTGGCTGCTCTGGACGCATGCGTCTTCTACGTTTTCCCAGCCAGGGTCTTCGTTCTTGCCCAACCCATTGGTCTCCTCAATCCCAGCAACGAAGAGCTGCCAGTCGCGGATCTGGTCGGCAAGGAAAGCATTCGTATCGAACAGATAGATCGTGCCATTGCCCCAGCCATCCGCTCTTTGTCGCAGATGTTGGTTCCAATAGTCGGACATGCTAATGGCGTCTTTCTGTTTCGCCTGGTGTTGTTCGGCCTGGACCCGGAATGCAGGCAAGAAGGTCACATCCGGGGCCAAGGTCAGGATAAGTTTCAAATCGTTGTGGCCCCAGAGCTCCGCCAGCAGATTTAGCTGATCCATGATCACGTCCAGCGTATTGTCGATCGATTGGGTCGCTTCTTTGTATGTCTTGCCAACAACATTCCACAGGTCCCACACGCCAAAGGAAAGGATGACAATGGTCCGGTTTTGACGGGTGCCGATCGCTTCTGAGCTCATCGCCTGCATAACTTCTGTCTCGGCTGCCAACCAATTGCTGACCTGGGTCTTTAGGTCAGCCAGGGGAGACTTGTATAGGTTGAGTAAAGAGCCCGATAGCTGTGAGTTATCCACGACCGAGCCGAAGTAATTTCCACTGTAAGACTTGGCGGTCTCGGCCAAGTTCTCGTGGTGACATGAAAACTGCCAGTGAAGGGATGATTAGCCTGTCATACCTAGTGGGATGGGATCTGATATCATAGCACTGCACTTACCGAGGAGCACAGCCATTCGGTCCAAACGGACCCTTGGATCTCAGCGGCATTATTGTCGCTCCAAGAATCCCCAAAGACAACTAGACGGCGGTCAAATGATGCTGCCGGGCGAAGCTTGTTGGTCGATGGCTCAGCGGCCACGACCCGGCGATAATAGTGCTGAGAGGCGAGGAACGAGGCAGAGAGCAGGATGCTGCATATCGCCAAGGCGCAGACGGCGTGGAACTTGCTAAAGAGGCGCATGAGTACGGGACATCAAGGGCCGCGAACAAAGGACGGCGGCGAGTTTGCGACAAAGGTGGTGAAGGCTGGCGCGCGGAGAAGCCGATAGACACTCGAAGCGACCGGCCAATGTCTTTGTTGCGTTGCAGGCGTGTTCCAGCCGACAAGGAGAGCTTGCGCCGCTTTTTGAGTTTCAAAGGAAGTTGATCAAGTTTCTTGTCTTAAGCAAGAAAAACGAAGAATACGAGGAAGACCTAGTATGGCAGAGTAGAGAAGAATGACGAGAAAGAGGAAGAGAAAGAGGAAGAGGAAAGTGGTAAACTAGTCAGGTCTGTAGGAGATCGACCTGCTGCGCCAACAACCAGCCAGCAGGGACTTTTTCCTGCTTTTCCCCCCTAATTTAACAAGATGGGAGGGGGACCCGACAAAAGACAACGACGTCGTCTTCCGGTGGTACCGCAGACGATAAGTTAGCGTGGCGATAGACAGCGAGCGAACCCGGATAAAGTGGAGACGTAAGACTGGAGAACGATTTTCTGTGAGGGTTTGAACGAGTACGATAATTTTGGGTGTGGAGGGGGGAAGAGGGATAATGGGGGACAGGGGAGAGTAAAAAAGCGTAGGATTGAAAGGGAGAGAAGAGAGTCAAAAGGTGACAGAGAAGAAGTGTTTCTTCGCCCCCAGAGTTCAAGGGATTGATTACGAGTATACTACTCTAGTTCTTCAGAAACTCAGGAGAGTTCCAAAACGGAGACCACGATGACAACCATAGTCTACTATTATCTATCAGCATCATTACTGCGGCCGCCTCATGGCCGCAATAAGGCTGTCAAATCATCTTCCAGTGGCCGCGCGGCGGGCTTCGGAACGGTAACCAGTCGCGTGCTCCGGGCTTCTTTTTGCTTGGCCGATTTGGAGGGGGTTGCGTCAGTGGTTCGAGTAAAAAGTCGCTAACTTACTCCAACGGGATCCTCTACCCATATTAAAGGAAATCATGAAATTCTACACATATTTTATGCCGTCCATTCTCATACGTACAATGTAGGCTATGCAGTTAGTAAGTAGGTCTAGCCAGATAAACAAAACCTGGGGACAGATCTTCGAATCAGTGATTACTCAGTATGTTAAACAGGGGTCTTTCCTGTTCCTTTCGAGGTCGGTACATTCAAGTTCTTTGTGTCCACTACTGAATCGTGCCCGTTGATATTTCATCCATACCTATCGATCGATCTACCGAATCAATTCTTAATCTATCTATCTATGTGTCAACGTGCGTGCGAGCGGACTGCATAACCCCGACCGCTAACTATCTCTAAACAGTCAATCTTGACCGAAAACCCCGATGACGAATTTCGCCATGGGAAGGGAAATTGGGGCGATTGATTTGGTCCACCAACGACTGTACTTTACTACTGTACAGTATGTAGTAGAGTAGGTACTCTACTTGCACGGACGGGCACGAGACCTACTGGGTGGAATTCAATGCGGCCGTATTATTCTGGTTGAATCTCAAATACGTAGGGAGTGGGATTAGATTGATTGGCAGGCATGGAAAGTCCTCCTGAAAGTGGCTTGATTTGTGCCGTTGCTTGGTAGAGTGAAGGCGGATGACCCGCATGATCATTCATTGATGGGAGGGTGGGTGGTTTGACACCGTGTGCGACGACAATGGGTATGGGCGTTTGCTGCTGGCTACATCGATTGTGTGTGTTTGTGTGTGTGTTTGTATGCGTTCGGCATGGACGCAATGCATGTCAGATTGCGCATTATTGCCTATGTCTGAAACTGACAAAGATTTGTAGAATTGTATTGCATGGGCAGAGGGTAAGATAGTGGGGATGTAATCGCTGGAGTACTTTGTTAGTCGCTGGGTAGGATCTTCATTGGTGCTGGGCGTGCGACTCGGTTGAATGAAAGCAGCTGCTGGCGAACGAGGCCTGGTTAAGCGCCTGGTTGGTGCCTGACTGCATATGCGCCTGAGTTTGTGGATGTCGAAAGACACGTGTAAGTGCCTGCAACTTCAGGCAGAAGCAGAAATCAGGTGCCGTCGGCTGACATAAGAGCCCTACCGAGAGCGCTAGCACGCAACAGGCTAGTGACATTAGTCATCCGCCCACACAGGGAAATCTCGCTACACCACCAAAAAAATCCCACGAAGAACGAATCCCCGACGACCTGAACCTCATCGACCTGTCGACAAACCCGCGCCCTCCGTCTTGACCGCGCAGCCCCGTCAAGATGAAGCTCAACATCTCCTACCCGGCCAATGGGTCTCAGAAGATCATCGAGATCGACGATGAGCGCAAGCTCCGTCCCTTCATGGAGAAGCGCATGGGAACCGAAGTCAGCATTACCCTCTCCTCCCCTGTTTGAAAAATGGACGCGCTCGGAAAACCACACACATCGAAAGAAGAACACACAGAACCTTCAGAAATACATCTGCACACGATTACACACGACGGGGAAATGGATGAACAGAATGGCTGATTGGGATGAATTTTGCAATTACAGGTCCCCGGCGACTCCCTCGGTGACGAATTCAAGGGTTACCTCCTCAAGATCACCGGTGGTAACGACAAGCAAGGTACGATTTCGGAACGCCACTTTCCTTTCGTCTTTCATCTGCTGCGCCGGTTGAGGAGGTTATGGGGAGAGCGGGGAAGCATTCGGGTAGTGAAGGATGCGCGCAGCAGACTGAAACGACATGTGTTCGCATATCGAGACATGCAGGCTAACTTGACATGACTAGGTTTCCCCATGAAGCAGGGTGGTATGTACCGACCAATCATGAACGCCCAGCCACACGACAAACCAGACAGAAAACTTACCGATTTCGCCTCTTGAACAGTTCTCCTTCCTACCCGTACCCGTCTCCTCCTCGCTGAGGGCCACAGCTGCTACCGCCCCCGCCGCACCGGTGAGCGCAAGCGCAAGAGTGTCCGTGGTGGTATGTTCTACAGATCCGAGTTTCCTGAGAAGATTGGACGAGTCAGGGTTTTGACACGCAATGTTTCTTTTCCACAGCCATCACCGGTCAGGATCTCGCCGTCCTTGCCCTGAGCATCGTCAAGCAGGGTGAGGGTGAGCTCCCCGGTCTCACCGACACCGTTGTCCCCAAGCGCCTCGGCCCCAAGCGTGCCACCAAGATCCGTCGTTTCTTCGGTCTCGACAAGAAGGATGATGTCCGCAAGTTCGTCATCCGCCGTACCGTCACCCGTGAGGGCAAGGCCGACTACACCAAGGCCCCCAAGATCCAGCGTCTGGTCACTCCCCAGCGTCTCCAGCGCAAGCGCCAAAGGGTTGCCCTCAAGCGCCGCCGCGCTGAGGCTGCTCGCGAGGCTGCGTAAGTTTTTCCCCATCCTGCCGACTGTCTCAGGTCATTCGGATCATGATCAGTTCTAACAACCTACCCAATAGTAACGACTACGCCAAGCTCCTTGCCAGCCGTGTCCACGAGGAGAAGGCCAAGCGTGACGAGCTCCGCAAGCGCAGAGCCTCTTCGATGAGAAAGTAAATATTTTTCGTCCACGGGGAATAATGGTCGGGTCTGTGTCGTCTCTGTTCTAGTGCATGTTAGAGACTTGCAGCGTGGGAAGAGAGTTTAGGAAAGGAAATCTCAGCAACGGGAAGGGGGTTTCCTTCCCTCTTCTTTCATTCCCTCTCTTTCTCGCGTCCTATCTTGCACTTCCCGTAGCAGGGCAACGAACGTAGTCCACGACTTCCTTGACGGAAGGAAAATTAGAGAGTTGAGAAAAGGTTGGGGGACGGAGGAGATTATGGGCGTCTGCGGGACCAAGACTTTTGGCGTGCCACTTTATTTGTTTTATCCAAAAAATGGAAATGCAATATCCCAAACCTTTCTAACGGGCATGAAAAGCAAAAAATGTTAAAATGTGTTCCCTTTTTTTTTCTAACCATCTTTCTCATCTTCGTCTTCTACATGGAGAATCTCGAAGTACCTCGCCCCTTGTGTGGTACAGGTAAGGGTGGAATTCCGTGGCTCAAACATCATTCTCGCCCTGAGGATCGAACATCTACCTGTACTACGATTCGGCTTACTTCTGCCGTGAATGAACTTGCAAGTGTCTTCTACCCCAAGAGTCCAAGCTTTATCTTCCCACGTACACATAGGTAGATGTAGCACCCTCGCCTGTACAGTACCTAAATAGACAGGGCTAAACACCACTCACTCCAAATGACATTATACCATATAACTCCAAATCCAGCCACTTCAAAATTCCATACTCACCCCTTGTACACAAAGTGATAAATGCAGTGCAGTATAAGGTCATGTAGTGTAGTGTAGTAATGTGTGGTGGTCTCCACCTCACGATCCAATTCCCAACCAAACCCGTCCCACAATCAGAAAACCCGCCGCCCACTTGCGGAGAGGTCAGCACACACTGAGGACCGGACCTTTAACCTAACCCCCTTTTAAGCCCTTATCAATCAGTCTGGGCCCCAAGTGGTCGGTGCCGCGGCCTAAAGTTTGCTTCCTTTATGCCTGAGTTCTATGGTGTCACCACAACTAAGGCACTCCTTATACAATCAACCTACTATCCACTATGGCTACCTACCTAGCATCAGTCGATTCGGTCAATACGAATAATTCCCAGGTCAATGGTACCTACTGAGTCTGTCCCAAAACCCCATAGGCCCGATCGCAAAACATGGATTAAGCTGACTTGCTTTCCTACTGATACTCCGTAGCTGACGTGGGATGTTCTACTCTATATCATATCTATCCTTATGGAGTTGACCTGGTCTGTAGGACTCGTTCAATGTGAGGGACTCACTAATAAAGGGGAGGGGTCGGTGTATATGTAGAGGGTTTGAATGCATTACTTTAATGTTGTATAGCGGGATCGGAAGTTGGAGATAGAAAGGAGGGAGAGAAACTGAAGACAGTGCATTAGTGTCTGGATACCAAGAGGCGCCCTTACGTTAGCACTTGGAGAATACAACCACGGAATAAACTATAAATAGATATATTGAGCTACTTATGGTCCATTGTGAGCGAAAGACGACGAGGTCAGGAGTTCGGGGCAAGGGCAGGGAAGGAAGTCACCTTCCCTATGAGGAAGGTACTTTCGGCGACATTGGCACTACCTACCATCTTTAACTATATCCGACGGCTAGATCGATCATTTCAACATGTAGTCTGCGAAACATGAAAATGGAAGCTATACCTTTAGTAGTGCTTGCGAATGTGTGCATCTTGGTAAATGCGGAATACTGTATCCGGGAATCATCCTGCGATAAGCATTGTACGTATATATATGCAGAGGGAGTGGGTGGACATCTTCTCGGTTGATCAATCTCGATACTGTGCTTTCTTCCTGTGGTACCTAGTATACTCAAGGCGAATTAATCATCATAATTGAAGTTCGTGCTCCAAAAATCAAGAAAACATCTCTTGACGGTTGCCTCAATCCTGACCGCACTTCAGATGGCGCATAATCTGCAAGAGCACCTTGCTCCGGATGTTGGAGTACTATCCTATGTAGATGATTCACATACGATCTATGGAAACGAACAATACAGGATACCTTCGAGTCTACACCGTGAAACATCAAGCACAACCTCAAGAATCTCTATCAAATCCATTTCATATTTCATTCCGCTCATAAAAGGGTACTTGGTGGTCGAAGTTCAAACTAAGACCGTAATAGTGCAAAACTCCAAGGGGGTTATAGATATATGTACATATGCTTTAATTGGAGTTGATAAACAAAGCCAAAACAGGCAAAGAAAGAAAAAGACAGCCTTGACTTTTCCCCCTTGTCTCTCTTAATCCATTTCCGTCCATCGCGTCCAATGCTCACTGCCTCATGTGTTTCATGCAATCCTCATAATCTAGAGATGCTGCGTTTAATGGGAAAAAAGTAGAAGAAAAAACGAAGCCGCAAGGAGGGACTATTGCATCCCGTTCGAGCCCAGAGTATCATAAGTTAAAACATTCCAGCGTCCTTCGATATTCATGAAAGAACCTGATCATACTCAGAATGGAGGGTAAATCACCAACGCAGCACCGTGCGACTCCCACCCTCGTACTGTCGAAAACCATGAATGCATTAAGCGACGGCGTGGGAGAACAAGAAGCTGACGGATTCACCGTTGTGGGTACGTCTGCAGGCTTCGGCAAGGGTAGGGCTGATATCGATGGTCTCGATCTTATCGCACTGCTCCTTCTTCTCGGCGTGAGGGACGGTGTTGGTCACAACGACACGGCTGAGGCAGCTCTTGTTGATGTTTTCGGTGGCCTTGCCGGAGAGGATACCGTGGACAACAATGGCGTTCACCTCCTTGGCACCGTGCTGCATGACGGTGTCGGCAGCCTTGACGAGGGTACCGCAGGTATCGGCCATATCGTCAACAATAATAGCAATCTTGTCCTTCACGTTGCCGACGAGAACCATGCGCGAGACCTCGTTAGGGCGGGGACGCTCCTTGTGGATCAGGGCGAATTGCAGATCCAGGCGGTCGGCGATGGCAGTGGCACTGTTCTGCAATTAGCACGTGCGCCCTTGAAAACAAGATCGAGTGTGTCGGTTGCTTACCGCTTGGCACCACCGGCATCAGGACTAACAATGACACAGTTGGTCACATCCAGATGTTCCCGGATCCACTTCAACATGCTAGGCTCGGCATACAGGTTGTCGACGGGAACGTTAAAAAAGCCCTGGATCTGACTGGCATGCAAGTCCATGGTGATGACATGGTTGCAGCCGGCAGTCTGAAGCATGTTGGCCATGAGCTTCGCGGTGATCGGCGCACGGCTCTTATCTTTCTTATCTTGACGCGCATAGGGAAAGTTAGGAATGACGGCTGTGATACGTCTGGCGGAGGCGGTTTTGCAAGCGTTGATCATGATAAGCAATTCCATCAGGCCGTCGTTAATATCGTTCGGGCGCGTCGACTGGAGAATGAAGACTGCAAACCAGAGTTCATGTTAGCGGCGAGCACTTCTCTTCCCACCAAGCAGGGAGAAAATAAGCAGAGGAGGGAAGACAATACCATCCTCATCTCGTACACTTTCACCGATCGTGACGCTGGTTTCCTGGTTGGAGTATTGTAGGACCATGATCTTGGTCAGTTCAATGCCAAGCCTGCCGGTCAAAGCAACTTGTTAGCCCATGATATGCAGTAGGACCAAACCAAGGCTCCTTCTATAGCGCATACCGAGCGGCCACGAGATTTGCAAGCTCGGGGTGACTGTTACCAGTCAGAAGCTTGATTGAGTTGGTTGCCATTCTGAGTCGCGAGGTGAAGGTTCTGGGGAATTGCGTGGACGGATAGAATGATAATGGAAGGGAGCCGGTGAGCAGGAAGTTCTCAAATGTGATGGAGAATTGGACAACGTCAATAGTCAAAATAGCATGCCCAGAAGAGACGACAGGCGCATACACCGGAAACCAGAAAAGCGACTGAAGAAGTCAAAGTTGAGATCGAATGCCCCGCCGGCGGGTGACTTTTTCGCCCAGCAGAAAAAAATGCCATCCCGTGACCCCGGACCCACTTCCCCTTACCGCCTCCAGACTCCCGGATTGGGGCAAGGATGAGTAATCGAGAAATCGTCAGTCGAGTATACAAGTAACTGTCTATGAGTCGGGGATGGAGGAGTATAACAGAACTACAATCGTGTTGATTTGTAACCATGGCTGATGGGGAGAAAGTACATAATATGAGAGAATCTTTCAACACAGAAACTGAAGGCAACAAATTGTCAAAGTAAAGAAAGGATTAAACAGGGCAGGTTTGGACCAATCTAGTAACCGTGACAGCCGTCTGACCTGCACTTCAGGCGAATTGTCATAGAAACCCCAGTCCTGGCCATGCCCCTGCAAAGAAAACAAGCCCATCAGCCCAGCATTGTACAAACTAATTCAGGAGAAAGAAAGCACGAAAACGCCATCATATGCTTCAGCATTAAGGGGACGGAAAAGCATGTTGGATTGTGACCCACTGTTTGAGTGAACAACAAGATGGATGAGCGCCGTCGTTTTATGCAAACCCGAAATATTCGCTACCAGCAGTCATCGCGGTGTAAAGACGTTGCCTCAGAGTCTCGTAGCTCTCGTACTCGGGCAGATCAAGTTCTGCGGCTCGGAGTTAGCATGCGAGATTTTAGCTGATCGATTCTGTGTACTTACGGTTGAAACAAGTGTGGGAACTTGGAAGGCGATCCTTGTTGCCATAATCCCGATGGATATTGAACCGACTGACTCCATTCATACCCTCCAATTCCTTAAAGCCGTTCAATGGAACCTTGCTCGTGCCCGTGACGAACTGCAAGAGCTTAGCACGCTCTTCCTTGTCGAAGGAACGGACAGCACGCCAGAACCACTGGATCTGGGGCGACGAGGCCGAATAGTTATGGTACTCAGTGTTGACCTTCCAGTCGTCAACGTCAATCTCAGGCAGACCAGAGATTAGCAACTCGAGCTCCTGCTCATTGAAGATCGAAATTAGATCGGCAGGGATAATTTCATGGAATCCCTTCAAAAAGTTGTCTAGTTGTTCTTTGACGGACCCAATCAAGCGATAATCGACGACACGCTGCACGTATTCTTCCTTGTTCTCCTCGGTGACCGGGATATTGCTACCGTTCTCAATAAGATCGATCACTTGTTTCTCACCAAAGTCATCCGTCTCGACAGCAAACGTCTCAGTGATGATGTCTGTGATGTCATTTTCAAGCATCCAAAGAAGAGACTTGTAGTAGTCAAGATCCAAAGTCTCCATATCCTTGATAGACACTGACCGACTGAGGATACATTTGTAGACTGCGCGACTGAAGTGACAATCCAGGACGCGGCCTTCGTACAAAGCCTTGCCGATGATTCGTCCGATGAATTTGAAGAACATCAGATGCTCTGAATTGACACCACTCAAACGGTTAGGATGGAACGTAGTTCTGTCCGAAGCCACAGGAATGAACAGAGCGTAATTGGGATTGAACATGCCGCGTGCGAGAACTTGGAACCATTCTCTAGTCACACCGCCTGCATCAACACCCTCTTCACCATGGAAGCGCACATTCAACTTTCCGAACTTCAGTTCATCCGCCGTCTTGAAGTACAGAGACTTGAAGGAGTCGAGGAAAACTTGGTCACGTCTAACGGACAGCTGAAGAGGAGGGTGAGGATGGCGAGGCTCCGCACCACGAGAATGCAAGCGACGAGTGAAATAGTTGCGTTTGTTATCAAACTCGAGTACCTTAGGGTTCTTGACCAACAGTGAGAATGTGCCACTCATCAGTCGGGGGTTTTGCCGGACAAGTTCGTTCAGAATTTTGCGATGCTCTTCTGTGAACTTGAAGAAAAGGCTCTCCATATTGAGACCATTGTCAATTGAAGTGCTCGCGACCGAGAGCTCACGGCTGTTCCGCGAGATAGACGTATCTTTCAGCGTGGTGTTCTTGCACACGACCATCAAGGCTTCAATCAAAGGAAGAAGAATAGTCGCAACATTCAGCATGTTCTCTTTCTGTCGAATAACGGTCAAGCATTCGCTCAATCTAGTCCACAATGGTCCGAACGTTGCGCACTCGTATAAGGTTTGCATGACATCCTCTTTCGCAGCACTGGTCTCGGACTCGCTTCCCTTAACCTTGTCTGCGCGGTTGGGGTCGAATAGATAATCAAGCGCTGTCAAGACTCGCAGCAACTTGGCTTGATCGGAGCTAGCAGGAGAGAACTTAGCCAATGCCAAGCCCTGCATATCGGTACCAGTCCGGGCTTGGTGAATGTGCGACAGGAGTTCGTCCAGATCTGTAAGGATGACCGTGCTCAAAGCTTGAGCCTGCCTGACCAGCTCGTTTCCAATGACGTCCCTGGCTCCCGGAACGGCAGACAGGTTATTGATGGTAGACAGTGTATCTCTGAAGGTCTTGCCATTGCATTCGCGGGCTGCAAGGATATGAACCACCAATTGAAGGTTGTGATCAGGGACAACTGGGGGCTCAAGGGTCTTTTTCTTGTGCTTCTCTTCCTCAGCTGGACCCTTTGCCTTATCACCTGTGCTGGCTTCCGCATATTCTTCAGCCTGTGCCGATGTCTGTGTGGTCTCGACAGTGGGAACTGGGGCGTCCGTCATTGTGGCGTCTGCAGTAGAGCTTTCCTGTTCCGCGGAAGCGCTCTGCTGTTGGTCGCTGGAGCCCTGCTCAAGCTTTGGTTGCTCAGATTTCTTGCCCTTGGTCTCTTCCTCTTGCCGCTCCTTTTCGCGTCGAAGTAGAAGAGTCAGAGGCTGGGTGATGCTGCTCAGCAGACTGGACAATTGTTCCATGCAATTGGGATTCTCCATGATCAGCTTGCGGTCAAGGAGAGACAATAATGCGTTGAGCGCAAACTTGTTGGCGCGATTCTCCTTGCCCTTGCCTTTGCGGAATGCCTTGAGCTTCAGGGAAGACGACGAATCATGCTCGGTAAGGAAGAACCAAGCGATCTGTTGATTGTATTGAGACAAGAATGACAAGGTCCCCAAACATTGCTGCACCACCATGGTCGGAGTGACCTCGTTGCTGACGTTCGAGGAAGTCTGGAACGACAAATTGCGCTTGGTGGATTGAGGAGTCTTCTGAACAGAAGTTGGCTTGGCACGGAGCGAGAGCTGAGCAAAGCTGCGCTCAATGGCAGACACGTCCCCACTTCCATCTTGCAAGACAGAAAGAAGGAGACTAATCACTTCAACCCTGTTCTGGCGATTCTCACATACGTTGTGGAGAATGTCATTCAATTGATGGCGAGCATTGCCTTGAAGAGGCATGAACATCAAGCGCAGCAATGTAGCAACGCCGGGTTTGTCAAGCATTTGAACAATCTGGCGCCGTTGCTGCTTCTTTGGCTCTTGATTGTCGGCTGGCTCATTCCTATGACGGGGTTCGACTCTGGTGATGTCGTCGAATTGCTCCAAACGTCTGCCGGGCAAAGCACGAGCTTCAGCTACCAACTCGGGACTCAAGGTTGCAAGGACTTCGTCGGGCTGGTCAGCAAGAATAGCTTGTCGCAGAGCAGGATTGAGGGTTGCCAAGAAATCTGGTACATCCATCTCCCCGGCGTGTACCTGGGCGCCTTCAGTGGTAGTAGCTTGTCTGCGGGCATTGTCACGCTCACGGCGACGACGATCAGCGGCCTCTTGCTGCAGCAATTCGTCTCGAATCTCCGGAGGCAAGGCTTCCAAGAATTCTTGGTTGATTTCAGTAGGCTCCTCGCCAGCAGCAGCAGCTTGGGATCGTTGTTCTGCGAGTTGCTGCATGATGACCTCTTCCCTTAGTTCTTCAGGTAGAGCTTCGAGATACTCAGGGTCAATCTCCATTCCAGTAATATCAACTTGACGTCCTCTGATTGTCGTGTGCACGCGGCGGGCAGGTTCCGATGGCCCTGTGTCCGCTTGGGCTGACTCAGTCGCTTGGGCGACCACATCGGTTTGCTGCACATCGTCCATTGGCTCCGGATCAACGCCCGCAGCCTGTCGCTCTGCTTCCTGACGTTCAAGCTCTTGCTGTCTCCTGGCATTCTCTTCTTCCTCCTTCTGCTTGCGCTCTTTTTCCTCTTCCTCCCGAGCAATACGCTCCTGACGTTCACGCTCTGCACGCTCCTCTTCTTTCCGTTTGCGCTCTTCCTCCGCCTGTTTCTCGAGTCTCTTTCCTTCTTCAATAGCAGGCGGGACCAGAATCTTCAGGAGAGAGTTGATCACTCGCTGGGTCTTCTCAACATAATTATTGCTGAACAGAATGCGAGCCTCCTCTTGCCATCGGGTCTTGGTTGGGGCCAGAGCGAAGCTCACGGCCTGCGAAGGGTCATCCCTAGACCGAGAGGGTGCGGCCTGTTGTCTGCCAAGCCCAAAAATGTCTTGAATACGGTTGGAAGGAATAGCGCGTCTGTCGACATGGACATGAATACCATCTGGACGAGTAACAACACCAAATCCAGGAGCTCCTTGATTCCCAATTGCCTGCATAATTGCGTTCATGAAGCTGACAGGACTGTCCATGGGGAGAAGGCGGCCGGTTGACACGGGCTCCATGCCATGAACCCAATCTGTGAACGCCTCATTACCGGGTCCACGGGGCTGGCCAACAGCGTCAGAGCCACGGTCAGTACGAACAAGGAGAGGATTTGTTCCGTCGTCAGCCCCTCCTCGGGGTGGAATCTGAGTCCGGTGAAGTCGGTAGGGCGGGATAGGAACAATGCCATGGCGACTGGGCATGATTCCTGTGACAGCAGCCCAGGCGGGTTGAGTGCCACGGAATCGATGATGATGACCGCGGGGCGGATGATCGTCAGCGTCCCATCCCCATGGGTCAATGAGATCTTCCTCGTCGTCGAACCCTTGATAAGAGCCTTGATCTTCATCGGCGTCCTCGAGTTCCTCCTCCAATTCGTCGATCTCTTCGTCTTCTGGGGCGACGTTAGCACATCAAAGAGCAAAAGGAATATGAAGTTGATGGAGCTACTGACCTTCATCTTCTGCCAACTCATCGTCGACCATATCGTCATGCATGTCATCAAGGCTATCAGCCTGAAGTCCATCGACACCACCAGCAGCCTCATTGAGAACTCGGAACAAGTCGTCAAAACGTTGCCCGTCGCCACGTTGATCGGCTTGCCTGATATCATCTAGCTCGTCTTCGAATTGATTCATGATCTCAGCTTCCTCATCACCTTCAGACATGTCTTCACTTTCCCATTCGTCCTCGTCTCCTTCATCGAGACTGTCGTTGTCATGGTCGCCGGTGATTTCGCCAGCGAGGATATCGTCATCATCCATTTCAGAGACGTCATCATCCTCATCCTCATCTTCGTCGTCTTCATCGTCATCGTCATCATCTTCGTCATCAAGGACGACTTCAATATCCATGCCATTGTCACCGGGTAGGCCTTCAATAGGTCCCATGCCTTCAATCTCATCTTCATCACTTACGACTTCGCCATCATCTTCCGGTAGCTCCTCGTCGTAGTCCATTTCTTCGTCATATTCATCGTCATACATCTCATCATCTTCCTCCTCGGACTCTTCAGAGCTCGTCTCCTCCTCATGACGAGGCTCAAGCATGCCCAGTGTAGAATGGCGGAACAGATCAGGGGTCTCCTCACGGTCGTCCTCCATATCCGATACCGATGTGGCTGATGAGATCTCATCGTCCTCAGTCTCACCTAGAGTAGATATATCTGAATTCTCGCTCAGAATGACTGCCGTCTGCGTAAGTTTGTTGATGGGGCGTAGGATATACTTGATGACCCGTTTGGATGCCGGGAAATTGAGATCGATCTCCGCCACCGAGGCAGTGAGGGCAGATAGGAAGTGTTTCTCGAACATGGTCTTCCCTAGCTGCCTGACAGACGATGGGAAGCCCGACTCACTCGAGCCGTACGTGTACCCGCTCAGCATCTTGTCGAAAAGATCCGCAAGAGACATCAGCCTGGCATACTTGGCATCCAAAGGCTCAGTTGAAGAGTTCGCCTCCTTGTAGCATCGTAGAGCATGTTCAAGGACGAATCTTCGCACGAAGACAAGTTCAGGCTCATCTTCATCGTTGTAATTGGGCTCATTGCGACGCCCTCTAATCCCACCGAATTCACCAGTTTTGGCGCACAGAGCGACGAGCACACGCATCGTCCAAGCAGATGTATTGCTGCGCTTCTTGAACGTAACGGACTCGTCATGTTCCATGGTCCCAACAGGTACAAGAGCGTTCAGGAGATAATTCAAGATTCCGGAACGAGGCTTCGAAGGGGTACTTGCGAGAGGATCGGCTTTGCGTGAGAAGTTGATAAATTCAACCTTGGTGCGATTGTACGACGAGAGGAGCTCAGTCAAACACTGCAGAAGGAAGCAGCGATAAATGTAAATGGGATGATCATCAGCCTTGAAAGCAGGCTTATCCGATTTCTTAGAACTTCGGGTGCCCTGAGCGTCATTGCTGGTGACTGATGGCAGTGGCTCGTCAACTGACATCTCAACATCGGTCTGAGTTTCCGACTGATCAGGGGCAGCTGGATCTGCGGTTTCAGTCGGGGGTTCCTTGTCATCGACATCCTTGTAAGACAGAAGTTCAGAGAGGAGATAGTGTATAACGCCATCCGGATTTTCTACCACGGGAGGTTTGAGTTCAGCAGTGGTCTTTGGTTTATCTTTATCCTCGACAGTTGACGCGTCTCCAGACTGAGCCTCACCACTGCTTGACTTCTCAGCTCCTTGCTTAGATGTAGAGGATCCTTGAGAAGTATTGTTCTTTTCAGTCTTCAGCACGAGGACCTGCGGACGTTGCCGATTATCAAATCGCTGCAGCTTGAGCTTTTCGTTTGTAACTTCCACGAATAGTTCTGGGGATCTAAGCACAAGATGGTACATTTGGCGTACATAGCCAGTGGTGTCAACTTGGCGAGTAGACTTGGTTTCGAAGTTCGCAACAATCTCGCTTCTCATTATCTGGCGGATCGTATCATCATCTTCCACAATGTGTCTCAGGATCAGCATAAAAGCCGACTGCAATTTCTCATTTGTGGCACTGGAGAGCTGCTTGACCATGACAAACAGACGCTGTAAACTGCGCTTTTCACCTAGGCGGACAGCGATCTCGCGGCTTCGAGTAAGAATCACGAGAATTCGGCAAATGGAAAGAGCCAAAGTGTCATCTTTGCCAACCCTAGGCAACACTTCGACCAATGCTTCGAACAACTGCATCTTCTGGTCGGGTGCAACAAGCGGATCTTCCAGATGAGCTGGGCCTTCGTCGTCAGCACTTGCAGCATCATTGCTAGGAGGCGTCCAGCGGATTTGAGGCGGCTGGGCATCATCTGAAAGTAACTTTTCCAGGACAAGCAATACATGCCCAATCCAGGGGAACGTTTCATCGGTAGACTTCTCTGGAGTTACTTGAACGAACCCAAGGAAAGTCGAGAAACATTCCTTAAGCTCCCCTAATGCAGCATTGTACATTTCTCGGTCTTGCACAACCAAGGCGAGAAGATGAGCATAGGCGGCTACCTTCTTACCAGCTGCCTGGAAATTCTCCATCTGTAGTGAGACCAGCGACTGGACCAGAATCTCGCCAACGTCTCTGCGGAAACTTTCTGGGTCACGGTGCTTCCTGGTAGCAGAAGCAATGAGGTCGGCCAATTCAAAAGACACATCGTGATGCTCGTTCAGAACATCCAAGCAGCGTTCAATCAGATTTGAGCGAACTTTCTCTCGTTCGGCATCCAAGTCTTCAACTGTGACCACTTGGCGTCGCTTTGTTGGCTGTTCTGAACGTTGTTCCGGCGCTTGATTAGCGGCTTGGTTCAAAGGACCGGACAAGATGCCTTCAGCAGTTGAAGTATTGCGTGGGATCCTGGTGGACGGATGTCCCCGTTCATCATCCCCTGCTCCGTGATCGTCATTGAGAATATGAGTCAATGCTCTAGCTAAGAACTCCGTACCATGTCTGACTTCGCTATCCTCGTTCCTGCCTTGACCCTGTTCAGGGCGTGATCCGTCTTCGGTCGGCCGACCCGACGCTTGAGCCAAGAGCAGGGCGAGCGCAGATCGATCGAGTACGCTGCTGAACGGCGAGTCTCCTGCAGCATCGTCAGCTGGCTCAGCCCCGGGTGGTGTGAACGAACGGATAGACTCGATGTCGTTAGGTGGCGGAGGTACTCTCGGCGGGGCCCGCAACCAAGTTTGTGCCCTGCAGTATTCTTCGGCAGTACCGTGATTGTAGCATCGATACGCTGCTTCGTTCAGAAGATCGCTATCAAACCCCTTCTCCCGAAGTAACAGCAACCGATCCCTGCTGATGACAAAGGCTCGTCGAGATACATCTACCAGAGCAGGAGGCGTATCGGATTGCCGAGCAGCTCCGGCCTCATGGTCTCCATCAAGCGATGAGCGCAAGATGTCGATCAGGCACTTGACAACCGAACTGGACGACTGTGTGGCGAAATCTGAGTTCCACATTTCACGGGCCATTGGCAAAATTTCCATTCGAAGATCAACGAGAAACTGAGCAGGCTGGAAGTAATCTGGCCGGTCGCGGTCGCGGTCACCGCTTGTTGTCATCGATTGTGTTTGGCTAGACTCCATTATGTTCTTACCCGAGGCGAGCTCAGAAAAGAAGCCAAGAATGATCTTGATACCACCGTATGCGGAAGTGAGTCTCGCAGAGACATCTGTCTCAGATTCTGGAACATTTTCTGGTGGCGTAAGAGTCTTCACCTCCTGGACAAATAGGTCGCAGATCTCTTTCATTGCTTTTAAGCCTTCTAGTCTCTTGAACGCGAACAGCACCATTGTCAGATAGTGTGCATGCGGGCGGTCCGGCGTGACTATGAAAACAAGCATGATTAGCTATTATGTCGTCAAGGGTAATATTTTAGGGACCATATTTACTCACCCTCATAAAGCAGATGCGAGAAGGAAGAAAGTATGACGATGAGGTAAGCGAAACGCAGCTTCGAGCTCTGACTTAATTTCGGAGGCAGAAATCGCAACTGCTCGAGCACGGCTTGCGCAATCTCTTCAGCCACCGAAGTTGCGTTCTGTTTCTGGTAAGCATCATATCTCTTCTTTCCGCTCAGACCAAGACCCAAATTGTGAAAGAATCCCGTGATAGAGGAAGGCAAAGAACTCAGGAGGTATCGCAGAGCTTGCGCATTCGTGAAGGCGACTCCGGTTTCAGGGACCTTGGATGCGTTTGGCTTTGTCTCTTGCACAGCACCTGTCTGAGCGGCGTCGCTTGCAGCTGAGCCCTCCCGTTGGGATCCACCGCTTGGAACAAGTACGGCGTCAGAGTTCGGCTGTAACTGAGCATCAGCGGGCTTGTCGGAAGTAGCACCAGACTGTTGCACTTTCGTGGCCTGATCCCAAGTATCAGGTATGTTCTTCTCAAGCAGAATCTCCTCCCAAACGCAAGCAGCATGCAATCCTCCCAATTTCTTTACGAGCGAGCAGTAATGGTCAGCTAGGTTCACCTGGACAAAGATAGGAAGCTGTAGACTGGGGCGGGATTGATATAGGGGCATGGAGAAAATTTCGCGAAGGAAGTCTGTCAAAACAAGTGCAGCTCCCATGTGCTTTGCAAAATACGTCCCATGTGTCAACGCGGGGGAAAGTGATTCTTTGCCTTTATCCTCCGACCCAGGTTGAGACGACTGTTTAATCAAAGGACTGAAGAAGCCGTTGTGGAGATTTTCGGGCTTCTGCCAGAATTCCGCGAGCATGTCAACAGCCCGCTCGGTCCGCTGCAAAAGAGATGGTACGACCACATGAGGTTTGGTTTCAGCTAACATGTGCACGAGAACAGCAAGCTCCTGGTTGGCTTCCGTGTTGTGAAAATCAAAGGGAAGGCTCTGCAGAGTTGCGAAGTCGAGAATGAACTCCGCGGCACCAGACTCGATGAAATATGTGCAGTTGGCTTGATTCTCAAAGAAGGCCCCCAAGAAACGAACAACAGGATAAAGGTAGTCCGTAGCCGTGAGTCCTGAATCATCTACATTCTCGGGCTCAAGTTGTGCGTCCGAAGAGGGCAGAAGTTGACTGATATCGCCAATCTGAAGCTTCCCGCCGTTTGGAAGCGAGTCGGAGTTGAGATGGGGAATCCCAAGCGAAGATTGAGCGTCAGAAGAATCCTGACTTTCAACTCCGATTGCATTCAACAGATGAGAAGTTGATCCTGCAAGGACTTGCTTGCCTTGCTGGTCTTCTGTCCAAAGTTTCGCTCCCATACCATGTGACCAAGCTTTAGTTTTGCAAAGGAGTCCCACACGGGCGACCATGACAATGACCGCAGTCATGACATGGGACTTCAAAGCTGGATGGTGCCGCACAAGCTCGTCAAAGGTAGTACCCAAGGAGCGGACCAAGTTAGGGTCGTCTTTCAGGCATTTCACATGCTCCGGGTTCTCGAAAATTTCGAAGAAACTCTCCAGTGCATGGGAAGACTGAAACAGGTCCAATCCTGACGAGTTAAGACAAATGGCTCCGAACGCAGCAGGCACGCAAGAAAGAGCTTCTGCAGCAGACATTATCCCAGGTGCCAGCCGTACATCTTTCGGTCGTGCAATGCTATAGACGCGAGGGGCTTTATCCTTGGTCGCTGTGGGATCCGAAGTTCCAGTATTTGCAGTCGTCGAGGGCTCATTTTCTGTGGAGACATCCTCCGGCTCGGCTGCTGACTTTTCGGCGACCTTCAGCTCGGAGAATGTGACGGCCTCCAGCAGACTTTTACTGAGTCCAGCTTCAGCAATGACCGCGTAGCTGGTGGGCTCATTATGAATGAAGCTGCTCAAAATATTGACCGCATTGCTCCAAACGTGAGAGCCGAACACCCGGGCATTTTCAAGCACAAGCCGCAACGATGTCAGCAGCTGAGGCGAGTCGATCAGATTCCGAAGAACACGATCGAAGCCACCGCCATTGTGTTGCATGATATGATTGACGAAACGAAACATCCAACGGAGGGTCTGTTGCTGAAAATAGGGGATCTGATAGTCGATAGAAGGTGTCTTGTGTTGCGGGGGGAGTCCATTTCCGCTTTTTACATGCTCGAAAGAAGATTTGGTTTCATGATCGATCAAGTCTGAGATTGCATCGAATCCCTTCGAACTAGTAAGAGTACCAAGTGCATCACGAACTGCGTGCACGAAGGTATCCAAGAATTCCATTACCCTGGAGTAGACTCGACGGGCCTTCTCAGTTCGTAGCTTCAAGACATCCACGAACATTGGGATCAGCCCGGCGGAAACAAGAGTCTCGGGAGTCCTAGTACTTGATCCGGGCAGCGTCCGCAGTAAGGCAAGCAAAGCATCCCGCCACTCATCCTGGCTACCATCATCCTGCTCGTTGTCCTCGGAGCCCAGCTCATTGACTACCTTCCGGGTGAGGAACATCAAAACACCATGGTTCACATTCACACTCAAAGCAGCACAGACGTCAATAGCACGAGCCTTGTGTTTCGCAAGGGCGTCGAGCGCCTGGAGTGCCAATGTCTGCACAGTCCGTGAAACTTCCAGATCACCGCTTGCCCCAAGATGAACAAGTTCAGCCAGTTGGAAAGCGAGCTGAAGGCGCTTGGGTTGTTCCATATCATACTGAAGTATCTTTTGTTGGAATAGCGGCTCGGGGTAAACATAAGCCAGGTTGGTGAGGGCAAGGATTCGAATAGCCAGGATCTGCTCCCTGCTGTCCCGAGACGTTGCCAATCCCTGAGCAGTGCGAATTCTGTGCAGCAATTCATACTTGGAGTCATCTGGGACCTCTCCCACATAAGTGGAAAGAAGATCCTCGGCCTTAGATGATGAGATCTTAGAATAGGGGATTTCAAGATTCGTGCCGCCCCGTAGCGCTTCGTCTGGCTTTGCGGGAGTCGCGATCACAGAACTGGGCGAGTCGTCGGTGGTGGACAGACGACTCAAGCGTGGGGTGGGGTGAGTATGAGTTCTACGCAGAGGTGTTGGAGTAGTGGGAGGTTGCACTGAAGTGCCGCTAGTATCGGTCTCAAACAACGCCTTCGCTGGCTCCGATGGTCCGGATGGATAATAGAGCAAGCGAACATGCCCCCACTCATCCCAGCTGTCGTTCTCTCGAGTCAGCGTGACCAAATCGTTGGCGTTGTGTTTAGTCTGGGGTCCCTTCTCCTTCGTCTTGACTGCTGCTGCAGGTAACACACCAGTCGGACGAGGAAATGGGGCGGCAATCTTCTGTAGTTTCTCTAAGTCGATATTGTAATGTGCTGCTAACAAGCTCTGCTGGAGATGGGAGCCACCTCGGTGGCGTGAATGATACCTCTGTGCCAGGCAGAGCGACAGGCGTAGAGTTGACTGGAGAAGAGAAGGCGATGTGGTGTTGAGGAGATCCCCAAGGCGTTCACTACTACCATACAGACTGCGGTTGCCACACTTCTCCAGCAGGAGTCGGGAGAAATCGATGATCACTTCCAGTAGTTCCCTATCTCCTTCTGGGCCATACTGCAAAGCCTCCAACCTGGCATCGACATCCTCCGAAACCCCGCCATTGTCATCTGTCGCGCAGCACTGCACCAAGAACTGTCTGCTGAAAGACTTCGTCTGCGGGCCTTGACTGAGGGTATAAGTTTCGATCACAGATGCAAGAATCTCATCGAATCGGTTGAGAACGTTGATCCAATGGTACAAGTCGCCTCTGGGAAATGGCCATAGACGAGAGAAGCTGTTGAGATGTGACGGGAGCTCGGGAATTGAGATAGTCGTAGCACGAGTGATAAATTCTGCTAGATATGGCGACTAAACGCACCGAGAGCGAGAAAATTTTTCAGTCAGCCTTCACATCAACAACGATGGCACGCGGGGTTTGAAGCGAGATTAACTCACGATCGTGGCTTCATGTTTCTGGCTCGCGACCTTTTTAATTCTCCCCATGATTACGATTGTGAGGACCGGCGGTCATGAGGAAATGTAAAGGACTCGAGGAACTCCTCTTAAAGAGGGTGGAGGGGGGAGGGGGGGTCGTGGAGACCGGGTCGCGGATCAAGTCGCGAGAAGGCCTTATGACGTTTTTTTCCCAACTCTCCGCCTCGAGCAAACCAAAGAGTGAAGCGGTCAAGAAAAAAACCAGGAGTGTTGGGGACGAGTTGATAGAATGCAGAGAACTCTGCCCGATCGGAAAGGTTGAACGGTCGGAGAAAGTGGAAGAAGATAGAGTAAGGAATGAGGATAGCGGCGTTACTACTGTACCACTGGCGATGATCAAGGATGACAGGGAACGGTGCAGGCGCTGCCCTGAAATTTCGATCTCGATTTAGAGGATTCAAACAAGCGGGAGAGGAAAGGAATCGAGTCCTCGCTTTGATGAAAGGATAAGAGGTTGAGTTAGTTGTCGATGGGAGGGAGGGGAAGGGAGGTGGGGTGTAAGTACTGGTTGAGAGGAAGAGAAGGAGGAGGAGGAGGAGGAGGAGGAGGAGGAAGTGAGTCGTCGGGTGTTGCTTGCAGCTGGAAGGTTCGTGAAATTATGCCGGTGATGAACTGGACGGGAGCTTCTCTAGCGGGCGGCTCTCTCTTTAGTTAGCACGCTCCTACCTCTTACCTTCGCGGTTGAAGCGTCCGGGGCGGGTCTTCTTCTTTCCCCGCTGCCAGTGTTATCATTGCATCAGAGCCTACTTTAGGCCCGACTACTACCCTACCTAGTACAGTACAGTGAATATGTCCAACTTTTGTGACGGCTCATTTAGGAAAACAAAAGCGTCAAGGTAGAATGCTTCGGTAAGACTCGGTGATGCCTCGACCAGTCTGTTTGCTTGTCTTTCCACACTATGTCCCAAAATCCATGCCATGTCTAGCACTAGTGTTGTCTTGTGATATATACTTCCTGCCCTAGCTTGAGTTGTGTTATACAACAATCAAACCTCGCCTAGACGCAGTGAGTAGATCATTCCAGATCTGAATAATACATTATTCACAGGCTTCTCAAGTTTGAAAATCCAACCAGCACAAGTGAATTTCAATCCTGTTTATTTCTCGAGCAGATATCTGTAAACAAAAACAGCCATGCATCAACCCATGCAAAAAGATCAATTTCACTACACCTCTGATCATTGAAGATATACTATAAAATCAAGCCATTTGAGCTGGAACCAAAGATAGAAGTGAAAAGAGACTCATATATAGATAGGCTAATCCAACACATTAATATACACGCTAAGATCCCTGTGCCAACCCATCATCAACCCGTCAACCCGTCAAGCCGCCGACCTCTTAGTTCGCAGCAAGAGGCGGTAGCTCTCCATCCCACTGAATCTTCATAGTCGAAGGGAAGGGCCAGAAACTGCTCTGATCGGCATTCATATAAATGGTTATGCCTCCATGGCTTGGAATCTTCTTCAACTGGCCCTGGGGGCCAGGAGTACGTCGGAGGTTGTCTAAACGACCTACAACCTTCAGCATGGTCGTGAGCGCCAACTTGCAGAGACTCATTCCGAGACACTGGTGAGGACCCCATCCGAAATGAGCATATGCGCTCATGTCACGGTCAAGTCTAACTGTTTCAGGCTCCGGGAAGCAGACGGGGTCTCTTGACGCGGCGACCTATTATGCAATGTTAGCACTCCAAAACTTCACCGAGCCATCATTTTGGTTCACATACCAAGTTGCAATAGACCAGCTGGCCGGTCTTCAATGCCAGCTTCTTCCCGGCATCTTCGATCACCGTGGGCTTAGCCACATAACGAGGCAAAGCTACCGAAGAGCGCAAACGAGCGCCTTCCATGAAGCTATAACAGTCTGTTAGTACCAGAATCGGAGTATGTTTTCAAGGGGATCTTACTATCTCAGCAAAAGATCATCAGCTTCAGGGGTGTCTTCCTTAGCAAGTCGATTGATCTCTGGCAGATGGACAGAGCCTTCCTCGGACAAGTAGTAGTCGAGACATTGCGAGAAGAGCTGGGCTTGGTTGGCGACCATTCCGCCTGCAGTCGGCAGAATGTGCGTCCAAACAATCTCAGTCGGGGAGATTTGACTAGCGAGCAAGCGTTGGATCATGTGCACACCATACTCGCTCAGAATATCATGTCGATGCAGACTGTGAACCAGACTCTGGATGAAGCCGGTGTTTCTAACGAAGTCGACATTGGCCATTGTCAGTTCTCCGAGCTGCTGTGTTGCGCTCCGAGCACCCTGATTGAGCTCAAACGATTTCCCAACATCGGCATCGTAAAAGATCGACGCAAACACGAGAGCCATTATCTCATAAAGTTCTTGTTCCGTGAAGATACCCCTGGGATTCGATTCAGTTTTGAGAGGCAGAGAAAACACATTCGCGCAGAAATGAACCTGCGCGAGATTGGCGATGTCGCGAACAATGTCGACCTGATTGACACCGGCAATCTGATACGAATGCTGATGCAAAAGTTTCAAGGTGATGTTCTCATAAAACTTCTTAGCTTCACTCTCCCACTTGTCACGATAGAGGGCTGCTCCCATCATCTTCCGGGACGCAGCATTCGGTGGTTTGTCTCCAGACAGCATAAAATCCCGGCCGTGAGGCTGATTGTTGTGACGCATGAGAAACTCAATCTTCTCACCCCAGGTGACCTTGAAGGTCTCTTGATCGCTCAGAATGGCCATACAGGCGGCATTCGAGGAAATGAACTGTGGAGGTGGGGTAAGGCTGGGCCGATCCCAGCTGTAGTCGTCAAAACGGCCAAGATCCTTGAAAATCTTCTCATTCTCGGATGGAACAACAAGAGGGAAATGAGCATATATAGAGTTGCCGGCAAAGGTGTTGGGGAATGCACGCAAGACAAGCTTGTAGAAGACATGCCCTTGATCAACAGTATCTTGATACTGAATCTCATTGTATGCCCAATTCGTCAGATGCTTTGGCGTGTAGTCCACCGTATAGAAGCGATCACCACGGACCAAAGCTACGGCATCGGAGAGGATAGCTCTCGATATCGTGTAGTTCGTGCACAGGCCACTTCCAGGGATAGTAGATTCCTTCGCGTCTTCCACAATGATGCCCGGGTAGATTTCGACCAGGTCGGGATGCTCGTACAGCCTCTTGAGCTGACCAGCAATGTAAGGGTCAGAGTTGATTTCCTCAAATGTCCTGTAAGGCGTGAGGTTGAAGTATTTTCGGAATTCGTTCAACGTGGCCAAGTTCCAAGAGCGGGCCTGCATGATACCCAGGGCTTCGATGTTGCGGAAGACTGAAGGAACATTTGATGCTCCAAAGGCACCCGCACAATCCTCAACACTGTCCGCAAACAACTTGGCCAGTTCACCTTCGTCCAACGATCCATCTTCCTTGCGCTGTAGCCCAGCGAACGGGCGTTCAGAAGGTTCCTCTGGTAGACGAGCTTCCCATTGACCAACTCCCCGCAGAAATTCTCGCAGAGAGATATCTTCCGGCTCTTTGCCAGGGAACAACTCGCGGTACATATCCTGCGTCCATTTTTCATCCCGCTTGGAGATGCAAGAGTGCCAGCGGTAAACGAGATTGAACTCAGCAGAAACTTGGTTACCAGTGGCCTGTGCTGGTGCCTCACCAAGAAGTCCATCTTGCATCTCTGCTCGAGGATCCAGACTCCAGGTGCTGTCCGTTCGGTTGATGTTCAAAATTGTGCGAACGTAGTCCTTCAAAATAATGTTGATATACAAGCCGGAGGTCACCAGTCGAGCAGTCTGGAAGAGGTCATTGTCGTACTTCGCATATGCTTTGGTATTCGACTCATCCGGCTTGGTGAAACGACCGCCCTCGTTGATGGTAGCCAAATTTTCGACCACATAGTTGTGGAAGCGGTTAAACATGATCAAAAGGACACCGACACCTGGGGGAAAGCCCAGAATACGTTTGCTGGAGAAGCAATCCGGCTTCAGTTTCCCGTCCTTGAATGTCCTTACCTGATTCTGCTCGTCTTGGTTGTTGCCGTATAACGGCGACAGATCCAAGTAAGAAGATGTCAAGCTCACAGTATAATCATTGCGGTCGGTTTGGAAAAGATCTCGAGAGCTGTCAGCTAACTGCCCTGACAGCATCTAAGTCTTCAACCTTACCATGAATGATGATAGATGCAAGGTAGAACAGGATGCTGGAGATCTTGTTCGGGTGTTCCTTGTAATCCTTTCGCTCCAAGAGAGAGGCAAAAAGAGTCTCAGGCTCTGGAAGAGAAGGAGACTGTACCGTTGTTGGGCGTACAGACCTGGCATAGTGGGAACCAGCGGCACCAATGTGAGGCCATAGGAAGTTCTGACTTGTTAGTGAAAGGGTCTTCGAAATATCGGGGGAGGTGCATACGTTGCCTGAGCCATCCGCTTGTCTGTATACGTGGTCCGAACCGAGGTAGCTACAAATGCGGTCAATCTCGTGGTCAATACATAGTCTCTGTTCCTGTCAATCAACTTACGAGATTGGCGGATGCTCCAAATCGTTCCATAGTTGTTTGAGGAAAGTGTTTGTCAAAGCTTTCGCGTTTCGGGAGGTTGACGGCAGACCGGAAGCGAGCTAAACAAGGGTTAGCAGGCCTGGATCCGAATGAGAAACTAGATCACTTACTTGGATCACTCGCTCCATGATATAGTGTCTGTCATTGAGCGGCTCGCCTGTTGCAGTATCCTTAACAATCCCCAAAATGGCCTTGACGCTATCGAGGTCGACATGGCCAAGGTCCTTGACGAAGCCTGTCTGCACCTGCTCTGTAATGTATGTTCCATCGCCCGTTGTAGTAGGCAATGGCCGTAAGGATGCTGAAATAACTTTCTCGATCTGGGAGATCTTGCTCCCAACACCATTCAGGAGGGACTTCTCCTGCTTGGTAGCCATGACGGGCTAAATCAAGCCTCCCAGTATATAACCTGGTGATATTTTGACACTGTGCTGGATGTTAGTGATTGCTTTTCAGAGGAATGTAGCAGGTCAACAAGAATGTGCCATTGCTTGCTCATCCCACTTGATCTGCCGGAGCCATTCCGGAGACCCTCGGAAATATGCTCGCTGGCTTGCCCAAAAGTACGAGAATAATGGATGCATTGGGATAATGTGGCTCACCAGGTAGTTGAAAACAAAATCCGGGAAAAGAAACCAAGCAATTGAACCGGAGAATGTGGAGGCACTGCCAAATGCGGGGAGAACCGAACCAGGCACGGTAAACAGTGCACTAAAAGTCTAAACGCACAGGCTCTAAAAGCCGACAACTAAAAGTATCTGTGCGTGACAGGTTGACCACCGACAAGCAAATGCGATCGGTCAAAGAAGGGGGAAAGGCATGCTTATTTATAAGATTGAATCAGTATCAGCATGGTGGCTGTGGGGAGAGAGTGAGTCGGCGACCCCGATACGAGCGAATAAGAAATCTACGGCATGAGAGGCATTGGCATCTTGTCTAGGCGAAGAATGCCCCGTGAGAAGTGCTAGTCCGACGACATTGTGGTTCGTATGTATGAGACATGAGGACAAATGAGCGCTGTTCCAGCTGGGATTTACGCCACACGCTGAGCTGACAGACAAAATTGGCCGTGACTAGACGTGCCTTAGCGGGACATCAAAGGTAAAAGGCGCCGTGGTCTAGATGATGGAGGGGACCGGTAAAGACCGAGGGAGGGGCCCCTATCAGGGAGGCGATGCAGAGAGCGTGGAGAACTCGTAAAACGTCTCTTCTAGACTAGGTTAAGTTCTTACTTTAGTGAGCCGATGAGGAATTCAGTCAAACTGTACAGCTGGAGCTCTCGAGTCGTCCATGCGGGTGGCACAGACAGACAATTCTAGGTTGATGCTTCCTATGGAAGGCCGGCTTTTGGGTGATTGATAGCCACGCTTTGATTTGTCTGGATGAGGGATTGTCAATGACATTGTGGACGGTTTAAGACTCAGTCGTGTCCGTTTACCCGTGAAATCCTAGGTTGATTTGCTGAGCAGCGGTCACTTTAGAGAAGTGCGCGCAGCGACCTTTGTTTGCTTTTGATTATTATGGTTAGTGGTTATCAATTGGAGCATTGCCATTTGAGGAATGGTGCTGAGAGTGCCGGGGAACGCCTGACACTAAAATGGTTCCAAGTTGCTAAAACGTGCTAAACGGCCGAAGGAGTCGGATGGACTCATGGAGAGAGACGAAAGGCTGGCTGACAGGCCGACACTAAGTGCGACACTATTTGAATTTCGGGACGCTAGCCCGTCGCAAGTTTAGCCTGTTGATAATATCAATGGGTTCTCTCAGCTGGACAATCGAAGCGAGGCGCCATATGTGGAAGAGATATCAGAGGGTGTACATCCAGGCCAATATTCTAGACTCTGTCTGTTCAAGGTCAAGGTTGTCTCCTGCCGAGTCAGTGATCAGTTATCACATGGTCCCCAAGGATGGTGCCATTGTTTGTTCGTTTGTTCGTTCGCTCGTTCAGCCTTGCTTGCTGTACCATTTTTCTCAGGCAGGACATCTGACTCAGGCTGTGCATGAAATCAATACGAGTGAAGGTTCCATCCGAATTCGGCCCGGGGATCCTTCGAGCTTGCTTCAGCTGAAGATGGTGGGCCATAAATTAATCATAACGATCATGAATCCACTCTGCACTATAATTCATAAGAATCAGCCCCCATTAATGCCTTTCTTTATGCGGCTGAGGGCGGTCTGCCACGTGATGATTCCCGCCCGCCGGAAGCCGAGGCTCTGAGCTTACCCAGTCGAGTAAGCGCGGTAAGCCGCAGTGAAGCAGAAGGTCCCAATTCTCCCTCAACCAAAAGCTAGGGTAATTTTCGCGCATCTCCGGCCTCAGTTCTGGATCCTAGACTAATCTTCACAGCCTTTCATCACATCCTGGGACCCCTTAGTCAATAATCCATCATCATTGGTAGCTATCAATTGCTATCAGCAGAGCGGTCCATCTCCAACTCGCTCCCCCTCAGCTCGTTCCAATGGCCATAACATTAGTTGTTGAGCCCCGGGGTAAGTCCTGTTCCCAACCGATTCCACCCACCTACCCTTGCCAGACTAACACCACTTATCTCCAGGTAAACCCATCAGAAAGCTTCCCAAGGAGCTCCAAGTAGCGCCCAATTCCTCGACCGAGGAAATTTACCAAGCGTTGGCCAAAGCCTCGAAGTTTTCCATCCACCGCCTCCGCATCACCAAGGGAAGCGACCGGACGCTCGTTCCCAACTCCAAGGACCTGACCGTCGATGGCACCGGCCTGAAGGAAAAGAGCGTGATCCACGTCAAGGACCTAGGTATGGCCCAACCTCCTAAGTCCAAAACAGAAACACCCCAGAGAATTAACCTCATCTCCCTCGCTCCTCAGGCCCTCAACTAGGATGGCGCACCGTATACCTGATCGAATACCTGGGCCCGCTCATCATCCCCTACCTCTTCCTCTACCCGCTCCGGCCATACATCTACTACAATTTCAACCAGCCGCTCGCGGAGCCCTCGAACTTCCAACGCCTGGTCTGCGCCCTCTTGACCGTCCACTTCATCAAGCGCGAGTATGAGACCATCTTCATCCACCGCTTCAGCAACGCCACGATGCCCGCGCGCAACATCCTCAAGAACAGCGGCCACTATTGGCTCCTGGCCGGCGCCAACATCGCCTACTGGGTCTTCCGCCCGGACAGCCCCGCCGTCGCCCGCGACGGGGACGCCTTCCTGTGGTACACGGGCCTGGCCCTCTTCGTCTTCGGCGAGTTGGCCAACCTGAACGCCCACTGCATCCTGCGCGACCTGCGCCGCCCCGGCACCACCGAGCGCGGCATCCCCACCGGCTTCGGCTTCAGCGTCGTCACCTGCCCCAACTACTTCTTTGAGATTGTCGCCTGGGTCGGCATCTACCTGCTCAGCGGCCTCAGCTGGAGCGTCCTCCTGTTCATCGTCGTCGGCTCCGCCCAGATGGCCATCTGGGCCAAGAAGAAGGAGCGTCGCTACCGCAATGAGTTTGGCGACAAATACAAGCGCAAGCGCTTTGCTCTCTTCCCTGGCCTCGTTTAAAGTTAGTGAAACGGGAGATAGAGTTATTGGAAAGGAGGGGAGGGGGAAAAGCATCGTTTGGTGGACTCTCCTCCCCCCCAAACAAGTCACACGTCATGCAAAACATGGGTTCGCCCTTATTCAACGTTCTCACAGTCACGACGAATTGGTAGAACCGACGAATGGATCAGACCTTGCCACGAAGCTTAAAATCAGTGGTCGGAAGATCCATAGTTCCCCTATCGCACCTGACACTTACCCCACCGGACATGACAGCTGTGCGCTACATCAAGTCTAATGTCGCAATTGGTGTTTTTGAAGGTCTCCTGATGCGAAAATGAAACTAAAATAGGCAGTAGTTCAGATTCAACCTATAATAATACACGCGCTCGCTCTATGTGGTGCATCATGAAACTCCAGAGAACACCTGGGAACAATAAACCACCAAGACAAAACAAGAAACACAGTTTCGTACTCCCCCCCAAACCCACAGCCACGCAACTCCGAATTCCAGCATAAGGTAAATGAGTCCAGTTGGAGTGAACAGGGATCACTCAGTCTTCGATTTGGTCTGCCAAAGGCGGTAGTAGGGCTCCATCTCTTTCTCGCAGCTCCGCTTCGTATCGGTGTCACAGCCAAGGAACCGGATGACAAGATCGCCGTCCTTGTAGATGCCGTTCGCCGCCGCCGCCGTGCAATCCTTACTGTAGGCGTTGATGGTTTGCTGAGGCAGGAGCGCCAACCGGGCGAGGATGGTCGGATGCCATTGGACGATGTGATCCTAGAGAGCGAAACAAATGACGTGAGTAAGTACAGTTATGGTGACACAATGTCTGCAGAACGCCCAGGGTGAACCGAAGCAGACAAAGCAGAGAACACAAGTAATTTCCTTACCAAGACATGCGTCTCCGCCTTCGCGAAGTTATAACTCCGGTACAGGGGATCGAACCACAAGTCCAGGAAGAACTTGGCGAAGTCGCCCTGCCGCAGCACAAAGCTCCCGGGACTCATGTCCTCGTTGTCGGTGGTGATGATCAGGTCGACGTCTTCCGGGTGGACATGCGAAAAGGTCTTGATGATGCTGTCGGGTGGCACGACGGAGACCTCCTTGAGCATCAGCGACTCGAGCCGCTGCTTATCCAGGACATGTGACCCCAGCGACTTGCTCGGGTTCATGATCAGGGCGTGCGCATCGAGGTGGAAGAAGTACTGCGAGTAAGGGTGGGAGGCCATCGCATGCCGGACGGCGGGGATGACGGCCCAGCTCTGCGGCGAGTCGCCGATCGAGGATTCGTAGTCAGACACGTTGGCGAAGAAATTCGTATACCCTGATTTGGCAGCGAGTGCGTTTGTGTCAGTTGCAGTGAGACAAAAGTGGTAGTCATCATGTGTCAACGGCCATGTCCTCTCCGGGGGGGCTACTACGACTCACCGTGACGCTTCGCGTAGTCCTCCCGATTCTTGACAATCTTCTCGATGTAGTCTTCGCTGAATCCGACCCGATCTAACACTGTGACGATGACCACACTAGAGGTGCTCGCGGACACTGCAGGGGTGCCAGTGCTCGTGTAGAAGAATTGGGAGAGGAGGAAGAATATGGTGAGCAGCGCAAAGGCGAGGATGGCAATGGCTTTGAGCTGTTTCCTGCGCTGTAACGAGAATCGCGAGGATCGTCCGTACACAGGAGTTATCGGGGCCCTCCGGGGAGGTAACGCGAACTGCATGCTGGTAAAATCTGTCCCCAGCGAGCGAATGCTGGGTGACTGGTGAGGAAGAGATTCGTTGGAGATGAAGCTGGATAGTTTCTAAGTACGAGTACTTCGGTCGGACAAAGCGTCACCGCATAGAGATGGTGTCGTTCTGCCGCTTCCGGCTATCAATCCGCGGGTCTTTGGTTGGCCCGAGATATCGCAACATTCCAGAGGACCCGAGCAAGTCCGTCCTAAGTATGTGCTTTCCAGAGATATTATTAGCTCTTGTCTTGTGGTATACGAGTCAGGTTGGTTGAGTAATGCAGTATTGCTTTATAGAGCCAAGCGTTACTCATGACTCTTTTGGCTACATTGTATCGGACAGGACAGTACTGCACATGCCGGGCCGCTTCACTCACCATATCAATAGTAGTACTGTACATCGGTGTGCTTCATTGTACAGTACTATAGACACTGGCTCGATCTCGTACGCCTCACCAGCCAAGGAAAGTCCCTGCTCGATGACCAGTAGTCAGATTCTAATATCATTGGCCAAGATGAAATGAAGTATAAATACAGCAAACAATAAATCGGAACATGCAAGGTCCATGGTAATCAATGCAAGAAAATCAAAGCCGGACAGCTGTAGAGTTTCTCTTTCAACAAGCAGTCAGCGAGATAGAGGGCACTCCACTGACACTGCCTGCGCAAGACTGTCGACCATGATCGCAAATAGATATAATACAACAGACGTTCTCATCCCCTGGTCTTGAACCGCGGATGCTTCAGGACGGTTCCATGCCCACACCTCTCACAACTTCAGCAATCCTTTGTGTCCCCCCTCAGTACTGCTTCTCATTGAGCGTAGGCTTCGTCAATTCCTTGATATTCGTCAGGTCAAGCGCCTTCTTCTTCCTCTCAGCCTCCTTTTGCGCCACAAACTCCTCGAAGGTTTGAGGTTTCTCGATGTTGTGAAGCAGCCTGTCCAATTCGAATTTCTCCTGCATCTTGGGCGAGTTCATCACCTGCCACCGCAGCTCCCAGCCGAAAATACCCAGCTCCTTGATCCGGGCCGGGGTGTTGCCCAAGAGGTAGTTGTCGAGTCCACCGCACTTCTCGATCGTCCTCAAGGCCTTCTTCGTCACCTTGATGAACAGGAACTTCTCAAGACTGTCGCTCCAAATCTTCTTGCGGCGAACGTTGGGCTTCCAGGATCGGCGGGTCTTGCCCTCGTTCTTACCGTCGGAGATCTTGTTGCCGAATCGGATCATCGCGCCGCCGTACAGACCGGAGTTGGACTGCTTGAAGACATAGTTGGGGCCGTACGGGTAGGGTGGGATATGGTCCGGGAGTTTTCGCGTCTTCTGTACAGGCAGTGTCGTGGAGAAGGACCGCTTCGCGGTGTTGAGTGAAAGGTTGCGAAAAGCCGCAGAGAGGGTGAAGGGGAGCGACATGGCCGAGCGAGTCGGTAGGCCCGCCATCCTGTATTCTGTCTGTGGAAAATCGAGAGGATTAAGAATTCAGCTCTTGACCATGACAGAGTCACTGCCGGGCAAATCGATGGCGAGATTCGGCCAATTGAGGAGTGAGTGAGAGATCTCAAGCTGCTGGGCGATAATAGACAAGGCCTGGACGCACTTCCGGCGGGAGTGGGAGAGAAAGAATTTGGGCGTTGCGGTTGACCGCCTTGGGAACCGGCCGCTCTGATTGAACGATCGGAATTTCCGCTCAGCAGCAAGCAAGCAAGCAGTTGCTCCAGGCTCAGCATCATCCATACCAAAACCGACCGTTTGTCTTTCTCCATTCCCCCTTAACCCATCGTACTCACTTGTGTGCTCCGCTCAGTTAGCTCTTTGCAGCTCCTAAACACCAAATTCCACACCCTCAATCTTCATCCCTCGGCTTTCCCATTCGCTTTCCCTGTGGCCTTCCGAGTAAGGTCGCAATCCCTTCACCATGGTCCAGATCAGTGAAGTGAAGGGCAATTCGCGCGAGAACAGAACCGCCGCGCATACGCACATCAAGGGCCTCGGTCTCCGGCCAGATGGAACCGCAGAGACAACTGGCGATGGATTTGTTGGACAGGGTGCTGCCCGTGAGGTATGCGACGCACGCAAATTTCTTCTTTTTCCGTGCACAAGAACTATTGCTTCTCTGCTCCTGTTGAGACACATCGTTGGCTGACAAGAGTATTTTCTTCTCACAGGCATGCGGTGTTGTTGTTGATCTGATCAAGGCGAAAAAGATGGCCGGCCGTGCCGTGCTTTTGGCCGGTGGTCCTGGTACGGGCAAGACAGCTCTGGCTCTTGCCGTATCGCAGGAACTGGGAACCAAGGTCCCATTCTGCCCCATTGTCGGCAGTGAGATCTACTCTGCCGAAGTGAAGAAGACGGAGGCGCTGATGGAGAATTTCCGGAGAGCAATTGGTAAATAATCCCTATTACCGCTGTTGCTGCTGCTGCTGCACCAGGTCGGGACGGAGAAGCGACAAAGATTGGCGCGCGGCTAACGCAAAATCATCTACAGGTCTCCGTGTCCGCGAAACCAAGGAAGTGTACGAAGGCGAAGTTACGGAGCTCACGCCCGAGGAGGCCGAGAACCCATTGGGGGGATATGGACGGACGATCAGCCATTTGATCATCGGACTGAAGTCTGCCAAGGGCACCAAGAAGCTGCGCCTGGACCCCAGCATCTACGAGGCCATTCAGAAAGAGCGTGTCACGGTGGGAGACGTCATCTACATTGAGGCCAATACCGGCGCTTGCAAGCGTGTGGGACGCTCCGACGCATATGCGACCGAGTTCGATCTGGAGGCGGAGGAGTACGTCCCGGTGCCCAAGGGTGAGGTTCACAAGAAGAAGGAAATTGTCCAGGACGTGACGCTACACGATCTCGACATGGCCAACGCCCGGCCGCAGGGCGGACAGGACGTGATGAGCATGATGGGCCAGCTGATGAAGCCCAAGAAGACCGAAATCACGGACAAGTTGCGCCAGGAGATCAACAAGGTCGTCAACCGCTACATCGACCAAGGTGTTGCAGAGCTTGTCCCTGGTGTTCTTTTCATTGACGAGGTTTGTTATATATTCCCTCAAAATACGTGCGAGTTATTCTAACAACACAACCCCCCAGGTTCACATGCTCGACATCGAATGCTTCACGTACCTCAACCGGGCCCTCGAATCCACCATCTCCCCCATCGTCATCCTCGCCTCCAACCGAGGCCACACCGTCATCCGCGGCACGGACGATATCTCGGCCGCCCACGGCATTCCTCCCGACCTCCTCGCCCGTCTCCTCATCATTCCCACTCACCCCTACACCCACGACGAGATCAAGACCATCATTCGCCTGCGCGCGAAGACGGAAGGCATCACCATCACCGACCCGGCCTTGGACAAGGTATCGGAACACGGCAGCAAGGTCAGCTTGCGCTATGCCCTACAATTATTGACCCCCGCCAGCATCCTTGCCCGGGTCAACGGCCGGCCGGGTGGCATCGAGGAGGCCGACGTGGCTGAGGTCGAAGATCTCTTCATCGACACCAAGAGAAGTGCTTTGATCGTTAGCCAGGATGACGACAAGTTCCTGAAATAGATAATCCAAACAGAGTGGTGCCTTTTGTGGTCGGAGTTTAATGAACGTAAGCTTTTTTTGTCTGGCCTAATCCCTGTCTTTTTTCTTTTGTGATGTACTTCGACAGACAGATGGAGTGGAACGATCCATATGAAAATTTCAAAATTCTAAGCTTAGCTCGCAACTTATCATACCGTGCCTGCCATCGTGAGAGATGGATCTGAAACTTCTAGCCGAGAGCAGTCAGATGTAGCTATTACTCAATGAGCTGATTACTCAATGGGCTGTATATCGGCGCAAGTCTCGGTAAGAGATCTATTCAGTCTATGGTTCCTAAGCAGTTTAACTCAATTTGATAGGCAAAGAGGGGCAGATCTTCCATTATTCTCTTTGTCAAGACAGCTTCCCAGGCTCCTGCCCCGATACGTGTCTGTGGCGGCGAACTATGAATCGCGAGGCCGGTCCAGGCAGCAAGGGCATCAGCAGTTCCAAAGCAAGGACAAAAACTTGAAGTAGGCGGAGTAGGGTCCGAATTATGTGAAGAGGGAGGCCCAGGCTTGGACGGGGCAAGTCCGCCGCGAAAGGCTTGGAGTGGAATTCGACTGGGAAAGGGACTTCTGCGTTCAAGTCTTCAATCGCAATCCGCAAGCCTGCAGTGATGGCATCCTCGAGGTGCCCACGGCCCGTCCAACAGAACCCGTAGCTCAAGCCTCGTTTGTTCTGAATGAGCGCAAGATCATTTTGTGCCTGGAGTGTGCTGAAGCTTGGATCTGCCTCAGTGAATTCACATACACTCTGCACGATGCTAGGGTGAGGTGGCATAGTCGGGTTCAGCGTGATGTATATCGGACCGTAAAGAGACGTTGAAATACGGTCCAAGGCATTAACATTATAGCTGAGGCTAGATTTCCGGGGCATTGAGTCCTCGGATGAGCGCCCAGGCACGATGGGCTCCAGCACATAGGTGTAGCCGGTCGTAGAATGCTCTCTTTCAAGCAGAAGCTGGCCCAACTGGTGAGCAGCGCTTCCCCAACCCTCACCCGCCACGAATTGAACTGAGGGCCTTACGCCTTCACCCACGAGGGAATCCGAATGCAACACAGATATGTTCTTCGTTGTCCCCAAGCCCATAATGATCTTCCTGTCTTGCGCGCTCGCAAGAGGCCCCAATATCTGCACGACCTCCTCGCTATCGACAGTGAAAATGATGCGATTAAAATCAATCTCACGGCCATCTGCTGTAACCAGTCTATAGACCTTTTTGTCGTACCGGGTCACTCGTCGGACTCTCGCCTCTAGATGTACCCTAGAAGGATCAAAATCGCGAGAAAGGACCTGTACCAGGCGGCTCGCGCCCCGTTCAATGCTACGCCACCCCGGAACATTTCCCCGCGGCCGAAGCAGTTGATGGTCATACAGACAACGGATAGCAGCTTCAATAGGTAGCCGTGAAAGGAGCTTGCCAGCATTTGTGCCCCATAAAACCGAAAGTGTTGGAGCTAGATACTCATCACGGAAGCTGGCCGAATATCCTTCTTTCGACAGATATCTCTTGACAGAGAGAAGTGAATCAATGTTACTGGTCGTGTATGGCGAGACACCCTTACGTAGCACGTCGATGGCTAGGAACTTGAGCCAGATAATATCCGACAATATCACATACGTCTCCTTGCGGCAAAGGATCCAGGGCCGCAGAAGGATGCTTTGCAATAGACTGTCACTCCACCAGGAACTGCGATCTCCGTCAGTTGCCCTGACGCTGAATCGATGTCTGATCGTCGACACTCCCAGGTAGCGCAGCAACGAATCCAAGTTTGCTGGATTGCAAATCAGTCCAGTCCAGACGGTATCATGGGAAAATGACACTGACGAGAGGCCTCAACATTGTAGACAGATGAATCTGAATTCACGTTCGTTTGAATGCCCTCATGCTCGAAAGGCAGTGACTTGATACGCCCGCCGAGAGCATCGGAGGCTTCGAAAAGGTGGACGTCATGACCGGACTTCTGCAAGGCCCAGAACGAGGTGATTCCCGTGCAACCACCCCCTATTATAGCGATACGCTCTGGCTGTGAGACAGACATGAGAATAATGGCACTCGACAGTCACTTCGGCCATTGGCTTTTAAAGTCCGATATAGAGTTCCTCGCTGGCTCTGCGGTTGAAGTCGCCCGATTCAAGGTTCGTGTCTTAGGTTCAGACACAGTGGCGATTGTTCCTGGTCTCTGCCGCGGAAGCTGACAGGGGCTTGTAATATAAAAAGAGGCTTGTGAAAATAAACGCAGCAAGTGAAGGCGACAGGCTTATCAGGGCAGACACGGTCAGATTCTCTCTGCCCTACTATTGCTTCCGATTTGCCCTCATGTGGCTTTCCGGTGTGATCACATCATATGACGGGAATACCGAGGGGTAGATCAGCTTAATATAGAGATCTGTGAGCCCCTTAAGCCATCCTTTGGGGCAAAGCAGGAATTTCTTCCGATGTAGATCTGCAGAAGAAAAGGTGCGTGACCTCTTTATTTGGGTTCATAAGGGGGATGACTTATAGATCGATCGAAGGAAGCGACCTTGTATGGCGGTCAAGACGCAAGAGGGAACCCGTCGCAGCTCCACCTAGCCAAGGCGATAATGGCGGAAAGAGGAGCCAACAACAAGTTGAGCGGGGGATGCGATCACCAATTGACTGAGAAACTCCTTCGCACCTTTGTCCACATATAACAATCGCTGTCAAAGTAGACTACAGGTGTTTGACTGTGAGAAGATAGAGAAAACATTGCTCATTGAAAAGCCACGCAAAGGTGCGCCTGACCGAGCCAAAGCAACAATAAGTGAAGACAATAGGATCATAAAGAAGTAATTGATATCGAATTGGCGACGTCAGTCCGGAAATCATAACAGCCTCGGACTGGGAGGAGACCAGCCCCAATCACGTGCAGTCCGACAAGAAGCCGCCGGCCGTTCCTGGTATGGATTAGGCACATCAACCAACTCGGTGACTTTCTTCATCCACCTTCGTCTCTAATTTGTTCATCGGTCGAAATTTGTTTATATCAGCGGTCGGGTTTTCTTATAGGGCCCAACTCAGTCACCGCACCAGTTCATCCGTTCGTTGACCTTTCTAGGTGGGCTCAATCCCTTTGAGATCCAGCAGGGGCACTGGCCAGCCACCACGAGGATACAAGTGGCCAATCTCTCCGCCTTATCCGATCCACCACGACGCCCCCCTATCGATCCGCTACTTCAACAAGCCTCGATTGATTACCTCGAGGACACTCGCCATAGCCAACACCTCAAACAGTGTCACTTCACACCCATACCACCATGTCGAACCCGATGGACACCGATGCCGGCTCCGAGCTGTTCAGCAGCTACGAGACCGAGTTGAAGCTGGTCCAGGCCGACCTCAACCAGAAGCTAGATCAGATCTCCGAGTCGAGCGGTGAACAACGGAAGTCTGCCATCCGGCAAGCGGAAAGAGCATTGGATGAGGCCACGGAATTGGTGCGTTGCCGGACGCCTGTCCCTTGCGCGATACATCTCAACCCCTCAATCTAACCTTCCCCTCATCGAAATACAGTTGGACCAAATGCGCATGGAGAAACAGAACATCCCCTCCTCCGCCCGATCGAAAATCAACGCCCGGGTCCGCAACTACGCGACAGACATTGATGAGGCCAAGCGCAAGCTGCGGTCTCTGTCGGACGACCGCAAAGCCCTCTTCGGCGACCGGTACACGGATGACCCGCAGGACGAGCATCTGGAACAGCGCCAGCAACTTCTGTCTGGTACAGAGCGCCTGGAGCGCAGTTCCGCCCGGCTCCAGGAGAGTCAGCGCATTGCGCTCGAGACGGAGGACATTGGTCGCAACACGCTGGCGGATCTGAACCAGCAGCGGGAGACCATCATCAATGCCCGAGGCCGCCTGTTGGAGAGTGAAGGCTATGTGGATACCAGTATTAAGACATTGAGGGGCATGGCCCGTAGGTACTGGCCCCTTTTGCCAAATCCCCCGCAGCAATGCAATTGCTGCAATTATTTGCGCACGGATCAGATGCTAACTTGCATCATATAGGATGGCTACGAATCGGCTGATTACCATTGCAATCATTACTGTGTTGATTCTTTTGATTTTCGCTGTGATCTACAGCAAGTTCCACTGAGCGCGGGTTGCCAGCAGGCGTTACGATGGGATGACCATCTTTTTTCCTTTGTAGTACTTTGTTAACGACATATACACGTCTGCATTAGCAGGCTCCTCCACAGAATTTTGTATGATAGCACTCTTTCAGCTCTAATCAAAGACCATTGTGCCCAGCACTACATGGAACGCATTGAATACTCCAATCGAAATGATGAAGAAGAAGAAAGAAAAACACAATAGGGTATCCCGCTCAAGCAGACCAGAAAAGCAAAAACAGAACACCATCCAGAACAACTAATTCATGATCCGCATCGCGCCAAAGGCAACGTTAACCACCACCCCCACAAACACCGCAAACCCCTTCCGCCAACTCCAGACCCCTTCCTCTCGCCGCAACCACATCGCACAGCCTACCGGCCAGAAGAACCCCATCACCGCCCCCCAAAGCATATCGTCCATCGCGCCCCGCGACCCAGGCCCAAACCCACCATCGTCGTCCGCAAACGAGATCCCCTCCCCAGCACCACCACCAGTGACTCCTCCTCCGGCCGCCAGAGCCGACGACCCCTCATCCATCCACCGATCCTCCATCTCGCGCAACTCCGCCCCGCTGGGCATCGTATCCGGCGTCCGCGAAACCGCCTGGATGGCCATGAACTGGGACCGCAGCGCCGTCACCTCCGCGGGAGTGAACCCCGCCGCCAGCAGCCGGTCGAATCCGCGGGGCGCGGGTGTCGTTGTCGTCGCCGCTCCGGAGTCCGATGCCGAAGGCGAGTGCCCCTGATTTCTACGCCGAGAGCCAGATGGCGATCCATTATGATCGTCCTGATTTTCCGAATCTGAGTCCTGCGGTTGCCGGAGGGTGGACGCAATGGCCGCTTCGGCGGCGAGGTCGGTGGTGGAGAGGACGATGTCGCCGATGGAGCAATGGATATACAGTCGGGGTTGGTCGCGCACGGGGGCCTTGCCCTTGCCCTTCGAGGTGGTGGTGGACTCGTCGTCCTCCGGGGGCCGCGGGGTCGAGCGGGCGGAAGACGAGGGCGGGAGTTTGAGGGACGCGGCGAGCGGGGTGGCATCCTCGAGGCCACGACCGGCGTAGATTAGACGGAGACGGTGGGAGGAGAGATTTGGGGGCAGACGTGTGCGGATGAGTTGTTTCAGACCGGCGGATGTGGTGGTCTCCGGGGAGACGATGTCGAGGGGGAGGTCGGGGATAGAGGCTGAGAAGCGAATGATGACGTAAAGTGGGGAATGGGTGGAATTATTGAGGTCGAGCGTGCGATCAGGAGCGAGAAATGTCGGCGTCGACATTGTGCTTTTTTTCTTTCTCTAGATGGAGGTGATTTTGTAGAGAAGCAAGTGATACGGCCGTGGTCACAGGTGATGCGGGATGAAGGAACGAAAAGGGGAGCGTCGATAAGCTGATAAAGTGGAGAAATGGGGCTGATTGTCCGAAATGCTATCCCCACGTGATACGTCGTTACTGCTTTCCCTTGGTCTATCATCGATCATCTTGCAGCCTGAGCAACGCACCTGACCCTTTCTGGGTCTAGTGTTATGTATTTAATTTGGGAGTAAGGCAACGGCATCATGCTGAAGCCACAAGACTAGCACAGGCTAAGCAGTGCTTGACCCAGGGCTTAATACCCGGGTACCAGTTTTTACTCCCAGCAACTCAGTGGTTTTACCTGTGTCAAACTCAGATTAATGCACGACGTATTGATTTACGCGCGCCTAGACTGTTTCTGGATACTCTTGATTAAACATAGTTGCTCGCGTGGACATTGTTAACAAGGGCACATAAAAAGATTATGAATAAATTGTCTTTGTTATCGTGCTACCGACAGCTGGGCTATGTGACTAACCCAGCTTTCTTCAGCAAGCTTAACTCAGTTTGGAGGTATAACTGTTCGAACTGTCTTCCCCAATTAGATGTATTGGAGAATGACTGGACCACCACAAATTGCCATGTGCGATGGCGCAATCTGATCAGCAGAGTTATGTGTTAATATCCACATGTGATAAGAAAGGAAAGAATATATTGCACAGTTGGTGGGCTATGTGCCCGGGAATCAGAGTATATGTTCAAGAAAAGAAGGAAGAAGCTCATTCGCCAAAGACAACCGCCCACAGAACGCCATTCGATGCATGTAGAAACCCAAAACCCAGTTCATCCAATAATGAATAACAAAGTCGTATGGAAGCGCAAATCAGCGACTTATACCATGAAGGATTCACCGCATCCGCATTGTTCCTCTGAGAAGAATTGTTAGTATGCGCTCCGTGCGGTTGTCTGGTGAGACCAGGTTATGCTTACTGATATTGGGGTTGCGGAAGACGAATTTCCTGCTGAGCTTGTCCTCTTGCCAGTCCATCTCACTTCCGATTATGCTGAAGAGAGCCTTGCTGTCGATCAAGACCTTGACACCGTCTTGCTCCACGACCTCGTCGAAAGTGCCCGGCTTCTCCACGTACTCCAAGTGGTAAGCGAGGCCAGAGCAGCCTCGGTTCTTGACTCCCACGCGGATCAGCTTGGGTTCTGGCTGGGACAAGAGTTTACGAAGTTGCTCAATGGCTACCGGGGTCACTTTCATAGCAGCCTTGCGGGCGCGAAGTTTTCTGCGGGGCTTCTCGGCGGGCTTAGCGGTAGTGGCGGGAGAGGTCTCGACAGGCTTGGACTTCTGTGATTCGGCATCGTGAAGGTTGATGTTCGGAGAATAGGCTTGTTGGCCAGGAAGTTGAGGCGAGGTCATCTCGCGGAAGGAGGGGAAGTCTGCGGCAATGGAGGTGTCGGACGACCCCAGGCTCCGAGGTGGCGGGAAGGAAGTTGGCAGACTGTGTGGACGGTATGCGGTAGCAGTCTGCAACTCACGCTTTGAAGAAGAGCGCTGTGAGTTTCCATAGGAGGAGAAAAGACGGCATGTCTGCGCTGTGCGTCTGCTCGATGACTGTCTCAACAAGCTGAGCAGCGTGGCGGATGATGTCACTGGAGACTGCATCGTGATTGTGGTGAAACGAGGCGATGATTTGAAAATCGATAGCAGATAACCTATGAAGCGACAGGAAAAGCGTATAGCTGATTTTCCACGGAGTCTAAACGGTTGTTGGGTCACCGTAGTGATTGTGATAGAGGATGCGAGGAGGAGGATGGAAGTGAGTCGGAAAGATCGAGTTCTGTTTGGGGGAGGCGGAAGAACGCCGGGTCGGGTCCTGAGTCGGTTAAAAGAGGTCAGGTCCAGGTCCGCATCAGCCAATCAGCTTCGAGGTGTTTCTACACAGGTCAAGTGGCGCCACTGCACTCTGCTGTTCTAGACTAGAAAATGAGGAAGCCTGAGTAAAATCCATTAGAGTGAGACTGGGGTAAGACCCAATAACTAATAATTACCATTCCTTAGTGACTGGTTTTAAGTGGCATGTTCATTTGTTTGTTCTCCGTCCATCATGATTTGCTTCATTCCCCGTCATTCCCATACAGCACGAATTCACTGTTCTGCCATTGGACATGGGTTTCTTAGTCATGATTTGACACCTGAGCACCTCAGGTGTTAACTTGGAATCAGATGACTAATTGCTTTCTTCCGCATTCGACAAACATCAGTTTACAGGAGTCCTATCATATTGTTAAGCTATGTTTAGGCCAAAATAATTCAAAGGTGATCAAGAATGCATGTCCAGGTTAACCTTCCTCGGCAGGGCTGCTATACGGGCAGTAGACCATGTTCTCACCACCACCCTTTCCTCAAACCTGGTCATAATCTCTGAACTCCCCTTGACGGTTTATTTCATGAAGATGCCACATGGTCAAACTTACTCGTAGGTCGCACATCCCCTGATTATGTCATCTTCAACAAGCAGATGTTCTCGTAGCTAGCTTCTATAGATTGGGACAAGAAGCTTTAATTAATGGATGGGAAGGTTATAAGTGAATGGGTGCTTCTGAAAATTGTTGTAGCGGTGTTTTGATTTGGTCTCTCCTTGAAAAATGGACAGGCTCGTGGAAAGATGGAGGGAGAGATAGGGGATGTGGCTTGTAGTGGTGCCAACCAGGTGGTGGGGATTGATGGCCCAAAAAGGCAGAAAAAGAGTGGTGTCGAATAAGGCGACGACCGCTGAATTTCCCCCTCAAAGCATAGGACGTCAATAACATCCTCCTCGTCCGCCAGGCATATAGGTCAGCCTTGACTTCTCTGCTCTTATCTACAGTATTGGCCATGGTCTTGTGTTCTGTGCCGATCGTCCAACTCAATCTTTAAGCATAATGGATTCCCCTTTGACCCAGCAAAGTAGACCGGAAACCTTCAAACCGAAGATCGTGCAACTATACGAGAATCTATTCCAGGTATGTACATCAACCTATGTTTCTACATCACATAAATCTGACCCATCTGCTAGACCACGGATTTTGCAGAACCCTCGGAGGGTTTCTGGAGAGAATTCTTTTTGCTGCCACCGGATAGGAGCCAGCTCAATGCACTACTAAATCAGCTCGGTCCTGATGAAACCCTGAATCTGCAGGTCAATGACCCACGTGATTATAGTTCGAATGACCATCGCTCACTCTTCAGCAGGCTCAAACCCAGCAGCTCTTCACTCGTGCCATAAGTGAAGCTGCGTCGGGGTCCAGTCCCGTTGATTCGTATGCTCTTGAGGTGGGTCAATATTCCTCGAAGCTGAACTCCCAACTCTAAGCAGACAATAGACCTTGACGGTCTTTCTAGCCTGTGTCTTGAAGAAGAAATACACCAATCCCAGCTCAGATGTGATCACCGTTCTCGCTGGTCTCGACAATGTTGACCATGCAATTTTCAACTTCGTCGCTGTCTTGGATGGGATCATTCGCAATGGAAAACCCTGTGAGCTCCTAGCGCAATGGAAGAGTTATGGTCAAGCGCTGACTGGTCATTTAGATGCGCTACGACTTCAGGCCATCAAGACTGCTATTGCAATGACTGCTGGCGCATACAAGACCAGCCTCGTCTCATATCTCACGCATCGTGACCTATTCCCTTCAATCATGAAGGTTCGTTCGATGACCTCTTCCGTCCGTCGGAATACTCGAATTGACATGCATCGCAGTTCGTACAAGAGTCGGAGACGCCCGTGCAAGTATTCGAGCCGTTTCTTCTTCTCGGACTTTTAGCAAATTACAACAAGTTCGAGATGCAGAATCCGTACCAGCTGCGGCTTGACGACTTTGTGAATGAAGCGAGCATCCAGAAGATCGCCAGGGGAGTTGGTAGTTCCTGTGGAGCCCTCAGAAACGGATATGTTGCCGTGCAGGACGACTCTCCCGAGGGTTGGACTTTGATCAGCACGCTGATGTACTTTGGCTTGGGCGCTCTTGCTTCCAGTAAGAAGGATCGGCCAAATCCACCAACTGCCGAGGAAGCGAAGGAGTTATTTACATCACTGTACGAGCTTCAACAAGCGTCATTCTTGTCCTAAGGACCAGCTAACGAAAGCAGGCCCGCGCAACAAGCGGCCATTCTCCTAGCTACCTACGACTTCATCAATGCCAACAAACTGTTCGGGCTTCATCTCATCAACTTGGCCTCCGAAAAGGAGAACGAGGAGTCGCCATTCGCATCATTCCTCTCATTGACATCCTATCTTCTACAGCATGCCTACCGATCACCGCGGACCGCTCACTACGCAGAGCTCAACCTCTTGATCCTCCGCATAATATCCGAAGACAACGCCCTCTGCAAACAACTTTGCAGCGACGAAAGCAAGCGCAAAGTCCGACTCTGTCGCCAAAAGCAACCATATCTGCCTCTCATCACCAGCGAGCGAGTTCCCACCACAGCCATCTTCGACATCCTCATTGATACCCTGACTCATAACCTTCGACGTCGCCTCGATGTCAATCTCTACAGGTACGCCCATTTACCCTCCTTCCCGCCATCTCCCCAATCTAACGCACACTCCCTCCTTCTCAAAAATGTCTCACACCCAAATCCAGCCACTGCATCGCCATCTTCCTCCGCCTCCTCACCTACCTCTCCAAGAACAAGATCCGCCTCACCTACCACTGGTCCGAACTCTGGCGCACCTTACTCTCCCTGATGCGCTTCCTGACCACCTACGTCGCCGACCTCATCACCAGCACCCCGCACATCCACACCCTCACCACCACCCTGATCAACCTGATCGCCTTCTGCGTCTCCGCGGGGGACACCTTCCTTCCGGACCCGTCCAGCTACGACGACCTCTTCTACAAGCTCGTCGAGACCGGCCCCATCATTGCCCGATTCCGCGATGTGTATGCCTTCAAGACCAGCAGCAGCAGCAATATCAGCGGTCCTCACTCGGCGGTGGCGGTAGGCCACATTCCCAAGACGGACCCGACCACCTCATCCAGTAGCACAGAGGTCCACGTCACCGCGACCGATACCTTGATCTCCGTCTCCACGCACTTCCACACCCTCCTGTTTGTCCCAGATAAGGGCGGCGAGGCTGGTGCGGTGGCGGATGGCGAGAGCCCGGCGCCCGTGTCTCCAAACCTGAAGAAGAATCTCAGTCCGCGGGAGGTGCATCGCATCATCAAGCAAGGGTATGAGACGCTGAGTATCCCGCCGCTGGAGGGTCTCAGTGCGTGGCAGAAGTTCCGGGAGGCGGACTGGAAGGTGGAATTGAAGCGGGCGGCGCGGTGCGCCGTGGATGATGCTAGGCAATTAGTCGCGTAGGACAATTCGTGAGTCGGTGTGTGTGTGTGTGTGTGTGTGTGTGTGTGTGTATCTTGAAGATATACTCGTGCATTTGGTAGTGAGTAGAGAGGGTAGAAGAGGAGAGCTTTGTTACACGTAGCATTTGGGGGGGGATGAAGTCTACATCAGAAAGTCCCTTCCGACCTGCGGAAGAAGCTGTGTATGCATGGTGCGCGAGTTTGGTTAAATGGTTGATGCGTTTTTTCTGCAGTGTCAAATTTCAATACCATGTCCGTTGACCAGCCTATCCCGTAAGGAAACAAATTATTATTCAATTCGGACGCCAGAAACTTCCGCCGGGTTTTTTATCCTATTAATGTTACAGTGATAGCATTATCGTAGCATGCATCCGAGCGCCACAAGACTAGTGCTCGACCATAGTCCACAACACAAAAAATTGGCCCCCAAAAGAATTCGAAAAGATCAATAACGCACCACGAGATCGACTGCCGCAGATCGCTAGAACTTCCATATTAAGTTCATCAGACAAGACGCGAGGTAGCGGTGGCTGGAGCTGGATTTGGAGCCCCGCGCGACTTTTCGATATACTCGTTGCTGGCATTCGTGTACCTAGTTGCAAAGTACTTGGCCGAATTGCGGCTCAACCAGAGTGTGAACTTAGAGAGCTCTTCCCGAAGCCTGGTCGTGGATTGAGCGTCCATGTTCGTCTGGGCGATGAGCTCAGGCATGGTCGCTATGAGAACAATAGGTTAGTATTTGCAGCAAGTTGTGAGGAAGTGAACCCTACCAAAAAGCCGTGTCAGATGCTCGGCGCCATAGGTCTCAAGGGGGCCTTTATCGGCCCAATCCCCATTGCCATCCTCCCACCTCTTGCGGATCACTCGATACTGTTCCCTTTCAAAGCGATAGAGGAGGATCTTGTCCAGTGCTTTGTAGAAGTATTCGCGAATTCCCATGACGATCTCATCAAGAACATCTAGATCGGCCGTGCTCGTCCTCTTGGGCTTCTCCTCCTTGACGTAATCATCCAAAATCTGGCTAACTGAACATTTGGCTGGCAGTGCCACCACTTGCTGGTTCTTGGTGATATTCTCCCAATCATCGACCAGAAGAGATTTCAAATTATCGGGCATGGCAATCCGCACTGATGGCCGGACATAGAAGCTCTCCTCCTGTATTGGGACTGTTAGTAAACCAACCATTGATCTGCTTATCCTTTGGGCACATTGTCACTAGACACTGCAATAGTGTACGAGACGGGCGATGCCTATCTTTGAACACAAAGATAGAAGCAAACATACCTTTTCAATATCATTTTCTCGTGCTCTCTTCGTCCCGCGGCCCGGAACTGAAGTTTGCCTCTCCTCGCTGTCCCGGGCGGAACTGCGATCGGAGCCTCCCCGTTTCTTCACAGTGGGTTTCACGTTCTTTTGGCGGAAAGCAGCCTCGGCCTCACGACGGAGAGTCGTGGCCAACTCTCGATTCTCATCTGTAAATTTACGAAGTCGATCTTGCGGGACCCAATCGTCCCATCTAATTGCAGTAAACCAGCATATCAGTCAGCCAGGCTCTGATGATCCCGCCCCACCGGCCCAGGGTAACAGCAGCCACATCGACAATCATAGGTGGAAATAAACCCCTTCTCCTGCAGAGAATGGGGTAACAAAATATTGAGCGACACGAAAACATGGGAAATAGCATTTTTCGAGGCCAAGAGGGTAAGCTTTTGAAAAGATTTCCAATAAGGAGAAGTGATTACGAGTGATAAGGCGAGGATAAGACGTACGTGTTCTTCCACCCCTTGTAGTGGACAAGGTACTCGTACGGACTCTTGCGGTCATCAGGATCAATGTGCCTCAGGTCAAGAATTTTTGCTTCATAGAGAATCTCATGGTGGAAACAAAGGACTCTCTCGTCCTTCTGATAGTTCATATGGCTTGCAGGTGCCATGATGAAATAGATGAGTGATGTTTGAAGATGAGGGGTATTCTTTGGTCACAAGAATGATGCTGCCGACAACGACACAGAACACTGATACCTGGGTTGTATCAAGCTGTGAGAGAATCCAGGAAAGGCAAATCTTTCATGTATCAGGGCTACTGCTTGCTTTAGCCCCGATCAGTGCTCTTGCTCCTGAACAGCACGTGCAACAAGTTGACTGAATTCCTTGAGCGGACAAAGCCCCTTGGCAAGAAGAGTTAAATCAGTGTCAGAGTTGCAAGTCTCCAAGCTGAAAGTGATTCAGCCGCTGGGGAGTTGTCTTGATCTACTCAGAAAGAGAGATGTTTGTTTGGTTGGCTAGGGTCAAGGTCAATGTCATGAATTTTGATGGAGGCTGGTCAGATGTCTCACGTGCGATAGTTGAAGCCACAAGTCAATATACTACGGGCATGAATGAAGTATCTCGAGATTTTGGGGGAAAGACAAGATGCAGGGACTGAGTTGGTGAGCGTTACTTATCGCATGTCGCGGTTGGGGCAAGAAAGAGGAAGCCCGCGGGTTCACCGTCTGGGAGAAACGCGTCCGAGAGGGCAAGTCACGGCCTGATGGCCTAAATTGGAACATTCGCCCTTCCTCTTCTTCTCTCTCCACCACTCCTTCGCTTACTCTTTGATATAACGAATGACCCTACGTGCAACCTTACAAACCTTCCCAAAGCCACAGCATACAATAAAGTAACATCTACTCTTTTATATGTTTTTCTTGAGTTGCTTCTCTCCCCCTTCATCGCCCAGCTATATCGCCGTCTCCAATTTCTGATTGGCTTGGAACGCGATTTGTCCCGATTAAGCATAACACCACAGCCACTGTGGGCACCAAATATCGTCCTTCACTAAGAGAAAGAAACTGCCATTTTTGCCGGCAAGCAAGAGCTGAGTACCTCTAGCTCGTTTTATGTGATATAGCCGCGCTATTTAAGGCAATACGATCCATCATGGCACCTTCAGAGACAGCCATTCTGAGCAATTTCCTCTTGACCCCAGCTCCCTTGCCAACGATCATCTCGTTGCAGCAATTCACCGAGCTCTTTCCAAAGAGACTACGCTCTCACCCCCACATCAGGGTTCTCTATCGTGAACTACAAGAGATTCGCGAGCAGGACATGGACCTAGTCAATGAGAACATTGACAAGGAAGCAGTTCAGGGCGAACGCCAGAAGGCAGAGCTCCGTAAATCCTTGATGAAGACAGGCATTGATGGCATTAGCTCCGCTGAGCAGCGCGAGATGGACATGGATTTCGAGCTGTTTGGGCAGACGACTTCTACGTCTAATTACCACTCGGTATCGAGTCTCCTCGCGGCTATGCAGACGGCATGCTCCAACGTGGAACACGAGGTGACCGAAGTCGACAAGGAAGCAAGCTCACTCCTGTCCGATCTCCATGGCCTGGTCGGTGACTTGAGTGATCTGCGGTATGGCAAGATGCAAGGCCCTGTGGGCATGACAGGCGAGGAGGTCGTCAACGAGGCCATAAGGGGTCTCCAAAACCTTGAAAATGCTTGCTACCGCAACAGCTGAATGATTTCGATGGCAATAATCTCCGTCTTTGGTGTATCTGTCAATTTTCATTCTTACTTCTGATCAATACATTGTTGGTCGACTCAAGGATCCGCCAACATAACCGCGCGCCGTCTATGATCGGCCGCAGCACTGGTCATCCTCTGAATCAGGATCTGCTCGCGCAGATTGCGTTATTCTGCAGGAACGCTGTGTCTCGAAGACACGGTACTGTCAAAACTGCGCGAAGGGAGAGACTACTCGAATCGCACTCTTTCTGCATAGCCATCCAGCAACGCCTCGCTATTTTCGGCCCACAAACCCGACCAGGTGGGCCTGATCGATCCATCATGGACAGCACCAGCCATGCCACTTCAGCTCGCTTTGTACCAAGAGCACTCAACCTAAATTGGGGCACGACTGGACAGTTTATGGATTTCTGGCATAGCGTGGGCACATTTTCGCCAGCAGTCACAAATGAAATGGGAATTTTAACTCTCTGTCTTATGATTGCACCTGTCTCGACGAGCCCATTCTGATTTTCACACATATCTTCTTTCGTAGGATTGATATTCAATGATTCATAAATCGCCGCTGTCGACGTTGCGGCGTCATCATGATTAACATCAATTCATGTGATGAATGACTGTAATCGAAAGGGGCCACCGATAAGGTACCGCGCGCGACCAATGCATGCGCGACGCGCTAATTTCCCACCTCGGCTTCGGAGACTCTACACTGATCTTTCAACCCACCAGAACCAGCAGACATACTGCTCATTGCCGTGCAGAAACCTAACCAATCGCCCTATCAGAGCATATCCTCGCTCCCAAGTTCGTCTCTGACTATCGCACTATCTCACAATGCCATCCATCACCATCCACCCGCGCGCGTCGCGATCTCCCTCACGCGTTCCCAACCCTCTCCCCCAGCTCCTCCAAACTCCCTCCGGCCTAGCGCTACTGGAACTCCAAGGCACAATCAATATCCCTGCTTCCCAAGATGAACGCTCTCACTCCGCCGAAACTCCTGACGGGGCTTCCGTGTTCGAGACTCCGATCGGCAAGCTCATGTTCCCCGACTACTCGCCGCAGAATCCCGCGGACGACGCGGCCTGGATGAAGCGGGTTTACCTTTACGTCGGACGTTACCAACGCATAACAGGCGAGGTGAAGAAGCTGCCGAAGCCGCTGGCTCTCGTGCAGCGGAGGCCGACTCCGGCGCCGGCGTGTTCCGCGGGGGGCCACGAGAGTGACGAATTGGAGGTGGTCGAGGTGGTGCGATACAAGATTTACTTCAAGAATCGACCGGAGCCGGTCAATGACCTTTAGGGGGGAAATAACGAGGATACAAACGAGTGCAGTGATCTGGTGACATGCACATGCTTGCTCCAGGCTAAGGTAACTGCTGGATAGCACTCTGGGGACCTGGTTCAGATGAAACCTGCCTTGGCGGGAGCATGTCATGGAGATGTCAGAGGCTGAACCTTGTTGCTGTCGCCGTCCAAACTCGAGGGGAGAAGGGGAAAACCTTGCAGTGGGGTATCAAACAAGGACGGCAATACAGTCTCCTATCATGGCGAAATCGGAGCCAATCTGGGTTTCACGACATAACTCAAACACGCGGCCAGAGATATAAGACAGGGTTGGAGGAGGTGAGAAGAGAAGGTCTGGACTATGAGGCGTGCTGTCCACTGGCGCACGGGCAAAGTCAATCCCCACTTTAAGCGCTCTCTACGAGTTGTATCCTTGCCATGGCTATTTTGTCCCAGGCCGAGGAGATCTCTCCTTCAAACCTAGGTCCAGAGTACGTGGGCTTCGACCATATCACATGGTATGTTGGCAACGCGAAGCAGGCTGCAAGCTACTACGTCACGCGCTTGGGCTTCGAGCATGTTGCATACCGGGGCCCCGAGACGGGGTCTCGGAATATCGCGTCCTATGTGGTTTCTAATCACGGCGCTACCTTTGTCCTTACCTCGCCCGTTCGTACTCCGTTGGAGACAGAGGGCGCTGTGTCTGAGTGCGATGAGAACCCTCTCTAGCTGAGATCCACGCTCATTTGACCAAACACGGAGACGGAGTCAAAGATGTCGCGTTCAGGATTGATGGTGATGTCGAGAGTGTCTGGAAGAGAGCGATCGGCAACGGTGCAACTTCCATTACGCCGCCCCAGATTTTAGCAGACGGAGACAGTGGCAGCATCAGCGTGGCTACTGTAGGGGCGTATGGAGACACGACGCATACGCTGATCAGCCGGCAACACTACTCAGGGCCTTTCCTCCCCGGCTACAAGGTGGTGGTTGAGGAGGATCCCATCAATCGTTTCCTTCCACAGATCGACTTTATCGAAATCGACCATTGCGTCGGCAATCAGCCTTCGAACGGTGTCGACTCCATCGTGAAGTAGTAAGTCTACCCAGTGCATGCTGGTGAGAGAATGCATGCTAAGCGCCACCACTGCAGCTACGAAGACTGTTTCGACTTCCACCGGTACTGGACCGTGGACGACTCGAGCATGTGTGGAGAATACTCGGCCATGCGCTCCATCGTCGTCGCATCACCCAATGAAGTGATCAAGATGCCCATGAACGAGCCAGCACCGGGGAAGAAGAAGTCTCAGATTGAGGAGTGCGTACCTGCCTGGCCCATCAACTGCTGACGCAACCAAAAGCTGATTATAATCCATTCAACAGATTTGTCGACTTCTACAACGATGCAGGAGTCCAACATATCGCCTTCCGAACGCACGATATCGTCACGGCCGTCAGCCGACTCCAGCAGCGCGGCATGTCCTTCCTGCGCGTCCCGGAGGAGTATTATATCGACCTGCGGCGGCGGCTTTCCGATGGTGGTCCGCGGATCGCAGAGGATATTGAGCGATTGCGAGAACTGCACATCCTGGTGGATTTCGACGAGAAGGGCTACCTGCTCCAGATCTTCACCAAGCACGTGCTAGACCGACCGACGGTTTTTTTGGAGGTGATCCAGCGCAACAATTTCGATGGGTTCGGCGCCGGGAACTTCCAGAGTCTGTTCGAAGCCTTCGAACGAGAGCAGGCTTTACGGAGGAATTTGTGATTGGCATCAGATATATTGCATTGCAGTCTGAACAAGAAATCTCAATAGATCATCATCGAGAAAGATCGACAAGGAGGCAGGACAGGTATTATTCCGCAGCGTCGGCAAGGAAAATAGCCGGTGGGCGCGGCGGAAAGGGAGCGCGAGGAAAGAATTCCGCGGTCGAGGCGTCGTCATCGATTGCCCCTAGTACAGTAGCCACTAGGTATACACAAACAAGCAAGCAAGAATAGATGCACCCCCTGCATACCAAATCATACAACAACCTCTTCACAGACATTCGCAAGTATCTCGCAAAGCAAAGTAAATCACCATCTCACATCAGCCCCAATGCCTGCAAAACCCCCCAAGAATCAACAATCCATCTCATCTCCTAACTGCATCCGACCTTACCCGACGCCAGCCGACATCCGTCGGAAAACCCCCTCAAGATACTGAAGTACATACAATAATCAGCGCAATGGCTCAACAATTACAGACGTATTTTTCTCACAAAGAAGTATCCCAAGGACCCCATCGATCTTACCCAGGCTAACCAGCAATAACTGTAATCCCCACCAGAATACCGCCTATACGGTAGAACCACTATCTCCCATTTCCCTGGACTACCCCGCAACCGCGTATACTCTGCCCCGACGGGATATTATCCGGATATATAAAGCCCTCCCTCCCTCCTCCCCACCCGCCCACCTTTCACCATATACATACATACATACATACAGATACCTCACTTCTGATCCTCAACTTGCCCCTCACACGCGAAGACCCAAAAGCAATACCCCATCCAGCCCAGCCAAGACCTGTTGTCTACCGAACTGAATGCTCCGCACCCTCCCCAAAATGGCCCCAGCCGTCGAACGCATCACCCTCTTCAAGATCCCCGACGAGGCGGCCCGGGACCGCGTGCTGGAGCAGTACAAGGTCCTTGCTAAGACGGCCGTCAAGGTAAACACTTAGCCCAAGCACCAAGCATCAGACCCCGAGTCACTGACTCCACTCCACTTACCCTGGGTTGAAGAAAACCGGAATGAGCATACTGACACACTGGACATGATTTAGGACGGAAAGCCATATATCGTCAGCGCGGCCGCGGGGCCTTCGTTCCCCGATCCTCGCAACAAGGGGTACAATCTCAGCGTCAAGACGACGTTTGCCTCACTGGAGGATATGAAGTACTACGATACCGAGTGTGAGGCGCACAAGGCGCTGAAGGCGGTGGTGGGACCTGTGCGGGAGGATGTGTTGACGACGTACTTTGAGAGTGTTCTGTGAAGACTTGAAAAGGATCCAAAGGGGAAGAGGGATAAAGTGGTCAATGGGTATAGACTTTATGATCGACATGATTTGCGGGGGTTTTCCTCTCAATAAAGAGGGGATGTTTATCTGAATCTGAATATACTCTACTCAGCCACTCGTGTCTTGGGGTGTGATATCCAAATTCATGAATCAGTTCCATGCATGCATGCTGGAGCATAGCCGAATGCCAGCCCTGGTTTCGCTGCCGAATCGAGCAGAAGTGAAGATAAAAACATAAACATGAGACAATTAACATGATCCTCGCCCATCATGGCCTGGGATTAAAAGTACAAGGTACCCAAGAGGTTTCCACTCCTTGTCAGCCGTGTTAAAATGTACAATATGGTTCAGAAACCGCCAAGGAGACCTAACGAGGAGAGCGAGGAGAGAAAAGCAGCGGAGCCAGCAACCACTCCTCTATCACTCAATGCTAGCCCAGAATATACAACCCGCGACTTAGTCGAGAGCCTTGCGGAGGTCACTCCATTTCTGTTTGAGATTTTCATGGTTTTCATGAATCTTTCAATTCACTAAGTCAGCGTTGCACTGTGGGAACCTAATATTCAAAGGCAGACTCACCTCGGCCCATTTCATCTTGGCCTCTACCAGCTCCTTCTCCATCTCTGCCATCTGCTCGACCATCGACCGGTTTTCATTTTGAACCTCAAGGTTGCGTTGCATGATGCGGTCCATCTCTGTGCGCAGCTTCTCCTCCACCTCTGCTGGCTGCTTGTCCACTACAATCTTGAGCTCTTTGACTTGCATTTTCAATGCATCATTGATGTCTGTCAGCTCTTCGTTTTCGACCTTGATGTGAACCAGTTCTGACGCGAGCTGGACATGCTCTTTGTCAGAAGCCTCGTTCTGCTCCTCCAACTGGCGTATTCGGGCACTTTGCACGGCCACAGTGTGCTTCAGGTTCTCGAGCTCGGCCTCGCGCTCCTTTTCCGTCCGTACCTTGTCCTCCCACTCAGCTGTGTACGCACTGACCGTCTCTGGTTCTAGGGGTATAGCGCAAGCGTCCTGCACCATTATATCCGCGCGATAGACTTCCTTGTCGGCAGCGCCCGAGCTGCCAAAGAAGCCGGACTCCAGGATCGAGGAGGGAGTCGGTTGCCTGTCGATGTAAACGTCGAACAAACGCTCTTTCAAGAACGTGGTCAAAGGTGCCATGTCCTTCATCTCCAAAAGCGCGTCTGCATTTCGGCGCATGATGGCGAGAGCAAACTTGAGAATAGCATTCTCAAGGCCTTCATCGAATATGAGATCGTAAACACGAAGGACTAGTTGTAGAGGGAACCTATAAGCAAACAGTGTGAGAAACCACTGTGTTGCGTACAGCTGGGGAGGTACACCGCGTCGCCGGAGGTGACAGTAGAGGGCCGGCTCAAAGTCCTCCAGCAGACGCTCGAAGAGATACAAGCAGCGGTGAAGACCAGGCATCTCCTGAATAAACATCTCCCGCAGACCATACTGATTCATGAGCTTGACCAGAAGTGTGAATGCCTCCGCCTCGTCCATCTGCAAGATTGTCAGTGTCACTCATTGGTCTTTTAGAAATTCGGTGACCTACATTGAAAAGCAAGGGCATGACAATGAAGTTCATTCCCTGGGCATATCCCACGCCCTCATCGTAGAGGGCATACGCCTTACACAGCCCAAACAATGCCTCTTGATTCCCTTGCGAAACAAAATAGCGCGAATAACTCGTGCGAGCGCCTAGATCGCGTCGGATTGTCTTTTCCAATTTTTGCAGCGCCAATGCATCCTCCTTCGCTTTCTTTGCTTGTTCCTTGGCCAGCCGTTCGGAATCGAGTTCATGCGAAGGGCTCGAGGAGCCATTGACCGAGTGTGCCAGAGAAGCAGATCGCTCTGAGCGAACCGAAGAACGAGATGACGACCTTGCAGAGTCTTTTTCACCTAGTCCACTGACTGAGCCATTGCCGGATCGCTGCTTCTCCTTGTCTGTACCACGAGCAACGAGTTCTCGGTACACCTCTTCCAGCTCGGGGTTACGGCTGTCAGCCAGGACTTGCCAAATCACCCCTCGAATAGTTTGCGGGATTCCTCGTTTGATGGCGGCATTGAGCTCCTCCGAATTCGCCCCTTTCAGCGCTTGTGGACCACGATTGACTAATTGCTGCCAGAGCTCCCAGTCTACCGGTGCAGACGCATCTGTCGCTGAGGCGGAGAAGCCTGCAACTGTACCCGGAGGCAGATTTGGATTCACAGTCGACGTGCCATTGGAGGGAGAAGCTGCGGATGGAGTGATGCTCGTGTAGCTGTCGCCTTCTTCCGGGATGCTCGGAGGGCTTCCTGCAGAGTGACTAATACTGGCCCGTCCTGACGTGACACTCGCTTCGTCGTTCTCCGATACAAGACCTTCGTCACGCAATCTGAGCTGTTTGAATTGATCCTTCAGGCTACTTCGTCGAGGCCGCCTTGAGCCTGTGCCGTCCACATCTTCTCCATCGTGGTGTCGACCCTCAGGATTGCTGGAGAGTGTGGAAATCGATGCAGCCGTGTTGCGGCGGGGTTGTGGTGGAGGCGATTTGGCCTCCTTGTTGGACGACGAGCTTCGAGAAAGCCATGCAAAGGGGCTGGTGAACGAACGGGTTGGTGGTGGGGGTGGTGCAGGAGCGGCCGCTTTGTTCGTGGAAGCACCATTGGGCAAACCATTGGTCGATCCTTGAAGGCGCGAGCTCTGCGACGAAATCGAGTCTCTAGATACAAGTGGTGGAGGTGTGCCAGATTTGAGTTCCTGGCTCAAGCGTTGGTTCTCGAGCGACTCTTCTTCCTCCTTATTGCTGGTAAGGTTCACCTCGTCGAGGGAAGTAGTCGACAAACGATGCGCGGTCAGCAATGGCGACTTCTTGGTCTTGCGGGGGGTATCCTCTGCTTCGGATTTTCTGTCTATACTGGCAGCATCGCTCTCTTCAACGTGTTCCGGGTCCTCTTGGGAGCTTATAGGTAGCGGGGGTGCTTCCGTCAATTGAGGTGTTACATTCGATCCACTCGGAGGGCTGTCTGTCAGCGATCGGGAGGAGGAACTCTTTGGAATCGAGACGCTAAGATCAGCGCGTGAAGTCGGAGATTCAGGTGCATCATCGAAAGATTCCTGGTACAAATAAGTTGTCATTATGGGGCCTTCTAAGGATATCGAATATAATCGGATCGAGAGGTCAGAGGCTCACTCCTTCGTAGGTTTCGCTATTGCGTCTGGAAGACGACATATTTTAGACCCGACCACCTGGGGGGGCCGAAACTATGTAAGACCAGTTGGTTTCCAGATTTGAAATTCCGATTGATACAACGAGGCTGAATACACGCGCGATACGTGGGGAGGGGGGAGAGCGATTGAGGAGGTCAGGATTGTGAAATTTCCATGATAGGGAGGTGGAGGCAGGCGGATATGGGGCTGTAGCCACCGACCGTTGTCAGAGGTAAGAAATTAATTGTGGTGGTGGAGAGAGGTGAGGAGTTGAGACTTGAGACTTGAGGAAAGGAGGAAGAAGGGGGGGGGGAGGGAAAGTGCACAGCGAGAGGTTGGATAGACGAACGGGAGATGGGGATGAATGGAATGAATGGACCCAGAAGCCAGCGGGTGGAATTCCAGGACCGTGCCACGGAACTAGGAAGATCGGTTCCCAGTAAGTAAATCCAGGAGGTTGACTCCCTTTTTTTCTAGGTGCAGTTGGAGACAGGTTAACAGGTTGCAAGAATACACAATAGAAGAGTGGAATGGAAGGAAGAAAGTGAGAGTGAGAGAGAGAGAAGAGCAGCAAACTAGGAGAGGAGGCGGGCAGTTCCCGACTGGGCAGTCTCGACTCTGTGCAATTGGTACGGAGTAGTCTCTCTATTATTTGTGTACGAAGTATTGTGATTGTGGTATGAATGGCTGACTGGCTGACTGACTCTTCCATGTAGAGTTCCCCCCCTTAAACTACCTGTTGTCTAGGTCTAGGACTGTACCATTGGTGGTGGTACTCCGCACTAATCATTACTAGTCAGGAGGGAAGAAGACTTTTGACAAAGCCAACCAACTGATTGCCAGACTCAAAATAATACTCCGGAGTAGACAGGGGAAGTTCTAATCAACAAAGACAAGGTGAACGCCGTATTATTCAATGTCCAAGTCTGCAGGCAGCATGTTTCATATTTTTATCTTTCTCTCTTTTGTTCTTCCCATGGGGACTGACTCGTGGGTTGATTCTTTTGGTATTGATCGATATCGAAGGGCAACATTTCTTCCTAGAGCCACACACCTCTTATTCTGAAACTCACCAACATTCATAATTATTCACACCCACCCCCTCGACAGCTGCCGTCTCCACCAACTAAGTGGTACGTATCTATCTGTATCCCGCTATCTTTAGTTCGTTACTTAAGTTAGTGTCTATGACGATATGTGGGACACAGAAGCATGATAGCTAAGCAAGGATTGATTGAGAAAGGGACCGGGGAACAGAAAAACGACATAGAGATCCAAATCTCATTAAGAATATCCCGAAGATGGCGTTCTATCTATCAGATTCTTATGCGGACTTATGCGGAGTTTCCAGATCGGTCGGCAAGGAATGATCATGATCGGCTCAGCAGGCAAGTGACTGTTCAAAATCCAGCCACCGTTGCTGTCGCAGCGGGTCCAGCTTCTTCAACTCCGCAAGCCACTTTAGCACCGCTCGTTTCTGCGTCTCAGCGGGAGTTATCCCCTCCACCTTCCAAGCCAACAGCGTACAGTCGATCAAGGCTTGGTAGAGATATTTACAGTCTTCCGCCCCATCCAGCATGTCTTCGATTTCTTCGATCTCTTGTCGGAGATATTCCAAGCGTTCCGAGTCACTGAGATTCGGTGCCATTGTCTGCGCCGCTACCGTCGGATCAAAGACGCACATTAAATTTTGGTGGTAGAACCACAATGACTGGTCATATGGGTCGCACAAGGCACGATGGACCAATTCCAACTCTTCCGAAATGACATGTTAGCATGCCCACGCAGTAAGACGCTTGTGTCTGCGCCACACGGCGGAAAACGTAACCTACCGTCATCGAGCATCTTTCTCCGCTCCTCATCGCTGGCTGATCGCTCGTTTAGCAGTCGCTGGATCAATTTGGTACGATAATGCCAAGCAGAGAAATTCGACAGGTTGGCGCCGATCATCTTCTTTGCGTAGTCAAATTCAGCCTGGGTCATGTCTTCGCTGGGTTGCTCTGCGGACTTGAGCTCCCGAAGAGTCTCTATGACAAAACGTCTGTAACCCCAGCCGTGGAAGTTCCTACTGTCCAGGTTGAGCATCTTGCCTACCAAGCCCAACTCCTCTTGCCAGAATCGACGGGAGATCGAAGCAGGAAGAAGGCGCTTGGCTTCGTCCAAGAGCCAGACGCGGTAGTTCCAAATCCAGTAGCACTTGGGAAAACTCTTGAGCAAGGGAATAAGAAAAAGCAAGTCGCTCTTGATCAAGGAAGCAACCTGTTCTGCTGCCGTTTCGTTGGAGCCGCTAGATTCTGCGCGCGAAAATTCGCTTCGCAAGACTCGACGACGATAATTCCATATCGTGTAGTACTCTGGGTTGCTGCTTAGCAGTTCGGATATCTTCTGTAGAGTTTCTGGTGTGTACTGCTGTGCCGCAATCTGATCACCACCGTTAGGTCACGCTTGCCACGTAGAGATGTACGATTGCATAAATGCACCTTTTCTCGGACTGACTGTTCGAGTTCACGATACTTCTCGATCTTGCGAAGCTCTTGTTGGCGAGCTTCTTCAGTCCGCTCCCCTCTGCGGGCGTATCGAGGAATCCCATGCTGTAATTGCACACGAGGTCAGTTAATGTGCGCGAATGAGCCAGCAAGAATAGGTACGTCACTTCAGCCATTGTAGATTAAGAGAGACTTTTTTTGGGATGTTGCAACAGGGCTTCCTTGGGCGGATGGATTGCAAATAGGTTGACGGTCACTAAGGCTATCGATAAGAGAGTATGTGAAGCGGCGACTAACTCATTCCTAGTCCACTTACCGAGTCCCTGGTTGCCTTTCCAGGGCGAGCCGCAGCCACTTTCCTTATCTGGATGAGTCACGTGCCCTGCTCTATACAACCATTCTACTTTGCCAATCATTGGAGGTAACATTGCTAGTCTCTTCTTTCTGACTCTTGCCAGCTATCACTCCGCCATGCTGTTCTTTGGCAGCATGGCAGTATATCAATAAGAGCTCCGGCTCAATTCTTGGCTTCACGAACTCTACCAAAGACACAGTAACTAACAGCGTTCTTTATACTTCTGGGGGTTATTATCCGCGCACCCTCAACTGCCTGTTCAGTCTCAGACTGAGGCAGGGAGAGCAATGACTTTAAGCACACGCTCATCGCGAAGCTCAATGCTGACAACCTCTCATTCCCATTCGGATCCTTCTGCACCCAATCCATCAGCTAATGGAGGGGGGCGAGTACCATCATTTCACCTGTGTGCGAGTGCCCCATCACTCTTGGAGCCCGTCACTCATTCAAAACTCAATATACATACTCCTCGACCTGAGTCCAAGAAATTGCAAGATGCCAAGAGCTTCGAGTTTTCTTCCCTCAAACCGGGAAACAGGCGTTCATCCGCCCCTCAAGCAAATGCTCTGAGGGCTTCAGACCACGCATTGTCTACCTTAACAATAGGACCAACGAGGAAAACTCGATCGAAGATCAGACTCCCCGTGCACTACAAGTCATCTGACTGCAACATGAGATGTGAGCTGCCTGATCGATATATTCCTTTGCGGGAGTCCAATTGCGCGCCCCCAACGCCATTCCATGTAGTCAAGAAACCGCGAGAGCTATCGCCAGAGGAGAAGCTACTACGACGACGACCGCCTAGAGATGACCCTTTCATGCCGTCACACCTTCCAAAATACTTCAGCGGTTGCAAAATAGCGTCAAATCGCGTTTGCAGCCCTCACTATCGTCCTCATCTTGTCACCGAGCCTACCTATACTGGAAGTGATTCGCCATTCCGCGACATCAGAGACATTTCGAGACAAATAAGCTATGGAACTGTCTGGAATGTTGGAGGAAACTCTGCCGCCTTGGGTCGAGCATCTACAACAGTTGCTCGTGGCTCGGGCTCTCATTTCGCCAGTGGCACTACTGCTCCCATGTTTACTGCTAAATTCTTACCCCAGACTGCGGCGAACGAGGAACGCGAGAAACACAAATCCAGAGTGGCACTTGCTTTGGACTTTGATCCGGCAACGAGACTTATACAAAGCAGTAAGCCCTTGTCACTGCTCCGCGGGTTGCCGAATCCAGCTTCTTCGGACTACGAGAGATTCTCTCCCTTTGTGTGGAGGGATAATGCCTGGAAACGGAATGGGAGAGACCTGTGTAAGTCCCAGTTCTGCTCACAAGGTCAATCGAGTGCTTGTAGTGTTTCGTGTTGTTCTAGCAACGAGACCCCTGGTAGACTGTTGATTATCTTCTGGCGTCCTTTGCTCTACCTTGGGCCAATCGGGTTCCGAGACCCATGACTGACCGTTGAGCTCACTGTCAGGGATGCCTGTATCCAAGCCGAGTAAGCGAGTCGTCCCCAATCGACCGTTTCGCATTCTCGATGCGCCCCTCCTTCGCGATGACTTTTATTGCTCAACATTGGCGTATTCACCCACATCCGGTATTCTTGCTGTTGGTTTGGGTCATCGTGTGTATCTGTGGTCCGAAGATCTTGGGGTACAGCATCCTCCCCTTAGCGATCAGCATCCCTCCAACTACGTGACATCTTTAGCATTCTCCTCTGACAATGGCGGCAAAAGTATACTGGCTGTTGCAAGACAGTCGGGGATGTTATGTTTGTGGAGTGTCTTCGACGCTGAGGTCCGATTTGAGATTAGCCATCCTGAGAGCATCACATGTGTGGCATTCAAGCAAACCAAGTCCCGCAGAACATCAGAACGCTTCCGCAACATGGAAGTTGATGTCGAGGATCTGGCCGTGGGAGATGACCTGGGGAACATATGGTATTACTCAGTGGAGTGGCCTGATGATGAGATATGGGATCGATATGACTGGAACGGAGCCATGACCTTGCTCGCCAAAATCGCTGCTCACACACAGCAAATTTGTGGAATCAGTTGGTCACCAGATGGCTCTTTCCTTGCAACGGGGGGTAATGACAACTTCTGTCTGCTATTTGAGCTCCAGGCTATTCTTCCTCCGCGTAAACTCAATCTTTCAGTTCAAACTAATTCGTCATATCGTTCCTCACACCAATCCATGCGCCAGTCAGGCCAGTCAGGCCAGTCAGGAGGCACAGAAGGCACAGGTTCGGCCTCTTATCTTACAACAGAGGCTGGCAGGCTCCATCACCGAAGACGCAGTCTCATCGGCAACCTGCTTCCGCCCTGGGCCTTATCATATGTTAGGCCTTTTACCACCTCGCTGCTGAACCATACGGGGTCATTGATCTCCGGTGGTGAAAAGACAATCATGGTTCCAGCCAACCGTCAAAAACATCGACTAATCCATGGGGCGGCGGTGAAAGCGATTGCATTTGCTCCTTGGCAACCATCCCTCCTGGCCACCGGTGGAGGATCCAACGACCGAACTATCCACTTCTACCACGCGCCAACAGGTGCATGTCTGGCCACTATTCATGTATATGCACAAGTGACGGGCTTGCTTTGGAGCAAAACCAGGCGGGAGATTGTGGCTACGTTCGGGTTCGCCCAGCCAGAGCACCCCTACCGAATTGCGGTGTTTGCTTGGCCGACTTGTGAGCAGATTGCTGCGATTCCTTGGGGGCCGCACGGTAGTAGCTGGGAAAGCGCAGATAATGACCTCGTGGTCGATTGCGGGCGGGCACTCTGCGCTGTCAGTTATCCTGGGAGACCCCATATTTTCGAGCCCGAAGCTTCGCATGAGGTCGAAGACGAGTGCGTGTCGAGCGCAGCAAATCAAGACCGATTAGCCGGGCACAGCCGATACCAGCCGAGTCGACGCCGTATGAGTCGCGCCTTTGTACGGCCACGCGCTAAGGAGGGAGGCCTGTGGTGTTCGCGCACGATGCACGAAGGCTGCATCATCGTAGCTTCAAGCGATCAAAGCGTCAAGTTTCATGAGGTGTGGAGCGGATCTAAGCGAAGCACAGCTGCAGTGGCGGGCTCTTTTGGGGGCAGCGGCATTCTCGAGGGCTTGGAAGGTCTCGAGAAAGAGGGGGATGAAATCATTCGTTGATATCAGCGATCCTAACACCAGTGCGACGAGGATCGTAAAGCTTGCCGTAGGCGTGTATCATTATTACAACCCGCTAACTACTAGATTGTAGTAACCTATTATTCTTTCAATGAGGTCTCCCTGTCATGTATACCTCACGGAGCCTTGTGTGCCGAACGAAGGGAATCCTCCTGTCCTTGGGATCGGACCGGGCCGACGATCCTTGCTGCATGAGTTCTGTTCATACATCAATAGCGCGTCTAAACTGACTCAAGCCTTTTTCATCGCAATCTTACATTCCGGAAACAGCTTATCATCAATAGACTTACTTGAAATAAAGAGCCCACTGTGCTGTAAATTCAATTACTCGGACATTCTCAGCCCTCAGGTGGCACATAATCCGAAGCCATATTTCTATTATATATGTAGCTCATCGCCTACAGCAACCTGCCTCTTGTGCATTACAGTTCTCAGAACTACCGCATCAACCACTCTATTTCCCTCCAAACCCATAAATATCAATCCTTGCTTCCGACCTGCCACCATCCACAATGGGTGCATCCACCATCCTCATCTCGACCATCCTAGCCCTGGGCACCACTGCCCTAGCATCAGCAGTAGCAACAGCCACCACCACAAACACCACGGCGACAACCGGTCTATTCCCCAGCACCCTCAACATCACTACCCTGACAGCCCACAACAACCACTCCGTGCTCGAATGCTGGGCCCTCCAACCGGGCTACTCCCTCACCTCCGAGGCCGGGGTCTCCGGCAACGCCGTCCTCAACCTGGGCCCCATCACCGGCAACGCAACCAACATCCTCATCCCCGCCAACTATGACGGCGGCCAACATAATGCTCCCGCGCTGCAGTATGTTGTCCCCCTTTCCTTGCCCCCATCCCTTTCACCCGCAATCTCCCAGTCCCAGCCCCGGAGCCCCAATAGACCTTAAAACATGACCATAAAATCCAATCTCCTTCTCCCTCACTACTTCGTATCCCCGAACCCCCTCGTCCTATGGTTCAGCTCGGGTCATGAGTCGCGTGTACAGTACCTAAAGTAACATCACTAAAAAAAAAAAACAGATGGGTGATTTTCCTCTCCGGAGTGGCGCATATCACGCTTCCGACCTCCGGGGATGAGGCGTGGGTAACCGGGGGCAAGAACGGGGCAATTCTGGCGCTGGATACCAGGGAGGTGAGCGCGGAGGGCCACGCGACGACGTATCCGTCCGGTCAGATGACGGTGGCGGTGGAGGTGCCCTTGTCGGAGGTGCCGGCGCATCGGGTGTTGCATTCGGGGGCTTGTGGGGAGGGGGAGGTGTTGGGGTGATTGAGTGTATTCGATGGGGATATAGTAGGTGCAGTACGTTACCTGCTGGCTTGGTGTGGTATGGTATGTCACGTGGCTAAGGAAAGATATATTTGTGTTTCAGCCGGGTGAAGAAAGATGATTGATATATTCACACTACTCATTCCCTCCCTCCCTTTTTTTGACTGCTCACGCCCTAATTCTAGCATGCGATAAGTGGCGGGTAAACCGAGGTGAAAACGACGAAGGAAAAAAAAAGAAATCCCAAGTGGAACCAATCAAAACATGATCCTTTACTCGTAACTCAACACATCCACTCCCTCTCTCTCTGTACTTTTTTTAGGTTGGAGGCAATAATAAAACATCCGGGGAGAATGACACCAACATTACTGTTGCCGCTGCTGCCGCTGCTGCTGCTGAAGAACGGGGGTATAAAATCTAATGGTAGGAGAGGGTGAGGTGGTAGAAGATGGGATGACAAGGTGAACAAAAAAAGAGAGTTTTGATCTATCGCCTATTTTCTTCCTGCCTTCTTGCCCTTGCCTCGTCCACCACCGCCACCACTGTTCAGCCGGGCCTTCTTGGAAGGCGGAGGCTGAGGAGCGGCAGTGGCTTCGTCATCAGACTCCTCCTCGTCCTCTGTATCGGCGATGAAGTCCACCATGGAGCCGACGCTCTCGGCATCCTCGTCGTCCTCGTCTTCATCTTCCTCGAGGGACTCTTCCGCATCCGAGGAGCCAGCGGACTCTTCCGCCTCGACATCGAGGATGTTCTCATCCTCGTCCTCCTCTTCTTCGCTGCCTTCTTCTTCATCCTCGGAAGAGTCTCCACCGTAGTGCACGCCGTTCATCATCGACTCCTCCTCATCGTAGGTCTGGTCACGTATCGACTTGGTGCGAGGTGTGACGGTGTCCTTGTTCGCCTCGGCGTCGCTATCCTCGTATTCATCCTCCTGTCCCTCCACGTAAATGATGTTCTCCTCATCCTCGCTGTCCATGGCCTCTTCACCGTTGTGGATCGACCGTCGCAATCCGAGCTGGGCGTCCAACATATCGAGCTTGCCCTTGAGCAGGAGCAGCGAGGGAAGGCTTGAAGAGCGCTGCTCCATAACCTTGAAGAGGGTCGACATCCGCTTGAGAAGCTCGGGCTTACCAGCAAGAGCTCCACCGTGCGCGACGCAGGTCCATTGGACCCAGACTAGCAGGTGCCCGTAACGACCGGGGCGACCGGAAAGGCGCTCTGCGAGTTTCTGGAGGAGAGTGGCTGCCAGGGACGAGTCGAGGCGTTGGATGGTAGTGCGGATGATAGAGAGGTCGCCGGTGTGGAAGCATGACTCGAGCATAGCGGTGTCGTTGGTCTTGAGAGACTGGGTGAGAACGGTGGACAATGACACGCCCGAAGGAATTTGCTGGATCGCGGCGTTTGGCTTTCCGGGAATCAGGGATCCCATATGCACGTCGTCCTCAAGCTCGGCTTCGACGTCAACAATTTCCTGGTTAGCGCGCACGAGCTCACCAAAAGACGGCTCGCCAGTCTCCTCCTCTTCGTCCTCGGAACCTGACTCTTGCTCATTACCCATTTCAACATCACTGTCCTCCTCCTTCTTTTGCAACTGCCTCGAGGGCTTCTCGTTGTCGGCGTCGGAGTCGGACTCTTCTTCACTGTCGGCCTGGGAAGCAGCATCTTCCTTGGTATCTTGCATTTCGATGTCATCTTCAATGATATTTCCCTGCTCTACCGTGGCCCGGGACTGGTCGACATCGTCCTCTCTGGCGCTTCTGGTTCCGTTCGTGGTGACGGAACCCAAGACTCCGCCAGTCTTGGTTCTAGGAAAGGTCCTAGTGCCAGTGAACAACACCTCGTCGGTTTCCTCATCGAGCCATTGGACCCGCTCGAAGACAGGAACGACACCACCGTCAGCCCAGACAACAACCAGGTCGGGGCCTTGGAACGTCGCTGCCACAACTGACACAAGCGCCTCGGAGGTAGCAGACATGGTGACCTTAATCGATGCCTCTGCTCTTCTGATGGCCTGCTTAGATCTGGCTCTCTGTTGAGCAGCACCCTTGGCAGAAGTCTGCTCAACGGGCGTTACGAACGGCCGCGTGAAAAGTTCAATCGTGCCATCCTCAGTCACAGCGGCGAGAACTTGCTTCTCTACCGGGAGAGCATCGCCGTTCTTTTCGGCGCCGGTATACAAAGCTATGGAGCTCACACCCTGCTCAGCCACGAGGTTCATGGCAAGTTTCTGTTTCTCGGCATCGAAGACATTGATGTAGCGGTCACTATCGGATACAAGGAACAATCCCGTCCCCGCAGACTCTGCTGAAGATGTGAAGATTTGTCTGATAGGGTTGCGCATAGCATCAAACGACACAGGAGGTTCGTCCTTCTCGACGCTAACAATATACGGCGTTTGCGAGGCGCAAATGACATGGGGGTTAGAAGGAAGAGGACGCGAGAGTGTGTTGTATGTCGACGTGGAAGGTAGATGGATGGTTCTGAAGATATGATCAGCCGAAAGGATGATTATAGTAGGAGGTGACTTGAGCTGAATTTACCTTGTCTTCTGTCCAGTGCGGAGGTCCCACTGCACTAGCTTGTTATCTCCGCCAATGCTCCAACCCTCCTGGCCGGGCCGACTGGGGGTAAACTTGAAATCTTTGATGCCCTTCTCGTGTCCACCTGCAAGCGTGCCGACAATCTTATCATCCACAGGCGAATACATTCGAATCTCAGAAGTGTTGGTTCCAAAGGCAACGACGACATCGCCCTGATCGAAAGCGTCCCCGTTGATATCAGAATTCCTCTTTCTCTTCTTCTTCGATTGATCCTTGTCCTTCTGGCGACCGGCGAAATAACCCCAGTCTAGTGAGGTAACGATCTCCTTGGGACCCAAAACATGCTCGCACTGTAACCGGCCTGTGTTCGTATCGTGAATGCGGAGATGCTGAGCACCAAGGCCTTGGATGACCGACGCGAAGAGTGTCAATTGGTACTCTGATGGAGCGAAAGACGCCTTCAAGATTGAAGACTGATTTCCGATCTGTGTCGATCCTATTACCGCGGGCGACGCAGCGGAGGAAGTTTTCGAAGCGGCCGGGCGAGACGCTTTCTTGACCATTTTGGATGGACTCTGCGGGTGGAATCAAGGCGATAAATGCAAATGTGTCCGTGTCGCAAAGGAGGCAGCAGAAGGCGATAAGAAGCCTGACCCCACAGCAAAATTCGAGCGACAACCTCTTAACTCTGAAAGACTGTTGTGCTGGTCGACCGTCGCCGACTTTCTGGACCCGAGTTGAGGTTGCTGAAGAGGAAAAAAAAGTTCTGTAAAGATGCGCTTGGCCTGTTGCGGTTTAGCCGCCCGTGATCGAGTTCCGCTCCGGGTGTCTTATCTAATCCTCCGCTACAGCCAAGCACAACTGCACGGAGGGGTGAGGTGCCGGTACGAAGCGTTCTTCCTCTAATCATCTCCTTGTCCTACAAAATCTTACGCGCAGAGAAGAATGGGTCGAAAAGGATACTCTGGTATCCTTTTGATACTACTTACAGTTCAGGATTTCATGCAATGCTTTTTATTATCACCAGAAGTCATCAACAGCCTCACATTACACTAACCGTGCAGGATCTTGAGAGCCAAAGAGCCCTGGAATATAGACTCTTACCACCTCAAACATATCTCGACCCCAAGCACCGATGCTTTCGATGAGATCAGGGGAAACTCTTCGCCTCGCTGTCATCTCATTTTTTCCCTGTGATCACAATCGCAGCAGTCACTCGTGCTGCCAGGGCGGTAGTTCCTGGGTTACCTGCCGAAAGCCAGTTGGTCAGACTCGGCATGGTTACAGCAACAGATGTGCCACCGTCTTCCAAACCTTCAAGTCCACGTTCAACTTGAAGACAAAAACTCTTTAGCTGCTACAAGACACAACCGACGTGATAGAGTAGCTCAACAGTATGGCTAATTGAGACAACAGGCGCCATGGTCTGTGAACGGCTGCCTAGACGAGTCATCCTTTCGAAGAGCGCCGAGCGACCGCGAGTCGATATGTGTCATACTCGTCGAAACCCATGACCTGAAGGTGTCATGTCCTCAGTGAGGCCCAGCTTCTGATTTGATGTTAGTGGCGGGACCTCTACGAATCTCTCACCTCCACGACACAAACACTGTTTCCAACTCATAGATGCGCGTTCTCATGAGTATGACAAATCCATTAAATCCGTTGAATGTTCAGACCTGGCCACTCGGAAATTTGATTTGCAAAGACCCAAGGGCCTGATTACATCAGCATTCGGACTAAACCGGTTGCGATGCAAGGGAGGGCTCAGGGCTAAACCCTGGGGTAACACCAAGTCAGCAGACCAACACATCCTGGCTTCGGGCGGCCAGCACGTCTGTAAGCTTCCTATTAGATCCATGATGCATCCTCCCACCAAAGGCCTAACACACTTCAATCGGGTATGTCATATCTGATCTCACTTGGCCAAGGTACCATAGTGAGGTATCTGGTCGACAGGATGCAGATCGGTATTTCACCGTTCAGTGATTCGGATCAGTTTCTTCTGCTTGGGAGGATACGGTCCTCATTTATCACTCACCGAGTGGACAACCTCTTTTTTTTTTTTTTTTTTTTAACCATTACACTCTCTGTCTTGGTGTCTGGCTTCGAGGATGTTTCCGACAAAGACCAGGGTTGGATACGACCAATAGTAACCAGAAATCCGTCGAACGCGTCATCGGCGAACCAATGAGGAGGTGTAGAACGGCTTGAACTAGATAAATTGGGACTAGCGTAGCGGATGGAGTTAGCGGCAGAGAGCGGACGGGCGCGACGCGGCCGTTCGTACTTAAGGATTCTAGCACCCCCTCCGACTTTCTCTGTCTCTGTTTCTGGAGCTGAGAGCTGAGAGCTGCGCGCCGGTCACGCTTTTCCCCTACTTTACCACCACACACACCCTATATCCTCCTCCCCTCTGCTGACCGCCCTCCACCTCACTCATCTTTCTCTGCTTTCTAAGCTGTTGCAGCCTGTATTATCCTCGGTTGCCCCTGGATATTACTCACGCGTCTTGTATCGCGTCGCGCGCTCACCCGTTCGGTCCCAGCCACAGCTACTGCAGCTGCTTATTTTATTTGGGATAAATCTATTTTATTTTTATTTTTTTTTTCCTTGGGGTCTTATTATTTTCACCTTCCCCCTTTCCCCTTTCTTATTATTATTAGCAACGACTTCCGTCCAAGCTCCCGAACCCAATTCCATCCGTGTCCTTCCCTTTCTCTTTACCAACGCGTTGCCAAAACCTTTCATCGGCCTAAGGCACGAACAAGGGCACGTGTGTTGAATGACGGGTGAATATTTCAACAACTCAGGCATTCAGTGACTTACCCTTGATTGCCATCTTATCTCAATTCCTCTTCAATCCCCTTTTTCCATTCGGTTCTGATATCGTTTCCCTTCAAATCCGTCTGGCGCCGCTGCCTTCCGCTTAGCTAACCCACGCTTGCCGCCCACGTGACTGTTGCATTTACCGCCCGCCGCCTCTTGGCGATATAAGTACTTGCCCAGTGCCTTGTCGCATTCTCCACATTTGCGACCCGCGCTAATCTTCATCCTTTCCTGTATCTGCTGCAACTCCCGTGGCGTCGCATCAGACTGGGACTGCTCATTCAACCGGTTTTCCCTTCTGTCATCTGTCATCTAATCAGCTTACTTGCTCGCCCGCTTATCGAATCCATTCATTAGTCTGTGATAGCGCAGAGTGTTACCTATTCAGTTGATTGTTGTTGCCGTCGCTTCCTAAAATCCTTGGGTTAACTGAGACTCCCATCGGAATCGCCGCCTGCTTAGATTTTCTGTATCTCGGCCACCCCAAGGCGGGCTTTTCTTCACAGCGACCCCAAATGGCGACGCCGCCTCCGGAGGCCCCTTCTGACTTCAAGGAGGAGAAGCCTCAACTGCCGCCGTCGCCCAATGGAGTTTCGCCTGGTGGTGTCGATCGCACAGGGTACGTATCTTCGCAACCTCACTTATCATTATTTACGTCTCGTCGCTGACCACCTTCGTAGTTCCCAAGATGCTGTAGTCAGTGTCAAACCCGATGCGCCCGTCAACGGTGCCGAGAAGACCTCGGCAGACACAAAGTCCGCTGCTGTCAATGGTCATAGTGCCGAACAAAGTTCTGTTCCAAACGGCCTATCTGCAACCGCTTCTCCACCCAAGTCTCCTTCTCTGCCGAGTACAGACACACCCGCACAGCCAGCCGTCGCGTCCGAAGATAAAAAACCTTCAAACGTGGATTCAGTTGCGACTGGTGAGGGAGACAAGGCTACTGCAAGTAACAGTGAATCTGTTACTGAGAAGGCTCCGCACACGGGCGGGGACACTCTTAGCCCCAAAAACACACAGGCGTCACCGGATACGTCAAAGCCATCAACTGATACGTCCGATGCCAAAGTGGAGAGCACTGCACAGTCATCACAGAATATTGGATCTGTGAAAACAGAACTTCCCCACCATCCTTCCACCAGCCCGTCCAAAAGCGATGCTGCCAGATCTGTTTCTGCCGCGACGCCTCTTCCAAGCGTTGACCACGAGATGCGTGACGCCCCGGTGGTTCCAGCGTCCCCGACGAAGGTGACAAGGGAGCGAGAATCTGATCATGGTGATGAACCCGCTGCTAAGCGAACCAAGTTCGGCGGAGAAGGCGCGTCTGCAACCGACTTCAAAGTTCCTAGCGCACCTACACCGGCCCATGAAAGCCGCTCCGCTGGCTCGAGCAATGGATATGGTGGGATCACCAAGGTTCAACACAAGTTCTTGCTCAAGTCGATTACGAGCCTGAAACGCATGCACGACTCGCGATTCTATCGAGAACCCGTGGATCCGATCAAATTGAACATTCCCCATTATCCGCAAATCATCAAGCAGCCAATGGATCTAGGAACCATCGAACGGAAACTCAAATTCAACGAGTACAGAAGCGCACAGGCTGTAATAGATGATTTCAGACTAATGTGCCAAAACTCTTTAACCTTCAACGGCCCCGATCACTTGGTCACAGTTGAGGGTCAGAGGCTCAGAGGAACTTTTGAGAAGCAGATGCACAATCTTCCCAAGCCTGATGAGATGGAAGAAAAGAAGGCAAAGAAACTCCCTCCCAAGACGTCGGCAGCCCGTCGAGAACCTCGGGCGGCGCCGAGTCCTAGTACGGCACGTGCTACCGGCAACTCTCCTCAGTCCACCACGTTCGCTCTAGGCCCGGAGGGTTTGCCGCTGATCCGTCGTGACTCTGCTGCTAATGCAGACGGTCGTCCAAAACGCTCCATCCACCCTCCCAAGCGTGATCTTCCCTACGCTGCAAAGCCAAAGAAGAAGAAGTATCAATGGGAGCTGCGCTTCTGCACCGAAGTATGCGAGGAAATGTATAAGCCGAAGCATTTCAACTACGCGGCGCCTTTCTACTATCCTGTTGACCCTGTCGCTCTTAACATCCCTACCTACCACAGCATCATCAAGAAACCGATGGATCTATCTACTGTACAGACAAAACTGAAGGCTGGCCAATACGAAAACGCCAGGGAATTCGAATTAGATATGCGCTTGATCTTCAAGAACTGTTTCAAGTTCAATATCCCCGGCGATCCCACATATGTTGCCGGTCAGCGTCTGGAAGAGATCTTCAACCAAAAATGGGCCCAAAAGACCCGGTATCTTGAAACCCACGAACCTCACCCCGAGCACCAGAGCGCTGCAGAGTCTTCCGAGGACGAGAGTGAAGAAGAGGCAGAGGAAAGTGATTACGATGCTGAAAAACTCAGTTTGTTGCAGAAGCAGATGGAAGAGATGTCTCGTCAGATTGAGGCCATTACTCAGAAGAAGAAGAAGACCCCTCCTGGCTCCAAGAAAATCAGCAAGTCGAAGCCTCCTATGAAGAAGGAGGTCAAGAAGCCTGGAAGCGTAAGCTCGAGCAATGTCAAAAAGGACAAGAAGATCAGCACCAAGAGTACCAAGCCTGAGAAGCAGCGCTGGGTCACCTACCAGGAAAAGCAGATTATCTCCAATGGAATCAGTAGTCTTCCCGACAAGAAGATGCAGGAAGCGCTCAAGATTATTCAGAGCAACGTTCCGGCTCTTAAGGTATGCTATTCCCCCCTTCACCGTAAAGACGGGCCGTGGAACTAACCCTTTGAAAAGGGTACACAAGAGACAGAGATCGAGCTTGATATCGATGAGCTTCCCAACGAGGTTCTTGTGCTCCTGCTTCGTTTTGTCAAGAAGAACGCGCCTCATGTGATGGAGGATGAGGAAGTTGCGACTCCCACTGCGGCGACTTCTACTACAACTGCTGCTCCAAAGCCGAAAAAGAACAAACCCATGAGCAAGTATGAGCAGGAGGCGCAGATAAACATGCTTGAAAGCAACTTGTCGCGCTTCTCGCAGGGAGGCGGTGGCCGCTCACCCGACCCTGTCCCCTCTGTCGAGGCCAACGAGAGTAGTGATGATTCGGAAGATGATTCTGAGGAGAGCGAGGAGGAGTAAGTGCCTGCCAGGCAGGAAGCCTACCATTTATCTACGATGGAGCTTTAGCCGACGGTGGTGTTTGCTCCGGCCACTTGACGCCATTGCTAGTCTCATCTCTCACCATCGCACACCCTTTACTCTTGTTTGTCTTTTCTTGCCATGTTCTCCATACAATAATGAGCTACCGTTCGTTTCCTAAGTCATTTCTCTTTTTTTCCCTAGCGACCTCTTTGACACCTGGAGGATGGTTCGATGTGTCCTCGGACTCTCCAAAACTGTACATAAGGCGAGGCTGGGGGACCCGTCGGATGATCCGGATGATTGTCGACCTCACAGCGTGACAATATTGGAAGATTGAGTTTGCTTTCATTGGACAGTCGTCGGTTTAGCCTTGAGCTGGCGCAACGACCAGTTTTCAGGCAACGGTGATTGGACTCAGTGAGCAAAGCGTGGTGGGAGTGGTGAGGGTTTGTGTATGATTACGAAAGAAACGTGAAAACGGAAGCGATTGCGAAGCATTACCTTGTGCTATACAGGCCACGTTGGTCTTCAAATGAACATCTTCTCCATTCGTAATTGTATGGAATTGTCTGGGGTAACCCTCGACCTGCCCTCTGTTCGAAGGAGATGAAGGCCTCGTTGCCTGGCACAGGGCGGTGAGCCGCTCAACGTCGCCGCGGAGGTTAAACTATTACGTCTCCGTACCCCGACAAGAAAGAGCAAAGTAAACATCCTCACAAATCCGTCCCCGCAATCCCTACCCCAACGATGATCCCGCCGTGCGATCCAGTCATTCTTGAGAACAACCCCCAGTTTAGACATCTTTATGAACAAGTGACTACAAAGTTTCTCAACCAGGATGGTTCGACGCGCGCCAATGATGCACAGCCGGCAAGAAAGGCACTTTTGGAAGTATGTCAGCGTGGTAGTCCGCGATAGCCTTGCCAGCCGTTCCTCTAAACAGGGCCTTCATGCTGCGAACTAGGAATTGAACGACTGTCGCATCCGCGATGCGAGAAAGAAGATCACAAAGCAGGCATTGCGACGATTGGCATTTGACCCCGATAGCGAGCTTCCTGACGAGGTAAGGGAGCGGATACCCCTAAGCATGCCGCTGGCTGCAAGTTGCCATCACGCGCAAGCTGACATGCAACTGTGGATACTCGTTTCTCCAACAAGTGTCGAGACCCCGCAGCCATCGTATATCTCTACCTCGAATCCCGTCCCGATGTGATCAACCTTCCTGCGGACCACGACGATCAACCCGACACCGACACCCTCCAGCTCCTCACTCCAGACATCGACCTATTCTACTCCAGCCTCCCCGACCTTGTTGAGCCTTTTTCCCGCATATTACGGGCTGATCTCGATGATCTACGTGCAATCACAGACGCAAGAACCGATGCAGATGCATCGGCCGCCGCCGGTCCTCGTACCCGCGCCCGCACGCGCCAGGCAACAACCGGCAGCAGAAGAACCGCAGCCCAGCAGATCACTCTCTCCTCGCGGCTGGACAAGCGCATCCAGGCCCTGCGCCATAGACAACTGAGCGAATTACCCGCAGCGCGGACCCGCATGGCTGCGACAGCTGCTGAAGTTCTGGCGACGCGGGCCGCGGTGCTAGAACGGACGGTCATGCTTCTGGAACGGGCGAAACATGGGGCATTCGCGCGGGCCACGAAGGCCAAGGCAGAGCATTTGGCCACGGTCGCGCAGGGGCTGGAAGGCAGGCTCAGGTATGGTCATTCTGCTCTCTCTCTCTGTTTCTTCCCCCCCATGAGGGCTCGATTGGTGCCTCTGGAGGAGATGGAGGTCGTGGCTGACTGTCAACTTGCTCTGATATATTAGTGTTATGAAGCTGGAGATTTCAGCCTCGATCCATACCCCGGAGGTTGTCGCGGCGCTTGGTCGGTACTGGGATCATCTTGAGGGTGCGCGGGAGCGTCTGGAAGAGTCACGTACGGAAGCATTGGAGGAGTTGAGAGCGTATGGTCTCGTGGCAGAGGAAGAATCCCATCGAGAGGAGGGCGCGTCTGAAGATACAATGCGCTCCGAGCCCGAAACCATGCAAGAGGTTTACTGCCGATACTGGACTCTGATTCGAGAGGTGGAGAAGGTGAGAGGAGAGACACGGCAGATGGGCGAGTCGCGATAAAGTGATGCTTGATGATAGTTTGACATGATACCCTATCTCATATGATTTGCAAATGCTACGTATACCAGTCCCATCTCTTGTCTGGGAATATGTCAACGGTAGTCTAGTGATACTCAGGTACACTGGTCCCCGGTGATGGCCGCTGTACTGTACCTGACGATAACCAATCAGCCACCCCGCAATCAATCGATCACCTGACTCAGGTCCGGTCCCGCCAAAAGTTTTCCCTTAGCGATAAACTACTCAGTAAAACCAAATAACTTTAATCTCCAATCTGAACGAGATCACCCCCCTCTCCCAGAGAATTTATATCAGTCCAAACACAACGCAACCCACTCACAACTTCTGCTCACATAACCTCCAAATCAAAATGGCGGACGACGCGATCTCCATCTACGACGAAATCGAAATCGAAGACATGACCTTCGACCCCAACCTGCAGATCTACCACTACCCGTGCCCGTGTGGCGACCGGTTCGAGATCGCGATCGACGACCTCCGCGACGGCGAGGACATCGCCGTCTGTCCTAGTTGCAGTCTGATGATCCGGGTGATTTTCGATGAGGTGAGTTTTTTGGTTGTGGGCTTCTGGACTTGTGGCTAATTTGTATTATTTTCTCCATGCAGGCTGATCTTGTTAAGGATGACGATAAGAACGGGTCCGCTGGCGCGGTTGCTGTTCAGGCTTGAAGTTCTCCGGGGGGGGGAAAGTTACCCATCAGCGGAATTAGGGCTTGCTTAGGCCTTCTTTTTCTCCTTTTCTGGTGGACTGCGATTGATTTCGAGTCGAGATTCAGGAAGAAGGGGGGTTTGGCTGCGTGGGATGGAATGGGCTTGTCGGTCTCAGGTTCCATGAATCATATGGGCTTGAGTTTGATGCTGAGGTAGTGCGTCAGGAGATGGGGGTATGGTCATATCTGAACCGAGCGTCATCAGCCGTGCAGGGCTTGTACTCGCTCGGTTGTTCTGGGGATGGATGGGCTCAGCTGCCATGACTGTGGGCAGTCCCGACTGGGTTGGGTCCGCCACACCTTTGACCCGTCCCAGCGTGGACACTCAATTGACCTACGCACCGCGGGTCGCCAGTCCCAGTCGCAAACACTGGGTGGCGCGACGCTGCACTACCCTCTCGTCCTGTGCAAATCTCTCAACCACAGTTGGTTGCGACAAGCCAATCAGATGCCATCCATTGGCTTGGAGAGCAAGTACCTAGCATACACTCGGAAGCCTACAGACCTGCGCAGCAAGCAGACCAACCCAACTCATCTCGAACCTTATATAAATTGGTCTAGCGGTCACTTGACAGTCGCAATCACAAAAAGCAAAAGTCTCCAGCTCCAGAAATTCTCCCTAGCACAGTCATTAATTTACATGACTCCTTTCTTATAGTCAAAAAACACCACCCCGTAAATTCATTCCTTCAGAGCAACGAACAAGCCATATATTCCCGATAATATAACCGTTCCCCTAATTCAAATCACTGTAGATATCCTTCGGCAGGTTCAAGGTCAATTCATGGTTCAACAGATCGGTCAGATTCGTGCCATCGCGCAGATAGATCCACTGCCCATTGGCGAACGGCCGGGAGTCCTGCTTCTCATGCATCTGATCGCCCTCGAGCACCCAATCGAACCGCTTGGGGCCGGAGATGGGCGAACTCAGCCAGATCTGCTTGTTGGGGGGCTGCTTGTTGAGCACGTATACACCGACTCCGGGGACGGCAACATTCATGACTCCGGCCTAGCCCGACATACACAGGCGAAATGTTAGCTTTGAAGCGTGGCTGGTAGCAGCGGAGAGGGGTGAAGGTGGGGGAAAGGGCCAAAACGCACACTATATTCGGCCTCAATCTCCGAGCCCTCCTCCTGACGAGATTCCACCTCCTCGAGAACGGTGTTCAGGTAATGCTCGGCGTAGTCATGGTACTGCCCATCGGTCAATGGGGATGGTTCCGAGACGTGGGAGCCGGCGCCGGCGACATTGTGCGATTGCGGGTTCGGGGCCGCGGGGTCGGCGGAGTCCGGGAAGATGCCTTTGCGGGTGGAGGGCGTGGAGTGGAAGCTTCTTTGCGGAAGAAGGACTCGAGATGTGGAAGTGGAAGCTGGGGGTTGCGAGGAAAGGGGAGCAACTGCTGCTGCGGCTGTTGCTGCTGGGGCGAGGTGAGCACCGGCGCCGGTGCGGAGAGCTGGACGAGCGACGGCGGCCACGATGGCCCGGGAGGCTCGAGAGTACATGATTGATGATAGTTTAGTTGGTTTGGATCGTCTGGTGGGAATTACTAGACGGAAAAGCAAGACGGGACGAGAGACGAAATGAGCAAGAGGATTGAAGTGCAAGAGAGAGAGAGCACTACCGATTAAGAATGGAGAATGGAAAGAATGGGGGGGAAAAGCGGAGATGATTTCATCAATGATCACAGCATAAGGCGGCATAAGGTAAGCTGCCTCGCTCGCTGATTGGATTGGCCGGACGGCAGAAGCTCCAGAACTTCCATCATTCTTTCCATTCCACCAGTTGCTACCAGCCAAACAATGACTTATACTTGTTCCTACTTCTTACTTACCCTTTCGGCCTTCGACTTCGCTTTTATGGATGTTGCCTGCTACCACACTCTGTTGAGTCTTCGCACACGCTCTCTTAGCTCTGGATGAGACAGTTCCCCATATCATGCTGGCCGTGTTGCTCAGCTACAGCTAACCTTCTTCCTCCAATCTCTCGATCTACAATGTCGTTTCATCAATAGCGATCACCACCCGGCACACCGATACTAGATGTCCGCCTCCCGGCCCACCTGGAGGTATATCACCTCAAGGGTCACACTCAATCATTGTCCTTCCCGGCATTACGCTCGCCATGACTCGAAGTCTCTCATTGTCAGCCAACGGAAACTTAGCTTGAACCAAGCTTATCACAAAAAGCATATGCTCGTGATACCCGTGTATGAAGGCAGCGCTCTCCAGCAATGGGTGACGGCATACGCCACCCTTGGCAATTATCTACCAGGCGGCGTTTTGGGGCCTCGCAATCTCCGCCCGCCCGGCACTCTGCATCTGACCGTGGGGATGATGACCCTTGACACCAAATCACGCGTCAAAGCGGCCTGTCGATTCCTCGAGTCTCTCGATCTCGACGCCATCAGGCGCCTGGCGGATCAAGAGGCCTTCAGACAACACGTCGGGTATATCCCCGCCGAGCCCTCGCAGCAAGACAAGCCTTGGGCATCATCCCCAGGTACCCGGCCCCGACCCCTCACGGTCTCCTTCGAGAGCCTGGTGGGCTTCCCTTCGCCTGAAGCAGCCCGTCACCTCTGCACGGTTCCTGTCGATCCCACTCTCCGCCTTCACTACTTCTTAATCTATCTCCGCCGGAGCTTCCACCAAGCCGGCTTCTTCTGGGACGACCACAGCGACGAGGACGAGATCTCGGCCTACCGGCTGGAAGACGATCGGCCCCCTGCCGAGCCGTCGAGTGACGAGGAGCTGGCGGCGGATTCCGCAGCGGCGGACGTGGTGGAAATCGGCTCGGATTCATCCTCCTCCTCTTCCTCCGTGGTCAAGTCCTCTTCTTCGCATGAGGAATCACTGGAAGACGCCTCCTGGCTTTCCAACCCAAGCAACGCGCCCCCGCCCCTGCCCCCACCCAGCTACAAGCGAGGATGGAAAATTCACCAGATTCATACGACCGTGGCAAGCACGAGTTTCCGGGTGGGTGATACTATCATACAACACTCGGTGGACGTACGGGGTCTCATCGACCATTTTCGGGACTATTATCTCGACGAAGAGAAGACGATGCCGCGCTGCGAGCTAACCATGGACGAGCAGTTCCGGTGGGAATCGGATGTCTTCCATGATTGTTCTATGGATATGATGGAGGAGGAGGTGGTGGAGGGAGAAGATGGCTTCGAGGGTTGGCATGTGGAAGAATCGCCGAAGACTCCCTCGGAGGAACCCACAGCAAGCGCCCAGGGGACGTCTGGTCCTCCCGCCAAGCTCAATTCATTTGTCTGGGCCAAGAATGTGCGTCTAGAATCCCTTCAGCTCAGCCCAGGTGGATTTTACGACCGGTGTGATCAATCCACTCCGGTTGGGAGAGCGCGGAAAATGATGCTCAAGGTTATCGCGCAAAGAAGCTTGCTATGATGATATAAGAGAAATTGTGGCCAGGAAGGGAAGGGCTTTTGTTGGAAATGTGAGAGGGGGGGGGTTCTTTCAATATACGTACGGGTGCTTGTATCCCCTTGTATGTACATTCTAGAGGTCCATCTGAGAGGACATACATACCATACTCAGCAGCTCTAGTTGCTGACCGGTCTCCTACAACCGAACACAGAAGCAAAATCTGACCAATGCTATTTGTTTGATCTCAGGGGGAAACGCAGCCTACCTTTTCCTCTGTAGTTATATAAATGCGGTCTATAAGCAATCAACAATTACCCAAAACCCTCCTCTCCGGGCGGGACACCTAAAACGCCACGCTGGAAACAGACAACCAGAAATGCCACCGAACCTTGCCAGCCGGCCCCTTTCCTGTCCAAGGCTGGGAGAGCAAGCCAACAACAACAAGAAAAAAGAGAAAAAAAATCACCGGACCTTGCTCATGAGCGTCTCCATGCCCCGTTCGACCGACAATTCCGCCGCCTTGGCCTTGATGGCGCTGACCATGCTGCGCTCGAAATCGTCGCGGGTGCGCACGACGGCCTCGACCCAAGAGAGCTGGAGGTCCCAGTACTCGGTCTTGAAGCTCTCGTAGACGGCGACGAGGGCGGGGCCCTTGTCGGCCTCGAGCAGGCGGACCAGCCAGTCGACGAGGCGCCACCTCTGCTTGATGGTGCCGGCGAAGGAGTCCGGGTAATTCTGGAAGAAGGCGAAGACGGTGAGGACGTCGTCCTTGAACTTGTCGGTGTAAGGGTCGGCGTGGCGGCGGAACTTGACGCCGCGGTTGCGGACGGAGGCGAGGTAGCGGGCGAGGAGCTCGTCGGAGAGCTCCTCGACGAGGATGTCGATGAGGGAGGGGTGGAGCACGGGAGTGTAGTCGGCCATGTAGTCCTCGAAGGTGGAGGTGATGCGCTTGACGGCGAAGTCGCCGTACCACTTCGGGGTGAAGAAGTCCGGGATGGTGGTGCGGAAGTCGACGGCGAAGATGAGCTCGACGAACTGGTTGAGGCAGTGGGTGCTGAGGTCGACGTAGCCATCGCGCAGCGCCTCCAGCTCCGGCAGCGCCCGCCCCGCCATGTACTTGGGGTCCACGATCGTCTCGAAGTCCCGCTTGAACCGCGTCAGGTAGCCCAGCTGGCCCGTCTCCTCGTTGTCGTCAATGCACGCGATCTGGTCATTTGCGATCGCGATCAGCCAGTCCTGCAGCAGCTGCAGCCCCTCGAGCTGGTCCCCGCCGGGCGCCTTGTACTTGGCGCACTCCTCGTCCACGAGCGCCTGCCACGCCGTCTGCCGGCTCTTTAGCACCGCGAACATGGCGTCGATGATGCCTTCCACGACGTCCGTCCGCGACGAGGCCCCCGACGCCATGATCTGCTCGTGCAGCATCCGCCACATGTCGGGCAGCGTCTTGGTCCGGAAGCAGCCTTCCGGATTAGTGTCCAGCGAGTCTGGGATCCGCTCCACGAGATTCTTCTTCTCCGTTTCGGCGATCCGTTGCGTCCAATCCTCCACGGCGCGGATGATGATGTTCTGCCACTGCCGGATCAACTCGGGCTCGCGGTCGTCGAGCAGGTTGGGTTGGAGGTCGGCCGGTTGCCAGCCCAGCTTGGCCATCTTCTTGTAGTACTTCTCCGTCCAGTGGATGATCGCGAGCAGGTTGTCGGCCGGCAGCTCCGGGTCATTGATCATCCCGATGAAGAGATCATGGATCATGCGATGATACATGTTCGTGTACGTTTTGTAGATCTTCCACTTCTTCGGCATCAGCGGCTGCATGCCTTGCTGAACCGTGTAAAGATCGTTGAAGAACCACCGGAAGCTCTTGTCCAGATTGTCGGGGTTGGCCAGGAACTCCTCCTTGGCCTCTTCGAACTGGTTCTGGGCATAGAACTCAATTGCCTTGAGGAACTTCTCCTTGTAACCCCGCACGGTCTTGGGCCCCACGTTCATCGATTTGAACCGATCGGCCAGGTCCTGGTGGTCCTTCTGCGCCTCTTGCAGCGCACGCACCGTCTCGTCGTTCTTCTCTTCGTTCATCACCACCACCGCCAGCCGAACGACCATGCCCGGGTTGTCCGACTGCACCAGCGGGATGAGGTTCATGCAGGCCGTGCCCAGATGATCATCGAACCAGTCGATGACGGAATCCAGGCCTTGGAAAAAGTCCCCCAGCGTCTGCTCGCTGCTCGAGTCCTGCGCCTTGCGGATCTGATCCATCGCCTCGTCCCGGAAGTCGCGCAGCCGGGAGATCTGCATGTGGGCCTTCAGCAGGTTGGGTTGGTTCTCCAGGTCGTCGTCATCCTCGCGCAGGAGATCCTCGACCACCGCCAGATTCTCGCTGAACATCTCCAGCCCTTTCTTCATCATGAGCGTCGCCTCAAAGTTCCGCTGCACCTTGGCCAGCTTGTCGATCTGCGAGAAGTCCTCCACGCTGTTCTGGGACTCGGCGCACAGCTTGTCGATGCCCTGCAGCTCGTCCTTGGTCTTGGACACCTGCCGCTGGCCCTCGGTGAGCGCGTTGATGCTGCGCTGGACGGACTCCAGCTGGTCCCGAAGCCCCTCGCGCAGCTGCGCGTCGACGGCGCCTTTCTTCCGCGAGTACTCAGCCTTCAGGGCGACGATCTTGTCCAGGTCCTCCGGGTACCGGAGGATATCTTCCAGTCGGGGCATGGCCACCGTGCCATTGTTGTCTTCGCCTCGCGCCATTGCGGTCGGGATTCTGTCGTTTTCGATGGAGGTGATGTGTATTTAGACGCCCGTATAGAGGCGTATCATTAAAAGGATCGCGATCGTGAAGCTGGCTCAAGCTCCGAGAGGTACCGGGGCGGGTGTTTCCTGAAAGGAGAAGGCAGATTATATCGACGTCGAATAAAGGTTCAGACCAAGTATCTCCGTGTTATACGTCGTATCTCGTGAGTAGGAGTTCGGTGCACCCGCAAGGCTGTACGGTCGCAAGGTGAGATCAGAGCGACAGGCGACTTGTATAGAATGAACGAGGTAGCCCCTCTTGACACGCGCAGCGCTTTAATTATAGGGAATCTATAAGATAGGGTGATGCAAGTATCAGTATCAAAACCCTTCCTTTTCGGTCAGACGGTAGGAATAACACTAACCAATGGCTCATCCTCAAGTCTTACCACACAGCTGGAAAATCCCTCTCGTTGTTCTTGCAAAGCTGTTCGATAGCACGGAGTAACTAAGTAGTCTCACCTTATCCTCCTCCCCCCGTAATTCCCGCCCGCCGACCGACGCAAGCCACTCGAACCCCGGCAGAAAATCAAAAATCACGTGACACACCGCCTGGCAGACCGACGGAAGATCGGGAATTTTACGGCCGGAGCGAGCGCGATGGAGCGCAGCGCAGCAGCAGCAGCAGCAGCAGCAACAGTACTCTTTCCAGATACGCGATAACTTGCTACGATCGAACAATTGGGGCAGAAACACACAAAATCCAATCCGAACTCCGAAGCACTCGCATACCGCATTGAATCGTACAGTCGCGTCACTCGAAACCCTCCACCTTCCATCCACCCTCCCCTCCAAAAATTCGATAACCAGTCAACAAAACTCCGCAACCCCGAGAACCATTTACGCTCTTATAAATCCTCCCGAGCTACACACAAGACAAGATCCCCCCTCCGCCACAAATCCGCTTAAATTCCACCATCACAATGAGCTACTTCCGCATCACCCTCGTCCGCTCCGCCATCGGTCTCCCGCGCCGAACCACCGACGTCCTCAAGGCCCTCGGCCTCAAGAAGCGCATGGCCACCGTCTTCCACGCCGTCTCCCCGTCCGTCGCCGGCCAGATTATGAAGGTCAAGGAGCTGGTCGAGGTCCGCGAGGTGGACAAGCGGTTAACGAAGCAGGAGGTGCGCCTGGAGCGCAAGCCCGACCCGGGCTACTACGTCGAGAAGTACTCCGGGGCGGAATACAAGGAGAACAGAACAGCTTGAGCTGTCCTTTTCTTCCCTGAACTTCACTTTTTTCTCTGTGGTTCTGTCTAGCCCAGTTTTCTGCTGCTTGCTTCTCGTTTTCGCGGCTTTTTTTTTCCAATTTTATGTCGTGTCCAATCTACGCTTGACCACCGCAAATCCTTTCTCCGTTTCAAGAGCTTTTCCTTTGGGGAAGAAGGGGTTGATCGAACTTTCTGGTTACGTGATTTTGGGAATCGAAATGGGGAAGGAATCTGATATAACAATTGCATATTCCAGCAATGACTTGCAACGGTGACGCCTTGCACCTCTGGTCGGGCTTGTTATGCGTCGGATTGGAGATTTCTTCGAGGAGGGCTCGAATAAGTACTCTCGAGTCTAGACCTTGCTGGGTCCTTCTTGCATGAAGCGATTCATTTCGGGTTTGGCCCACTCCACTGGCCAAAATGTGTGTGTGGCTCTAGCAGGTCGGTTTTCTGCATCCTCTATCGGCCCGGTCATTTGTACTATAGTATCTCTTTTGCTGCCATTTTCTACAGAATGGCTCTGTTCATGTGAATCAAACATGCCTGATACCAAGCTGCGTGGATTTCTCATGATAACAATAATACTCGATTGTTGGAAGAATAGAAATCATGCAAAAGCCGCTCATGACACCGACAAACCGCAAATCAACTATTTGCACAAGGAGACGACCCCATTCGAAGAGTTCGTGCGCGAGCTGCCTCTCGCTTTTCCAAGACTATATAGACAATGCCAATTTTCTTAGGTCACAGACCTGTCTATGCTTTATACAGAGTGTCGAGGAATCCCTCTGCCAGGCGGCTGACGATGCTTTTGTCCGGCATGCTACCAGCCACACCATAGAGAGCTGCGGTGTCTCCACGTTTGACAATATACGACTTGCCCTGCCGCTTCCTCTCCTCGGCCTTCTCCAGCTCCTTCTCAACAACCTCGACCAAATCATTGGTAAGCGCATCCACTGCTGAAGCTGTGGGAACAGTGAAAGCCACGTGGATAGCAGGAGGTGTTTGAAGAGCGTTCAGGTGCCAGCCCTTTGCGGATAAATCATCAGCAATATCGTAAATATCAACGGCGTCATTCTTGCTTTCGAAGGCGACGACGCTGACCATGGGCTTTCCGACGATCTCCAAGTTCTTCGACAAGATTGAGTGCTCCTTGATTGACGACTCAAATTTCTTCGCTGCGCTAACGATTTCGTGGCAGCTCTTGATGTAACCAGATTCACCCACATTCATCAGACTAGCCCAGCAGCCTGCGATCAGCGCACCGGGACGCGAGCCGGCGACGGATGGAGACGCATAAACGCCTCCAGACCAGTCAGGGTAAATGAAGTACTGATAGCTGCGGTATACCTTGTTGCGGTATAGAAGCACAGAGTTGCCCTTGGGCGCGAAGCCATACTTGTGAGTGTCCACGCTAATGCTGGTCACACCGGGTAGACGGAAATCAAAGCCGCCCTCTTCCTCATACGGAGAGGCAAAGCCCGCTTTCTTGAGGAACGCGATGACAAAGGAGCCCAGACAACAGTCGACATGTAGGGGAATCTTGTACGAGGTCGCCAGTCGAGACAGAGCGGGAATGTCGTCAACAATACCATGAGGAAAATTCGGCGCAGATCCGACAATAAGAACAGTGTTGGAGTTGATCAACCGCCGAACCGATGGAATATGGACCTTATAGTCCGGGGCCGGGCAAGCAACGCGGTGGAGCTTAATCTTGAAGTAGTTGCAAGCCTTGATAAAGGCAGCGTGGGCGGTGTCGGGAATGATCCTTCAGAGGGTATCAGCAAGTCGACGGGCACACATGATTTGCGAAGCGCTTCTACTCACATCTCAGGCTCGGTGACACCCCGTTCGGTATATGCTTTCTGCCGTGCAGCAAGGCAAGCCATGATGATGGATTCTGTTCCGCCACTGGTCGTGACACCCGCGCCATCGGAGGGGGCATTGAACAGCTCGAGGACCTGGATGACATACGTGAGCTGACAATCCCACACAAGTCAAAGGAGTGAAGTTACGTACCATAGCGACAACTTCAGCTTCCATCTTCCGAACACCAGGGAAGACATCTGGGTGAATGGGATTTGCGACACCGAACTGGCCGAAGGCTTCCGCTTGTAGCTTGAGGAGATCCTGCCCTCCATGATACACAGCACCGCTGACGCGACCATCCTCCCAGCGTGTATGTTCCATATTCGCCAAGTTATTCAATTCGGCGCGAATCTGCTCGGCCGACCATCCTTCCTTGGGTAGAGTCAGATACCTGGTAACACCAGGACCGCTGGGGACGAGTTTCGACTCTAAGCCCTCGATCGCTGTGGACACTTGCTTGTCAACCTGGCCTTTAACGCCGGGGAATCGCAAGAACACGGAGTAGCAGAAGAGACGGACGGCGGAGTAGACATTGCGGATGCTGCCGAAGAGGCCGTAGCCTCGGAGTGAATGATACGCCTTGCGAACGTGGCGGAGAATGAATAGAATGAAAACGATATTCCGAATACTGAGACACGAATGATTGAGTTGTTTGTTAGTGAGACCGGAACCAAGGACAAGCTTGATGGTCGCCCCATGGGCTAGGCATGTCCGCGCTGCCACGCGGGGAAAGACAATGCGGTGCAGATGATCTCATGAACTCACACATCCAGTTGCAGAGCTGCCAGTTGCGAGTTGGGAGCCCTGCTGTAGCCAAGCAGTTTGTTCTGCAAGGCAACAGGAAGAACAGATGGTGCCATTATGAATGAATGGACAGTCGATAAGAAGAAGGGGGGGGGAGAGTCGATTGAGGGCGACCTCCGAAAGGATGACGAAGGTGACTGGGGAAAGAGAGGAAAGGGCCGCGGGCGGTTACTGCAGTGTATAGGTACTGTCACCACCACTAGTTCGGTCGGATGGTCCAGGATATGGAAGCCGGCGGCGATAAGACCGCCCCTCGGAAGGCTGCCTCGGCTTCAAGGTTTTCCACATGCCACATGCCAGACTCCGCATACGGAAACCACCGCTTTTTTTCTCGTTTACAATTTACTTGACTCGGCTCGATTCAGAGCAAGGAATGAACATCGAATACTACCGAGTAGTCTATCTCAGGCTCAGGCACTCAGTATCTTGTGTGAAATGCAGTTTGAACATCGATATCTGCGTATGTACACGGTCCGAACAAAAAGGACCCAAAATCTCTTCCCCAACACCGAATCTCCTTCTTTTTTGAGTCAGGGAGAAAGAAGACTTTTTGAAAACCCCCATAGAAATAACAACCATATCAAGATCCTTGACACATAAACGTAGAAATCATGAGGATGAAAGTAAAATGGAAACATCTTCCCGCAGGAAAGAGACCCACCCGCTGCAAGCATGAACAGGAACAGAAAAGGAAAACCTCTAAAAACGCGACCCTCTAATCCCATTGATGTGATTCAATGGCGGCGCTTGCAGTATGGACGAAAGGCAGTCAAGCCACGGGGCTTAAGCGGTAATTTGCTCAGCAATCTCCTTCTCCTTGGCAGCGAATTGAGCCTGCTCGTCGGCCGTAAGGTCAAGGAGGGGCTTGTCCTCGCCCGACTTGATGTTGCGGTAATAGGCGCGGATGATGCTGTCAGCATCGTCAACAGCAATGGGACGAATATCAGCAAGAGCCTTGATCTTGGCAGTGCACTCCTTGTACTGAGCATCCGTCATCGTAATGTTGAGTTGCTGGGCACGCGACTTGATGGCGTTCCAGCCGGTCAGACGGGAGGCAAAGTGGACATATCTGCTCATGCCGAAATCGGCAGGGTTGATAATCTCGTAGGTGCTAGGGTTGTTCAGGATGGCCTTAGCGTGGATACCGGCCTTGTGGGTGAAGGCGCAGAATCCAGTAATGTAGTTGTTGAAGGGAATGTTGACCTCAACGGCCTCGGCGACGAGGTCCTCGACTTCCTTCAGCTTCTCAAGCTTGTACTTGCTCTTGACGTACTCGGGGTCGGCAACCATCATGCGGGCCATGAGACCACCAAGAGGGGTGATACCATTGCGCTCACCGATACCGAGAACGGAGGTATCAATGTGAGTAGCACCAGCCTCCAGGGCACAGTAAGCGTTAGCAATGGCGCAGCCAGTGTCGTTGTGGAAGTGGGTCTCAATATCGCAACCCACGACACCTCTCAACACACGGACGAGCTCGTAAACCTGGCGAGGGGAGGCGCAACCGACGGTATCGGCGATACCGACACGGTGGACACCAACCTTGTCGACGGCGGAGTAGATGGACAGGAGATCGACCAGGTCGGAACGGAAGGAGTCCTCACTGGAGAAACGGATCTCAATACCCTTAGACTTCACGAACTCGATAACTTCGATGGCGGTGTTCTTGATGTAGGTCATGTCCTTGCCGTGAGAGTGCTCACGGAGGTAGGAGGAGGTTCCGATGACGACATCGCTATCGACTCGTTAGGAGATAGTCGCGCAAGCAGAAGCCTTAGAAATAACTTACACTCCATCAACACCGGTCTCAACGGCAACTCTAGCATCGTCCATGTGGCAACGGATGTGAGTGAGAATCTAAGGTTCGTAAGCTCTGAACGAGTTCCTGAATCCGCGGACGGCGTGGCGCGGACGGCGTGGCTAACATACCTTAGCCTTCAGGCCAAGCTTGCAGATGGCCTCACAGTCCTTTCTCGACTGCTCGGAAGCGCAGGGGCTGGTGAGCTCGATCTATGAGAAGTGGTCAGTGCACAAGCTCCACGACGGTTCGACCCTGTCCGCCACCCAGGATGACTCACGTAGTCAACACCGAAGTCGTCCAAGGCCTTGGCGATTTCGATCTTCTTCTCGGTGTCGAAGAAAGCGTTGGCGAATTGCTCTCCCTCACGAAGAGTACTCTCAATGATCTTGAAGCGGGAGACATTGCTGAGGAAGTCGGTAACACCGACGTTGTGGCCGTAGGGGTTGCGGGAAGCGGAGGGGTGGGGGTTCTGGCGAGTCTCAATGCCGGTGAAACCGGGGTGGTCACCTTGAAGATGATATGTTACTTGGAAATTCCAGAAACGATGAGAGACAGATGATGCGACTCAAACATACCATTGGCATTGGGGGCAGCGCCGTTGGCCTGCCCATTGGGCTCGTGGTCTGCACCAGGGCACATTGTGAAAGAGGATACGGCGGGGTAGGTTTAGTGGGTAGGTTGTAGTATATAATAGCGAGAAGCTGCGAATGGTAGAAGCAAGGTCAGACGACGACAAATGCTTAGAAGAAGTCAGATCAATGGGGAGTATACTAACAGTAAAGGTTCAGGTCAAGGTGATGGGTTTAAATGGCAAAGAGATCTAGTAGGAGAAGAGAATCAAAGAAAAGAGTCATAGGCTACAAGTCGGTTTAAAAAAGCGGGCGGTCTGGTCGCAGGCAAAGTATGACTCTTTCTTCTCGGGCGGAACCCCCCTGCTGCTGCGGCAATGATGAAAAATTTACTCGCACTAGGAACTACCTAAGTACGCCTCAGACCTTTGGTGACCATTTCTTTGCCATCTCCTCCCTGGCTGGTTGTGTGGAGAACCCTGACCCCGGCTGGCCGTTCACAGCGCCTCCGACCACCCCAATTGCTCAGCGTGAGGATCGTCTCCAGTTTCCGATGGGGTCTAGCCTAAATGCAGTAGTCATCATCGTTATTAAGGCCGGTTCCTTATCCAGGCGGGCCTCTTTACGTATGTGTAGGTGGGTTTACACGGCTGTTTGCCACGCTGGGGAGAGAACCAGTTCTACTCAGTGAGTACCTGAGATTGTGCTGTCAATACTAGCTTTTCGTATGAAAAACCTAGCTGAGGCAGATCTTCGTTTATGCGTCCTATCATTGCATGTAGTCAGGGTTTGCCTCTAGGGTTTTTCCTTAATTAGTCGGAGCCAGTCAGGGCCGGATTTGGGTTGCATAATTGGGGGAGCGCTGCAACCGACATCGGCAGGTTGGTTAACCTCGAGATAGCGCCGCATCTTGATAACTAGCGTCGGCCGCGGCGGGCAGCCAGGCTCGACCGACGCAAGATTGATAATCAATTCTCGACTATTACTTCTATTCACAATGCTATTGGCTGTGCTCAGAATGATTTCTTGACTAGACTGATAACTTGCCATGGTAACCGACACTTCCTTTCGTTGAGTGACATACGTTATGTGCCCGTTAGTAACGGTAGACAACAGTACATGGCCATGGCCATTCCGCTTGACTCATTATTGCCAGGCCGGTCCCTCCGGCATCGCTCCTGATTTTCATTTCCTGGCCTCCAGTTGGTCAGCGTGCTTACGTGGTAACCGTCTCCCGCCCCTTCAGTTGGGGTTTGCGGCCGCGGATCCTCGAGTCATTCTCCAGTAGCGGTGGCCTGTGCGGCCTCAGGTTGGAAACCTTGGAAGGTCCTGTGGCTTGAGCTAGACTGGAAGTAGTAAAGCCTGTGATTGTGGAGTGCAACTTCCGTTTGAGTCATATCTCAAACTTCATGGTACAATACATACCTTAGTTTTACTACTGATCAGAGTATCTACTACGCAGCTACGCATCGATGCATAGAGTAAACAGCTGGCTATCTTGGATGTATACTTTCAATTGCATGCACCCTTTTCCGCATGAAGCGTAGAAAACAGAGACGCCGAAGCATTGATAACTATATATAATCCCCGCTTGTCTTATCCTACCAATCCAACCTCCATTAGACTTAGCACCGAACATCAGACATGAAGCTATCGAGGTCCGTCTCTTCAAGATAGACCCGGATGAGATCATAAGGTCAATCTCGTAGCGATAAGGGATCTTTCCTGCATACATTGACCCACAGTTCGCTGTCAAATGATCCATAAGGCTGTACGCCTCGGACAGGGAAGGCTCAGACCCTCCAGCTCCTTAGCTTAGACGAGTCCCGCCTGAATGCAAAACTCGCGCTCTGTTCTAGATCACCGTGATGTTCAGGCTGGAGTATTTGCGACATGCTAGTGTCAATGTCATCTGTGTATCTTCCAAATCCCGAGGATGCTTCCGACTCTTCGCGATTGCCTGCCTTAGAACCCAGGCGCTGGTCCCTGGACTTTGCGATCCCATAGCCTTTGTCACGGGACCCGATGATGTTCCCAAGGTCTATCCGTCTACTCTCGCGCATCCCGAAATACAGACCGGCAACCACAAGTACCACAACCCCAAGGCTGACGGGGAGACCGATGTACAATGCGAGTCTATTGAATGACAGCTGGGGCGAGGGTTTGCGGTGCTCCGTGGGTCGGAGGTGGAGTAAAACGGTCGGTCCTTGTCGAATACTGGCTCGCTTGTCTGATACAGTATCTAGCTCAATGATATAGAGTGTCAAAGCATTTCGCTGTTTCCCTTGAAGCCAATCTTCGCGCATGTGGATATGGGTATAGCCGTAGCTGTTGTCAATCCTCTCGGATGTGTATGCCGAGTCGCCTTCGGAGGAGTTCAGATATCTCAGCTCGATGGTGATAGTGGCATTCAAAGGATAAAAGTCGGCATTCCAAGTCACATAGTACGTCGCATCGACTGTCACTTCGGTACCATCCTTAGGAAGACAGAAAGGTCGAAACGGGCCATTCAGGTCGGTACAGATAGGGAAGTCATTGGGAGAAGCCGCAGTGGATCGTTTCTGGACGGCCGTGGGGGTTGCTTGGCTGCAAGCAAACTCGGTGACTAGTGTTGTCACTGCTACGATGGTTAGATGGATTCCTCTGGGTGCTAACATGTGCACTTTGATGGAACCTCCTGCGTACCGAGTTCAGTATCACCACCTGCCACCGCTCTGTTGCCTTGACAGAACATGACCAGCACTGCAAATGCCAGAGTAATTCTGTGAAAGAAAAATGCACAGCACTTTTCAATTCCTGCCATGGTTGACAAGCGTTCACAGAAATATTGACAGCGGTGCGGTATGGACTTGATAGTATATCTATACTCGGATGGTAGATCAAAATGAATAGTATAGTATGACTGGCGATGATTGAAGAGATAGGATACCGAGTCAAACATTGAATCCTTGGTGCTGCTCGCATTTTGATCAGCGCGGAAGGTGCAACGGGCGACGCATGGTCCTGGCAAGAGCGAAGGCTCTATGCGCTTTGTTACCTCGAAGTATGCCGCGATCTAGATGCAGGCAGATTGAGTCTCCATTTACGAGAACAACTACCTGTAGCACATCGGATTAAATGGTCAATTCCAGCTCATTCTACGCTTCTTATCTTAATCGAGGATGTCAAATTGAGCTCATCAGTACCTCCCAGGATATTGTCCCTTGAATGCCAGTGAGCACTACTCCTAAAAGGTGGTACGTATTGCCCTAGGGAGAAACAGCACAGTTGAAAGTCGTTGGTTGTATCTCTTTGTTCTTTTGAAATTGAAGATGCTATTGTTGGGTTGCTGTAGGTACCCTCATCCGCTGATTGTTTGGTATTAGACAAAGCCACATTTGTCTCTGATTAGATACACAACCGGAGATTCGCAACCAGCTGTTGACAATCGAGATCAATCATCAAACATATTAGGGGAAGAAGCAAAAGAGATTCCAGGAAGACAAGGAAGCGAAATCCCCGCTTCCCGCCGCGGGAGCTCCAATTAGAGTTAGGCCACCTGTCGCGGAGACTTTACTAGGTACAGTACAGTACGTACTGTCAGCCTCCAGTCTGTCCATCGTGGCTGTTTCACCTCACCTCGTCAAGTTGTTGTCAACACAGGTTGCCTGTTTCCCTCCGCTGCCTGCTGTCCGCCATCTGGTCTTTCAACCCCATCCAGTTTCTTTTTCAGGGTGCGTTCATCGCATTAGATAGTTCAGACCATGTATGTTCATTCTCTCTCCCTCGTCCACGGCAGTCGCAGGCAGCAAGCTTCCTCGCCATACACCTCCCCTGATAATTTACTGACCACGCGTCGTCTTCTATAGCATCATCATGCGTCTCATCCAGGTCCTCGCCCTTGCCCCCGCGCTCGCTTTGGCACAAGAACAAGTTCCCCTTGCGGACCGTTTCCAGGGTTGGCTCGACAGGGCCAAGGCTTATCTGCCAACTGCTACCCCGGTTGTGCCTGCCACTGTTGAGGAAGTCCAGAAGGTGGTTGAGCAGAAGAAGATCCAGGCGAAGCCCGTCACGCAGTTGAACCTGACCAACTGGGAGTCGATTCTGGAGCCAGCCTCTGATCCTCAGGACTGGTTCGTCTTCGTCACCGGTGGTAACAAGACCTGCTTCGGGCGCTGTGATCAAGCGGATAAGTCATTCAACGTAAGACCGCCTCGAACACTTAAGGGGGAGGGGACATAGGGCCCCCCCGAGGCTCGTGCTCATGGCCGCTAAACATGTCGTGTTCGTTAATTAGGAATCCGTTCTTCTGTTCTCCGCCGATCCCACCTCCCCTCACCTTGCTCGGTTGGACTGTGAGGCAAACCAGGTTCTCTGCGCTGCTTGGTCCGCAAGCGCTCCCTCGGTCTGGCACTTCGAGGTCCCCCAGGCCCAGCTGGGTGAGGGACGCGCTCCCACTACTCTTCACACCGCGCACCTGAATACGACCACCGTTACCCCCGAGACGATCTACAAGCTCCATTCCGAGAAGCATTTCGAGCAGACCCCGGCCTACGTGGGTCTCCTGCACCCTACCGACGGTTTCTTCGCTAAGAACGGGCTTCTCCTTCCTCTCGGCTATGTCATGTGGGGTTTCGGTTCTATCCCGAGCTGGCTCTTCATGCTCTTCATCAGCTTCTTCAGCCGAACCTTCATGTAAGTCTCCCGGTGTTGATTGTGATAGTAGCAGCAGTCACTGATGCATCAACCAGGGGCCGCCGTGTCAACCCTGGACCTGCTGCCCGTCCCAACTAGGCATCGCTGTTCATGAGATAACGATGGTGGCACTTGAATTTTTTCGTGGATAGGGATGTATATATAATGAAATAGCAGTACACCGGTCGAGCCAATTGGAGTATGTCGAGTTTTGGCTTAGGTCCTAAACTTCAGTAGAGAGAAATGTTCACCTAGCCCTCTTGGATGATATGTCTGTAAAACTCAGCAAAGAATATAATATAGAATGTGAAGGAATATTGCTCCAGGTCGTAACTCTGAGCCCACTTAAAACTAAGGGCTGATGGTGGTTATGAACCAGAGGCAACTACAAACCGCGCGCGACCCGCCTCACGTCACCCGCCGCACCTAATAAAAAAAGGTAGCTAGCTAAGTTACCACTCCGCCTATCGCAGGAAAATCAAACCACCACCAACCTACGACCGAACAATCACAAAATCAAACAATGGCCGACCTCGAGCGCGCAGCCCCCTCGACAACAGCCTATGTTGTCGCCACGGCCATCATCGCCGGCATCACGGGCTACTTCATCGGCCAGGGCTCCTCGCTCGGCCTCTTCTCCAACAAAGAGAAAGAAGGGTGGCCGAACAGCTACAATGTGAAGGTGCACCGCGACTCGTCCGACGAGGAGTTTGAGGATGAAGAGGCAGAAGAGGAGGAGGACAGCGAGGACGAGGGCGATGGGTCCGAGCTGGCGAGTTTCGACAACACCGCCGAGGAAGTCAAGTTGGTGCTGGTTGTGAGGACGGATTTGGGAATGACCAAGGGTATGATGAATTGAATATGCACCCTTTTCTTCCTTCCCTTCCCCCGGTGACAAGGCTGCTGAAGTCTTTTTTGTGCTTGATTGCGTGGTTTCTATCTACTGTCCTTACGCCCTCGAACCTGTTGTGATCCTTGATCTTGATACGGAGAGACTTTGAACCTCGTACTGATTCGGTGTGATTTTTGTGTGATCAACAGGCAAAATCGCCGCCCAATGCTCCCACGCCACCCTGGCGTGCTACAAGTACCTCACAACGTACACGCCCAACTCGTCGTTGCTCCGTCGCTGGGAGTCACAGGGCCAGGCCAAGATCGCGCTGCAGGTCAAGTCCGAGGAGGAGATGGAGACGCTGTATGCGCAGGCCATCAGTCTGGGCCTCTGCGCGCGCGTGATCACGGATGCCGGGCGGACGCAGATCGCCAGTGGGAGCCGGACGGTGTTGGGGGTCCTGGGACCCAAGAGCGTTGTGGATGGGGTGACGGGTCATCTGAAGCTGTTGTGATAGAAGAAGACATCTTCTTGTTGGTGAGGATTCGTCGTCCTTTACGGGGTCTGGTGGGAGGATTTATGAGAAGAGCCATGGAACAAAAACTACTACAGAGGAGTATCTAGGTAACCTTGCGGGCGTGATATGATGGCTGGACAGCGTTGCAGGGAGCTGCTTATGTTTGGCCTGGCCTCAAGTCGTGAGCATTGTTGTTGTGAGGTTGAGGAACAGTATGGGCGCGTAGTAGCATCTCTTGTTGCGAAAAACGGTCTTGCGCTTCTGAGCCGACAGAATGTGGCCGCAAGATCTACCTGCACAGTCCGCAGCACACTTGCAAGATAGCGCATAGCGCATAAATCCCATATAGACAAGACAGGGCTGGTAAGCCGCTGTCAGGAACATGATCATTTACAGATAGACTACGATTGCGCCGAGTTCACATAAGAAATCCTATGGCATAATCAAGGAATGTTGGCTGGTCATGGTTATTCCCTAACCTCATCGGCCGACGGCCATGATCGGTAAAGAGAGTAGGAATATGACGCCGTCAGCAAGCCGGGGACTCCAGCCGAGCTCACCAAGTCCGGAGACAAGGGAGCTCAAGACCAGAGCGAACACCCAGTGCCGACCTTTAATCTGAGATCTGTCGACCGGATGCCAAAGACCACCAACAAAACAAAAGTGATGGCTCCTTAAGTCGTCGAACTGTCCAGTAATCAACCGAAACACAAGAGAAGAAGAAAAACAGCAAGCTGCCTCTCTTCAGCCTCGTGAACAGGATCGCTGAGACACAGATCCGTGATGTGTTAGAGAGAAAAAGAAGAAATTCGACGACAAAAATTGGCGGGTGGGTTTTATTGACCGCGCCAAGCCTGCGCTAAGAGAGCCGTCGGCGCTAAACCTTGCCGAGACTGGTTCTGATTATGTAACTGGTCGCCCGCTCGCCGCCTTCCCTTTCCTGCCGGATGGGCGGCGATTGCGATGGATGGGTGATCTCAAGAAATACTCCCATTCCAAAAAGCAACCTCATACTCATCTCTATCCTCCTCACTCACCTACATCCTACTCCTTACCTTTGAGTCTCACTTACGCATAGTCTGTCCACGCTCTCCTTGTCCTAGCGATTATTTGTCAGTCGCCTCAAGATGGCCGACGCAGTGTCCATCGAGCAGCATAACAAGGTCCGAGCTGCGCTCGGCCTCAAGCCGCTTCCTGTGCCCGGCGCTCAACATGACGACGACTCGGGCTCGTCCGCGGACGAAGAAGAAGAACCAGGAAGCACCCTCGAGTTGCGGGAGGCGATGGCGTCGGACAACTGGAAGCGACTGCAAGATGAAGCCGACGCGAAACGCAAACGGGAGGAACGCAACGCCGCCATCAAGCGGGCGCGGGACCTGGCACAACGGAACGCCAAACTCGAGGGCGCCACGCTCGGCGAGGCCGAGGCGGAAGACACCAAGACCTGGCTGATGCAGACCAAGAAGCGCCAGAAGAAGATCGAGAAGGAGCGGGCGCGTCGGCTGGCGGAAGAGCTCGAGGAGCGGGAACGGGCGGCGGAGTATTCGGCGGCCGACCTCGCTGGGATCAAGGTCGGACACGAGATCGAAGATTTCGGGGGCGGCGAGGATCATATCTTGACGCTCAAGGACACAACGATCGACGAGAACGAGGAGGAAGGCGATGAGCTGGAGAACCTGGATCTGAGGGAGAGGGAAAGGGCCACGGAGCGGTTGGAGCTGAAGAAGCGGAAGCCGGCGTACGATCCTACGGCGGAGAACACCGGCATCCTGGCACAGTACGATGAGGAGATTGAGGGCAAGAAGCGCAAGCGGTTCACGCTCGACTCGAAGGGATCGACCGCTGAAGAGCGGGAGGCTAAGCGACAGGAGGTGTCCGAGAAACTCAACAAGAATGTTATCAGCCTGGACCTTGACATGGAGACCCCGACGTCCGACTATATGGACATCAGCGAGGTCAAGATCAAGAAGCCGAAGAAGAAGAAAGCCAAGGCCACCAAACAGCGGGCTGTTTTGGACGACGATGACCTTTTCCCGACACCCGAGTCGACAGCTACGCCGAATGACAATGCGATGGACGTGGACTCTACTAATGGACAACCGGTTCCAGCCTCTGTGCCACGGAAGTGGGAAGACCAAAACGTTTCGTTCGTCGATGATGACGACCTACAAGCCTCCCTGACTCGCCAACGGCGCGCCGCTTTCAAGAAGCGGCAAAAAGCCCGCCCAGAGGATATTGCTCGGCAACTACGGGAGGAGAGCTCACAAACACCGATGGAAACCGGAACTCCCGATGAAAATGAGGATGAACCCGGCCTTGTGATTGATGAGACCTCTGAATTCGTCTCCAACCTACAGAAACCGACCCTTCCCGAACGCCATGAAAGGCAGACGACCACTCCGGCTGAAGAGTCTCGTGCTAAAAGCGAGGGCCCTAGTATCAAGGAAGAGGCTGAAGAGGATGGCGATGTGGACATGTCTCGGACTTATAATGATATTGAGGATGAGGAAGATCTCAAGGAGCGCATCAAGCGCGAAGAGTCCCTGGCCCAGCAGCAGATCAGCACCACCGGGTTGGACGAGGAAGCAACCTTGGATCAGGGCTTGGGTGCTACACTCAATATGCTCAAGCAACGTGGCTTGGTTAAATCGTCCGACGCTGCGGACCACAACTCGCTTCTACGCGATCGTTCCCGGTTCTTGCAGGAGAAGATGCGCATGGAGACGGAAGCCGAGAAACGAGCCCGCCAGCAGCGTGAACGCGATCGAGCATCGGGCAAGCTGGATCGTATGTCTGCACGCGAGCGAGAGGAGTATGCTCGCTGGGAGAACAAGCAGCGTGACCAGCAGGATGCTCGCCATATGGCGGAGGTGTTCAACCGCGAGTACAAGCCCGACGTTCAGCTCAAGTATGTGGACGAGCATGGCCGGGCGATGAACCAGAAAGAAGCGTTCAAGCATCTCAGTCATCAGTTCCACGGTAAGGGCAGTGGTAAGATGAAGACAGAGAAACGGCTGAAGAAGATTGAGGAAGAGAAGAAGCGCGAAGCCATGAGCGCCTTGGATAGCAGTCAGCATACGGGTATGAACAATGCCATGGGGGCAACGGCTCGAAAGAACCGCCAGGCCGGTGTACGACTTGGCTAAAGCTACGAAATGCTCTGAGGCTGCTGCTTCTGCTGTAGCTCTATCCAGTCCTTCGGCTGGAGCTAATATGATGATCATCGTGGTTGAACACGCAGCCACTCGTTATGCTAGATGTACAGATCCTTTTATACCATTATAAATAGCATAGTTTGGCTCGTTCTGGGCTATGGGGAATAAGCATTCGTTTTAAGAAACCAAAGTCAAGTACAGCAACCAACTTGATCTGATGCAAGTTGTCAAACGCGGTCAGAAGTGACTGCCGTGATGGTATTCAGGATCATAGTTAAAGCTTACAGTACGTGGTTTGATTACATGTCAGACTTGTCGTGTGGGGGAATTTAACCGACGGATCAAGCTGTTTTCTTGCCGACACCGGCCAGCGACCACCCAGTGGTACACCCCCCGAAGAAAACTCGCCACCTAAAATGATTTATCAGTTACTCTCATACCTGTGTAAAGCTAATTAATTCCCTTAGAGCCTATTCATCTTTTGCCCTTCTATTTTGTCCTCGATAGTCACATAATGCACTTTGAACCACGTCTGGACGCGCATGGCTAAACTACATGTGCGACCGCGCAAGTCCTAATAATGGAGGGTCAATTTACCCCAACTCCTCGTGAGGGGAAGATCCGAGGCCAGCCAGCAAGTCGACGGCCTCAGACCATGCAGTGAGCCGCTATTTCTTTCTCAAACAGTTCACCGAAAAGCGGGACGGGGTCACGGAAGAGGGGAAGCCAGCGTCAATCCACCATCATATCATCATTGATGTTCAATGGGGCGATATTGGTTACTCGTAGGATGGCAAAGGCCGACCACCGAATCCCACACTCTAATCTAATGCTGTAAACTTGTGTGTAGCACTGTACTGTGTAGACCAAGCTAGTGGCCGGCCCGGCACCTGCTGCAGATTGACCATCGGCATCCGTACAGTAGTAAGTACAGTATGTCCACTTTGCTCCGCACAGAACCATCCACGGTAACAACAATGGATGAGGGGATCAATGAAATTCAATTGGGGTTAGGCCTGAATAGGTTCAATTGGCATTCTCTATGAGCACAAAGAAAGTAAACACCTCCAACAGATGTAGGTAAGTTAGTAGGTACTAAGTAATTAGTAGGTAACAAACAGGGCTGGCCATGCGCTTTTCCCCAACCGGCTGGGGTGCGGAGGGCAGGGCCAATCCGAGCTCGCCCGCGTTGCTCCCCGGAAACTCCCTAGTTAGTTCCCATGAGTCAAAAATAAAACACATCATTGCGCCCATTCTTAAACTTCCTACTTCTTATTTATCCTTTCCCCATACCCTCCCATTCCCCGGTAGCTCATCATCTGTGCTCCGATCTTCTTCTTCTGTCTCGCCTCTTTCCCCCAAGTTTCCTGGGCGCTTTTCTTTCCTCTCGGTTGATAACATCTTTGCTTCCCTTGCCACATAGCACAATGTTGTCCACTCTCCGAGTTGCCAGTCGTCAGGCTGTTGCGCGCGACGCCAACATGCGCACCGTTGTCGTCGGTGCCAGACACGCCTCCGCCTGGTCCAAGGTTCCCCAGGGTCCTCCTGTAAGTGATTCAATGATGAGGAGCTATTTCTGTAGTCATTGCTGATGCATTGGGTTCATAGGATGCTATTCTGGGTATCACTGAGGCCTTCAAGGCCGACAGCTTCAAGGAGAAGATCAACCTCGGTGTTGGTGCTTACCGTAAGCATTCCCATCACTTCCGATTTCGTTAATGATTCCACCATCCTTGCATCCCTTCAGTTATGGCTCGTTTGGCATGAGTAGCTAAATCCGGGGTGTTCATACAGGTGACGACAAGGGCAAGCCTTACGTCCTTCCCTCGGTCCGTGCCGCCGAGGACAAGGTCGTTGCCTCGCGTCAGGACAAGGAATATGCCGGCATCACTGGTATCCCTTCCTTCACCAAGGCTGCTGCTGAGCTCGCCTATGGCTCCGACTCCGCCGTGCTCAAGGAGGACCGCCTTGTCATCACTCAGACCATCTCGGGTACCGGTGCCCTGAGAATTGGTGGTGCTTTCCTCCAGCGCTTCTACCCCCACGCGAAGAAGATCTACCTCCCCACTCCCAGCTGGGCCAACCACGGTGCCGTGTTCAAGGACTCCGGTATCGAGGTCGACAAGTACCGCTACTACAACAAGGACACCATCGGTCTCGACTTCGAGGGTCTCCTTGCCGACATCAAGGCTGCTCCCGAGAACAGCATCATCCTCCTCCACGCCTGTGCCCACAACCCCACTGGTGTCGACCCCACTCAGGACCAGTGGCGCAAGATCAGCGATGTCATGAAGGAGAAGGGTCACTTTGCTTTCTTCGACATGGCCTACCAGGGCTTTGCCAGCGGAAACGCTGACCAGGATGCTTTCGCTCCCCGCCACTTCGTCAAGGAGGGCCACAACATCGCTCTGTGCCAGAGCTTCGCCAAGAACATGGTAGGCTCGGAAGTTTTGTCTCGGGTTGTTCATCGCTAATGCGTTCCTCATATGTAGGGTCTCTACGGTGAGCGTGTTGGTGCTTTCTCCCTCGTCTGCGAGTCCGCCGAGGAGAAGAAGCGCGTCGAGTCTCAGATCAAGATCCTCATCCGTCCTTTCTACTCCAACCCTCCCATCCACGGTGCTCGTGTCGCCTCCACCATCATGAACGACCCCGAGCTGAACCAGCAGTGGCTGGGTGAGGTCAAGGGCATGGCTGACCGTATCATTGAGATGCGTGCTCTGCTCCGCAAGAACCTGGAGGAGCTTGGCAGCAAGCACGACTGGTCTCACATCACCAGCCAGGTAAGCGCCCTTGGAATATCTGGAATGTCAATTGGCAGCTGACATGGAAGTAGATTGGCATGTTCGCGTACACTGGTCTCAAGCCCGAGCAGATGGATGTTCTGGCTAAGGAGCACTCCGTCTATGCCACCAAGGATGGCCGTATCTCCGTGGCTGGTATCACCTCGGGCAACGTCAAGCGCCTTGCCGAGTCCATCTTCAAGGTGACCGGCTAAATGGCTAGTCAGCCAGGGAGGCGCCGTACGCTCATATACGTAGATCTACTGGGGATTGAGTCCCTCTGTACTGATATCCATGTGTTACATTAGCATATCTAAGCATTGAATTGAATAACGAGTTTTCTGACCTAGAAGGTTTCACCGTTAGTGGTAGCAACATTTCAGGTGTTGTTGCGTCGTGCGCGCCCGCATCGTGACCTACACCGAGGCATCTGGCGGTGAAGCGGAGAGCGTGCCAGCCACTGGGGCGCGATCCAGGGTTCACTGCATGACAGAGCTGGAGCCGTCGAGCTACTGCTGCTTCTGGAGGTCAATCTCACAGGTAATCTCAAGGGAATGTGGTTAGCTTTTGCTACGGTGTAGTTTGCTTTGCTAGTGATCTTCCAGCACGGCCAAGCCAGTCTACTTTTTCCCAATTCGGTAACCAGTGAGCATGGCCTGACCTAAGTAGGTAGTATACAGTAGGTTAGGTACCTAAGCCAGCTAGGTAGGCAGCCAAAGCACAGTACTTGAAGTATGCTAATTAGCTGCTGATCTGTAGATACTTTAAAATAACACTGTATCTGGTCACTGGAGAAGTATAGTCGATATTCCAGCTTAATCCCAGGTCTAGACATCATACCAAGTAACTTACGGAGAGTACTGTCATTCCCAGTTCAACCAGAAGTCACCTCCTCTTCTAACAGACGCTTACCAACATTGCTTTTTTTGCTTATTCACACAATTATATGACCTTAGTTTACTCTCACCCTTTGCTTAATACCGATAGCTCCACAGACCTCCGTAGTACCTGACTGTCAATACGTATCGATCCCCCCTTTCCATAGACCCGCGACCCTCCAATGTATGAAGTAGCCTTGCTTGCTTGGTCTTGACCCTCCCCTCCTCCCCTCCTCCCCTTCCCCTATCTCCCCTCTCCCTAGGTACGGAGCACTACAGTACGTACGAGTATCTAGACTGTCAGTCAGTCAGTCAGTCATTCAGTCACCGGGATGGGGCCACCCACTAAGTTTGGGAAAGGCCTAAAACTTACGTCTACGTCTACGTCTACGGAGTTCCTTCTTCCTCCTCCACCTAAGCTAGGGGAGTTACGGGTTACAGAGTGGGGGGGGGGAGCGGAGGTGCCGGTAGGAGGGTAGGCCTTTCGTCCTCTCGGGGATACTGGCGAAAAAAGGTCTCCACATTCGGAAAGGGAAAACCGAAAGGGTAAGTCAGGTAAAGAAAAAAACGCACCACTACGGGGGTAGGTCCCGTCTGTCACTCCGGTAACCTGAGTGTTATTGTTCCGAACGGGGGGTGGGAAGAAGGGGATGGGGAGATCTCCTGCCAGTGGCTGTCGACGTAGCTTGAGGTACTGTGTAAAAAGATGATCAAGGTGGTTAGTTAGTATGATTCATCATTGATCATTTTTGAATGGTTGCATAAATCACTAAGTACTATGTACACAGTAAAGTGTAGGTAGGATTCCTTTCGAGTGCTGAGGGGGGCTGTGGTGGCGATGGCGAGGGGCGGCGTAGCGCGGCTGTGTCGCTTGTCGAAGCCTGATGGTAACTTAAATTAACTTGCGCAGTAAGTTAGGTTAAGTTGACTAGCCGGTGTCAGTAGGAAAAGGAGGGCTGGTATGATGGTAGATTTGAACCCTTGGTTGAGCTATTGCTGTCGTGTATAAAGGTCCCAATTGAGAGTCATGAGTAGTGTAGTAGAGTAGCTCCTGGACTTCGGCGACACGAGGGTGATTATACTTAGATAACATTCCCCCTACCCGGTCTGTCCTTGCGCAGATTCGACAAAATAAAGGCGCGAAAGATGAGAAGTGCCTTGCCTGAAGAAACACAACTACTGTACCGGTAGCGCTGTCTTTAGTTCGGTCCCTACCGCCAGCTAAACTTGTGGCTGTTGTTACTAGCCCGGGCTTACTACTAGCCATACCGATTAGGGTAGAAACGAGGCGCAGAAACAGCGCAGTAAGCCTAAAGTCCATTCACCATCCATCTAAATCAGCACTCCGCAGCCCAAGAACTAGATGTAGGATATACTAGAATCTCCGGTGATAGGTTGAACATGGGGGGGGGGGATCATTCCCCCCTGTGAGGCTTGGACCTCCCATCCCCAATAAACGATCGCGATCATGTTTATGCAGCATTACAAGCGCAAAAGTAAAGAAG